GACATTAGGGAGCGAAGTACTACACGCAAACCAAGCAGTATCAGTCGTAGCTTACAACTCCGGGTATCAACTCCTACCAGATATTTTCCATTATACCATCGTTACGTTATGTTTCTTATAAGTTAATCGGGTGTAAACTTACTTGCGCTAGTCTTACTAAATAAACGAAGCCGCAATGTGCCTCACTTTGAAGCTGCCTCGGTAAGTTAGATTCGTACAGGAGCTTCTCCTTCCCTGAGTGTCTGCCATTGCAATTTTAAGAATACATACAGAAATTGTAGTTGCTACGAGATCAGACACATCATTGCACCCATGAGATGAGCTTGAGGTAGTTTTCGCCTTTGAATAGTTGTGTTCTCATTATTAATAAACTATCAAGCCTCTACCAAGACATTATTGAGCAAAATAATTACATCGCGAGCTTCCAAGCACAATCATTCGCTACGCAATCATCGAACGCAGTGGTTATTCATCCTACATTGAAGTCAGATTTACCGCCCGTGCCGCCAACATCGGGTTCGGGAAACGTCGAACCCCCAGCTCACGATACGTTTTGGTCACTTTGAAACGGATTCCCTCGAGGCAAACGACAAGTGAAGAATATCTACATGGAATCTACTAGCTCTATCATAAATAACCCTCTCCCTCCCGAGATGTCGGCTGTCTCGGCTGTCCTGACCAGCGTCATTCCTTATCATACTGAAGACCTGATTTCCCTTGAAAGGTGAGTGAAGCTAATCGCAAACCAAACGCTCTAGTGAGGCGATTCTAATGCGTCTACTCAATTAACAAACCGCTAGGATGATGAATGGGGTTCAATTGTCCGATGAGACCAACACATGGGTGGTTTTGTCGGGCCTGCTTGGCCAAACCGATTATAAGACGTTGTTCCGCGCACTGCTTGGGTATGGCAAGTTGAGACATGTACAGATCTTAATAGATCCCGATACGCTAGATACGCTTATGGCTCATATCGTATTCTCCGAAGTATCGTGTGCCGTTCGATTTATGGGGCTATGCGTCTCCGGCCAATGGCGCGTGCGCGGTCATCCTGTCGATGCAAAATGGGGTGATGTGAATATCCAAGAAAACCCAGACGACCGGCGCACCAGGGTTGTGTCCATCAAAGGAAGTCCTTTTATGACGAATGTCCACTTCAGATACCGCTACAATCAGATTGTTTCTGAACTCGGCCAGTTTAACCTCGTCAGTCATCGGCACGCTATAAAATTTCGCCAAGCCCATTCTGCTTTTTTCTTCTTCCGCGATGTTAGAAACGCTGAAAGGGCGATAGGATATATTCGTGATCGTTTTATCGAATTTGACGAGGTAACTTATGCCACAGATCCATGCGGATTATTTTCCTGAAGACGAGAGTACTTTACCGTTGTGCTTTGACACACCGAGGCAGCATCACTTGATACATAAGCTATGTCAAGGCGAATTCCCGACAATGAGAATGATTACTAGCGGTTCAATATTTCAACTCATTTACGGACATACCGGATAGGACAGAACAATCAGGTAGTAATACAAGGACCAAGCGAAGTGGTGTTTCACGGACCGATTTATATTCAAGATATATACCGGCCCTCGTGTCCCTTGATGACCCCTTATGTTCTCTACACGCCTCTATGTGACACTTGTTGGTAATTTCCCTTGATTTTGCAGCCAATTTATCACTTATAGGCAATTATATCATACCCCCTAAGTCGTCATCTACCGACAAAGGAGAAATTGCGAATTTCCATAGCGTGTAATTTATACGTCAGCCAAAATCTTGAGGTCTCCTTGGTGAATAGACTAAACACTGTAACGGCAGCAAAGTATACGTGAGATTTTGATTAGTGTCTGAGGTTGTAGGATAGGGCGTGGAAAGAGGATATGTATTTGAGACAATCGTTGGCGAGGCCGAACACCAATGAGTACCCTCAAGTTCATATGGAGATGTAGCAACTTACAATGGTGAGCGTCGAAAAGTCCATGGTAGTTAGAACAGCTAATGGGCTGGTCTTAATGTCGAGGTCTCTTGCCCCGTATAATCGACCATGGTACTATATTTGGATTGGACTGGCAGCATTTAACGCCTCCGGGGAAAGCTTATATGATCTGGAGACTATAATATGTATCTGGGACGCGCGCTTGATAATAGAGTCATAATTGACTCGCACAAGACACGGGAATTTTGAAGACTGTATCTTATACTATTAAAGGTATCGTAATATTAGATTGAACTAGAATATTGAATAAGATTTACGCATTGGAAGCGTCTCTGTTCAAAATTATGTCACTAAGGAATATTTGATATAGCCAAGTACGAGATTTTTTCATATTAGTCGTCAGAAATCAAATCACAACTGTCTGTCGTAAACTACCACAGATCATATAACGAAGTTAGCCCTAGCATCGCTATTGCTGTGATTGATCATAAAGTTTATCTTGCGAATCAGCAATAAATAGTATAGAGCAGAGATTCCACTGTTTACAAACTCATTATTAATATTGAGGCACTCTATCTTGTTATACGACCATCATGTTAGGGTCTACACTAGGATCTGTTATTATTCACCAATTTTTATCTCAGAATTCTTCTATAGAAATCTGAAGTAGTTTCATGTCAAGACCGGCGCAGAGTGGTGAGGTCAGAAAGCTTTTACTCCTATTCTCTCCCTGAGACAAGCTGATTCAAATTTGCACTTTTGACAGCAATGAAGAGCGTAAAGTCACTGTAACATATAGTATATATAGGCGGTCGCGTTCCCGACCTGGCAACGTTCTACCTTTTGCGTGGAGTGGTATCTTCTTCTGTATATCTGTTTCGTCACACGTAGACAGGGATAACAATAGACCTGTTCAACGAAACTAAGTTGAAACAACCTTACAAAAAATGATAACACTCAGGAGCGAGGAGGCAAGTATTCAAAATGGTAACTAGTGTGGAGGCTGATAGACGTGGGGACCTTTCTTTGATGGACGGTTATGACCCAGTGAATGTCGGGGACCAACTATAGTCAAGCGTTTAACTTTTAATGTTGCGTGACAGCATTGGGAAGTCCTCAATACCCTTAGACTTTCAGGCTATATAACAGCTTTGGATCTGTCACGAAGCTATAAGACACCTACAAGGCTGTAACAAAGAAGACCCCTCCTGTGTATAGCTTCAGCTTTGCCCGCAAGAAGGTTGGAGGGACCCTTGCGCAACAATGGAAGTCATTAGCCAGTATACCAGGTCCTGACAGGATCCTCTATTCCGGTCCCGATGTGGTAGCAAATGAGCGATACATGATATTCCCAACGACTATGCGGGCTTTGGTTATACGCTCACTTCAGCAGGTTCACTTCGAGTTTGGTGACAAGGACTCTATTAATTATAGTTCCAGTCGTGTTATACCGATCGTGAATTACAATCCATTCTTTCGAGTTGTAAAATACATAACGGGCATCTCGTCGCTGTATAGCTGCACAATGCGATTCAACAACTCTTCAGGCGTATGTGAAAGAATGTAACATAACAGTAGTAGGGTCATGGTGATTCTTTACCGCGGTGTATGTTAGCTTGTTTGTTCATTTTCATCACGCTACCATACTCTAGAACATATCGCCTTGATAGCAAAGTGCATGGTTTTACCATCCGTTCACCATGTGCATATAATTTGCTAGGGACTACTCCCATGTAGGTACATTGTGGCACTTGTTGGGTTACGCGGCTTCTCATGGTAGGCTAAGCCTCGCACACATCAAAAGCGACGCTGTTAGACTTGCACGTCTAACAGTAGCAAATTATTCCCATATATTCTCCACCCGTGTGTGACACTAAGAGTGTAAATCTAGTGTGTTTATCATAGTCATCGATGATCTTGACTGCTTGAAGCTTTCTCCAGTGTGTCAAATCTAGTGAGTTCGTCATCAGGTTATGTATGGATGGCAGTGTCATAGCTGCACCCTATTGTGATTTTTCCACGTTGGTAACCAACACCATCATTATGATTGCGAAGCTAGGTAAATAAAACTTTGGGTTATCAAGCTAGTTCGTGATTACAATTTTCTTCTTCAAGACCAAAACCAATTTCCTGTGGTTATTGACTCACGAAATGGTATCTAAACCTTGGGAACCAGAGAGTCTGACTTATCACGATCCGGAGCAGATACACAAATGTAAGGCGTAAGCCTCTTGCTATCTGTACATAAAATATTTATCTAATTGATTTGATGCAGTAAACGCGTATCGTCATTTATGGTACTACAACCCCCCGATATCTGTTAACTTGACAAGTACTTTACCGTAATCCTACCTTAGAACTACAAGTTGATCTTCATCTTGTTCAAGGCTCACCACACGTCACCGTCATCGTCACCGTCACCTGCAGCCTCCGTTCCTAGCCGACCGCTCCGAAGAGCGACGATGGGTCGTAGTAGATAATACGTGGTAGATGTGCAGAGATCAACGGCATTGACGTACTTTGCGGCCTTTTCTAAAGGCACGATAGGCATTTCTTATGGACTAACCTTTCTATCTTCAAGTACAGTGTAACTCAAGGGCCGTATCTTTAAACCGAATAAGGTCACATTATTTTCTCTCGCTGCATCTCACTTCCGTGCCCATGCGGCCTCCACTTACTTATTAAACGGCCGTCGATCACTAACCGTTTCTCCGGGTACTCTGCGGGTACCAAACCTAGCTCTTCCTTGTTACCGGGACCGGAGCTCTGCGGAGTCTTCAACTAATTCCGATCTACCTTCAGCGAAAGCAAAGATCGGCTTCTTTACGTCAAAATGCCAAAGGCATTTGTCATCCGTCCTCTAGTTTTCTTCTGCTTCTATGATAATTGTGGCAGGGGCTGGTTCAAAATTGTTTCCTCGGTACTGGATACATACTACGTAGTCATGGAGCACGCAATACATACTAAGTAGGTAGCTAGAGTAGTATCGACATTTGATGCCGGGTCAGCTCGAGTGGGCCCAGTCAGCCAAATAAGCACTGTATCTATGCCTTATCTGCAGTGCTTCCCCGTATCTAAGGATCGTCGAGGGAACAATCCGCGCCTTGATACGAGACTCTGACAGAGTGCTTGAGTCAGAGCATCATAGGATAAACGAGAAAAGAAATTCTCATCGGCATTTGAACCTCTCGAAGTCATCTTATGCTACATCCCATAGGTATATCAGCGGCTGAGAGAATCGTCTTATATACCTGCAGGGGCGAGGGTCCTGTTAAGTCCGCTGCACGACGGGGATACGAAGCCCTAATCCAGCAGGTGACATCGTAATGTAGTGAATGAGGCCGGTTTCGCAAGCCTATGATATACTATAGGCTTCTTCTGCTATACGACTTTGCCCCCGAATGAGTACAAGCAGCCTGACATATAGTCGCGAAACCAGAGATCTTGGATAGCATCTACCTGTATATTTGAATTTTCTGGAATCTCCGACGGCGCGAGCGCTCTGAATTCTCGCATCGCCAACATAAGCTGCTGAAGGAATCAAGTAGCAGAAGAATATAACGAGAGAATGTCGGCTTTAGCTGAGAAACCGCCCACCAAGTATGGCGTTGTGGTTTTCCCGGGCTTTCAGGCGCTGGACGTCTTTGGGCCGGTCGATGCACTGAACAACTATTCCCAGACAGCGCCATTGGAGTTCGCGCTTCTCGCCGCTACGATGGACCCTGTGAGTACGAAGCTGGCGCAGCCGGGTGCCATAGGACAGAGCGTGGTGCCGACGCACACTTTCGATGATTGTCCCGATCTTGAGGTGCTTCTTGTGCCTGGGGGGGTCGGAAACCGGGACCCGGCGGTCAGGGCGCCGATAGTCGAGTTTTTGAAAAGAATCTATCCCAAGTTACGTTTCTTGTTAACAGTTTGTACTGGGAGTGTTATCGTCGCAGAGTCAGGCCTGCTTGATGGGAGACGGGCAACCTCGAATAAGAGAAGCTGGGATTGGGTAGGTCACATGGATGTCATAATCTCGTCCCGATCTGACAGTGTGTATCTGATTAGAGTCATGGCCGGTCATAACTGATAGCTCGCGTTATAGGCCATTTCTCAAGGACCAAATGTGCAATGGGTGCGTCAGGCACGGTGGGTTGTGGACGGGAATATTTGGACGGTATGTGTTAGACTTGCCCTTCTCATGACTCCCACCCATGATGTCGTTTACTGTGTATTCGGGCTATGACGTCTTTGGCCGCTGTGATCAGTTCAGAACCTGTGATGAGCACTGCGACTAACGTGTTCGTTCGTACACGTAGTCATCTGGGGTGTCAGCTGGTATTGACCTCATGTTTGCCTTCATCAAGGATCAGTACGGTGAGGAGACGTCGAAGCGACTGGCGGATAAAGCTGAGTATGTACGAAATCCGGATTCCGGTGTGGACCCGTTCGCTTGAAGAGCTACTATTTCACAGACCTGCCAATTATCGAGTCCCGTGGTCAGTCCGAGCGCATCTACTGAGGACTACTTTGTTTATCTTGGCATGTTACATTTCGCACTCCGTGTAGGGAGGAAGCAATTTGAATAGTTCATGTACGGTAGAAGAAGGTACATTATAAGCGATCTAGATCTACCTTACGCTTTTGGATAAGTCGTTCTGCTGTTATCGCTCTCATCGTAGTGTAAGAATGCGAAGACGAGCAGACTTTAGACGCCGCTGGGGTGCTGCTCTCTGTCAGCACCACTTGTTATCCAGTACCGATTACGCTATGCCGATCTCGCCTCATTTCCGACTTTATCTTCCGAAGGATCTGGCATGGAAATAGATCTTCTCGGAATTTCCCTTTTCCCGCCATTTGTTCGGCGACTCCTCAAGCCAATAAATACATCTACCTCATGCCGCAATGTGGGACTCTAAGAGAGACAATTTGATAACACGACGACTGCTAGAAGATAATGCACCATGCTCTCTATGACTTCCATGTTGTTGATGAATCGAGACAGGAATCCTCGCTCCCCTTGGGATGTCTGTAAGTATGTCCTTAGCACGCAAAGCAGCGGCGTAACCTGGCGGCGAATGAAATCCCGAGCGAGTCTTCGGTGATGTGAATTGAGTGGATGTCGGTCGTGCAAAGGGAAACTTCGTAGACTGTTCCCATTGCTTCATTTAGACAACGTACTTGGTCAAATAGAATATGGAGAGTGTCTGTAGACAACATAGCAATGTCACTTACGGAGGGTAAGGACTTCGCCTACGTCGCTGCTGGCGTCGAGCTTGACTGTCTTGGAAATTAGGCTCCTAGCCTGCACCGTGATTTGTCCGAGGCCTCTAGCCAGGAACGTTTGGCTGCTGCTCTGAGTCAATGCGTATTTCAGCTGACGACTCTACAATCTGGCTGTCATCAGAATTCTCGTTATTCGTGTTTACTCGAAAGGGGCGTCTGTGTTCATGACGATCGAAATTGTCGTTACTGGTACCACACTCTGATGAGAGCTCAAGGAGCCTTCCTGGACACATATTTGTGGCTGCTACGACAATATCCGTAATCTTTATTCCAACGAGATGATTGGTTTCTTCGGGCATTAATGTGCGATATGATGCTCAACAAGGTAATGAGTAGAACGTGAGGTTGCTTCTACGTCTGATGTACTCACTTTGTTTGATACTATCTCACGACATCTCACCGCCTGGAAGGACGATACAACATTACCAGGGCGCCGTGCCTCCTAAAATTCAAATGGGATGTACATTTACAAGGGAAGGCAAGTAGCTCTTTCCGCTGGCGACGGCATGACACGATCTGGGCTGAAGAAGCCACATTCTTACTAGCATAGCACTATATATCTACGTATGCAGACGGTAGCCACTCACCGTGTTATACATACTGCCCTTGCAGTGTAATCATTGTTCATTTATTCGCATAGGCGGTGTGATATATCGATTGGCTACTTGAAAATATACATATTCCCTCAGGAGGTAAGACGTAACCTGCGTGATAATGTACTGCCAGCGGGGTCGGAAAGTGAGAACCCTGACTAGAGCACGAACCGCAATTTGAGGGGGGCTTATAAGGTAGCGTCGCCGATGGGTAACCCAAGCACTGCAAAGGCTTAAAATGCAAGTTCCTTGGAATTCAACTGAACTTCTTATATAGCACATACGCATTGATAGGTCAGAGTCTTGCGTTCGCAGCGTGTGGAATTACTTGGAAGTGGCAAAAGGGGCAACTATGTGAGTAATAGGTAGTGCTTGTAAAGCTGCTCCTGTCCCTCCTAGGTAGGTAACATGAAAAAAACACGCTCGTCTATGGGAGACGTTGATTGTTACATTTGTCTAGATCGCAAGACATCGTGGCCAGAACATACATAGTAGTTGATATCCGTAGTGTTGACAACCGGAAATGGCAAGATTGGCAATATGCGAGATGCAATATGAACAGAGAAACCCAATTACAGAAATCAATGCCACCTATATGGTTAGATTATACCTACCAGCAGCACATGGTGTATGGTTACACGCTTTGCACACTTGCAGTGTACATCCACTTGTAATCTCCCACTGCGAGAATTTGCTCTAAGCATGCAGTACTGTAGGACCTACCTACAGCCAACGCACAGCCAACACACAGCAGGTTGCGGCAGGGTGCCCAATCCAATCCCCGGAGGGCCGGATCACTTAGGGTCTAGACTCTCAAGTTGGGCCAAATTTATTGCAAGATGCTCACAATATATTACGGCCCAGCCCCTTGGTTCCTGAAACAACCGCTCAACAAAGGCATCCTCTCCGTGGTTCAGCAACGTGAAGTCCCCAGGGTGGCATACAGTTGGGAATGTCTGGATTAGGATAACCTTTCATCTTTCTTTCACGTTTTGTACCAAGTAGGTCCAGCTGTCCAGGTTCCAATTCCCCACCTGTGGATCAGATTCGGTAGATATAGTGGTCCCGCTATGATCCCAAGTCTCGAGGGTTGTGATGTATCTATTGTACTAGGTACCGGTATGTACATTAGCTACTAATACACCCTCACTATACTGCAAAATTGTATCAAACTGGTCGTTCAAAGTGCACATTCATCAGCAGTAAGCACTACCCATCCTAAGTATATAGGTAGGGCTTGAACATGTTACTTGAGTATAATTCCAACAGGTAGGTACATAGTATATTCTCTCCAGATCACGTGGCTATCCAATAACATGCACAATGCCTGCTATATTACTCCTTAATACTACTTAGTATATGAATAATACCGATCGATCTCCCTGCTTACTTACCTACCTACCTACAGTATGTACTCAGGCGAGATAGCTGATTTAATTCACAATACGGCAATTCTTGTTTGCATGGTATCTAGCTACAGGCCTTCTCCCAGGGGTGATTAGTAGCTTACATTGTGTTCTATATACGGAATGAGTATGCGAGCAATGCTATTATGGACTTAAGATGACTCATCAAATCCCCTTGGAGCGAAGCCAGGGTTTCGGGGAGCCGGCCGTCGACACGCTGTTACCGTTGACCTCAGTTTCTTGGTTCTTGTTTCTTACTCACTCCACTTCGCCTGTTAACATGTAAAGATACCCAGGAATCAGTGGATAGATAACCTGATGTGACCTGACCATAACCAACGAAGGATCTAACGATATGGTACTTGCTTGTCTTGAGAGATCGGGGATACCGGGTTATGCCGTCCATCGTCAAAGCCGATACATATTTAACCCTGACATAAATAATAATACATCATAATTTCCCGGATCATTTCGAGTCTACGTACTGACCGCACACAGCTGTCGAGCAGTGATGCAGGCAGAACGCAGTTCAACGCAGTTCGACGCAATTCCAGCCTGCGTTTCAGAAAATGCAGCAGCCCGATTGCGGTCTGCAGTGAGACTGCAGTCATCCGATCCAGTTCCATCAACCGGGAAATCACGTGTTGTTACGCTTAGCAATAAGCACAACCGACTCCACGATGCGCACAAGGGTTTGGCCACTAACTGCGCGAAGCGTGTAAAACACGAGATGAAGACATCATTCAAGCCGAAACGGTGAAAATCCGTCAGTTCTTGAGACAGTGGTTTACCCCCTCAGACCACGATGAAGAACTAGTAAACGCGCGGCATTACTAATTCCAATTGGCGTTTAGTCTCTTTGGATGGACCGAGCTGAGCCGAAGCGGAACGCCGAGCATCTTTCCTCCCTGCGGCTAATTATTGGAGAATTCAACGTCCTGCTGTACATGTAGGTATGCTATGCTTGGCCTAGTCATAATTGGTCCTCCGACGTTGGACTCTGAACAGAAGCAGGCTTGAGAAGATGAATAGTTACCACTAATCCCGGATCAGATCTTATACAGCTTTCTTCGAGTCTATATCGAATGGAGCCTAGTTGCCACTTCATTCGGAGGTAAAATCTATCATACTCACCTCCGTTAGGTGTAGGCATCCTGGCTGCATAAACGAGTCTCAAAGGATCAACATTTTCCAAGTGGCATGCGTATTCATCTATCCAATTATTGAGATTGACAGCGTCGAATAGCCCTATCAACTTCCTATCGGCATACGACGGCAATTACCATCAGATAAGGTGCTGTCGAAGAAGGCCATTAAACTCGGTACCTTTCTCCAACCTGGTGCATGTATTAGTGTGATTATCTAGACATGGTTCTACAGGTAGCACGCAGGGATAGGGCTGGTAGGGAAACCTCTGCCTTACCCCAATTCAGACCCAAGCAGCACAGGCTCTCTTCCTCTTACAAGCCAAAGAAGCCATCATCAAGCTACTCGGTTATCTAAACAGGCAATGAGCAACATCAGCCCGAGCACATCGAACCTTGGCAGTGGAGGATTGAATTCCGCCCAAGTCACATGAATACTAGCGGAGCGGCACGCGTGGAGACGACTAGTAACACTAGGAGTGGACTATGTATGTAAGTTGGGGAATACGTGTACAACCGTAACTGCAAACCTTGTTCCCGCGACGACGTTATTAGCCCGCTACTAGGGCTGGGACCTCTCTCCCCACCCTAACGGCATAGATAATAATGTTGGCAACCGAAAACGCGCGCAGGCAGATGAATGCGATTCGCCATGAGATAAACAGTCTTGAGCCCGGAGGCTAGAGATCTACACATGTTATCTCTCCTTTCGTGCTACAGGAAAAATTATTTTATATATTGTAACATCGGCTAAGGCATGCCGAATGTAGGTTTCATTCAACACTGGCATACTGACATAGTTACATCAGTTAAAGAGGGGGGGTTTTCACAATGGGGGTCGTGAGCGTCACTAGGACTGATAATGGGATCGATGCCAACGAAAAAGCAATGTGACGACTGTGCGAAGGACAAGAGATGACGAGCCGCATTGAGGTCGGTCAAAAGCAATCCTGTCCCCTCTCTCCACCGCACTAACACAACACGAACAGAGGGAAGCTAATAAACGTGTGAAATTAGTCTACGCCAGCAACGCTTTTACTACTTAACTACGGAGTACACATTCCTTACATGAGTTAATAGGCTAAAGGAGACTAAATATCAAGAAAATTTGGGGCTGAGCTGGGACCAGGGTCCAAGCAAGGCCAACCCCAGAGGGCGAGCAATTGGATCGGATCAAAGCCAGAGCATGTTGGCTATCGCCAGGGGTTCGCGCCGCGCTCTCTACACTCAGCTCAACGGGCTAGTAGCCGCACGCGCCCAATCCGGCTTGGCTCGAGTCAGACTAAAGCATAAGTCCGTCATAATATGAGATATTTGCCGTCCTAATCCAGCGTTCCATGACTGCTTGCCCCTGCTTGTATCCTAGCAAATTCGCTAAAGTACGAATCTGGAGATGATCGGCACGCATAAGTATTCTGACAGGCACACAGCACATCTCATGCAGTGCTGATGCTGTTATGCAGAGCCAAGTTGTATAGAATAACGCCGAGCTTTCAAAGTACCGGTATGTGGCGTCGCTGCAAGACACCGAGGGGCAGCGAAGACAGAAAACCTTCATGGTTAGAAGTACCGGGTCCCAGGGTCAAACGACGCCTTCTGTATAGTACCTACAGCCTACAGGACCTACATACATATGCTTAATTAACGACCTTTGAAATGTGGACCGAACTCGTTTCGCCCAGTGGACAGGGATATTCGTCCCAAGTTGTCGATCAACAATAGAGTAACAACAAATCGGAAATGTTGGGTACGAAATCGGTATCTTCAAAATACAGTATGCTGACCGCTGCCTCGGGAACGTGATGGATCTTGTTCCGAGCTCCGTGCCAGATCCCGTACACTCTCTATTTAGCACCTCAAAGGGATGATCACCGGTGGCCGGATCGTGATCCTTGGAGGGGTAAGATGCTCATGCAGGGATAACGAGCCTACGTGCCATCACGTCGTTGCCTCTATCGAGTGTAGCGTATGTAGCCAGCCTTAGGCCACCGCGAGACAACTCAACGTTTAGAGGCGCCTAGAGTCTCCGAAACAAGCAAGTAGGAAGCGGAGCGGCAGCCGCTTCAAATCAAAGATGAGCGCTGGAGAGCGCTAATCCCACTAATGCCGGAGACTTGTGCCAAGGGGGGCCCGCTCCGTTGCTGAAGAAAGTGGTCTTGGTTGTAGGTTATTCGGGTTCCAGAAACAGGGCAGCCGGCTACGTCGTTGTCGACACTATTCCCATGTTGTGATTAGTTTCGAAGCGCACGCCAGAATCCTCGGCTCAGCTTCTTTGCCTGGTCATTCAAGATACGTAATTCTAGTCAGGTGTCAACCAATATAGTTAGTATGATGACACACCAGAAGTCCAAGGAGGGGAGATGATTAACTTGGGATGGCCTGACTGCGATGGGCTGATAATGGGGATTATTACGGAGTTGCATTGGTTCTCTAATAGGCATTATAGCGGTTAGCAATTACACCGCAACATGTAATTTCAACGCCTAGAGTTGTCATTGATCAATTGGCGAGATACGTTACAGTGCGGCGTCCACACGCAAAAGTTTAGAGGGCATTTCGGCGCCGCCGTACAAACCGGTAATATGGCTTGCAGAGTAGCATACATATGTACATCAAAAATACAGCTGGATGCTACCTGTAGAACTACCTGTGCGTGAAAAGTGACTAGTAGCCGTTGGGTACTCTGCATTCGTCTAGGCCAGTAGAATATTCAAATCGACCTTGCCAATCATGACCCGTTTCTGTCGGCCTAAAACAGAAATCCCCCCCAGACGCGCCAAGGTGCAGACGCAGCAGCAAGTCCACATCACGGCCCAGATGATTCCTGTTCCCGCCCGCCGCAGAGGTGGGAGACTCCGGGAGAGCAACACGGGCAGTCTAGGCGGTGGAGGGGTGGGTATGATTATTGCAAATTCCACTGAAGAGATGCAGCCGAGATCGATCTTCGGCCTTTCAAGTAATGTCATCGAGATACGATACGGCGGCATGGAACCATGAAATGTGGTAGTGATCATGGGTATGATTCGACAGCTGGGGCTTGGAATAACGTGGGTACTGGTCCTGCTAGTAACATTACAGCCGGCAGAGCTGGGCACACGGCGAGGGGAGCTGTACAGTTGAATCAGAGATACTCCTAACATAATTTACCTCACGAGGCATCTGGGCAGTGGCGGTCCAAGACCGTTGACTAGGGACTATTGGTATGGCTCATCTTGACGTGCATCCTTCATACGGCGACTAGTGCAATGGAGGATGCCGCATGCAGACGGCACAGAGCTAGCCACTCAGGTATGTCCATGACAGAGGCGCCAAATCATGGTCGGCGTATTGAGAAGTTGCCGGTACGTACAGATTCTTCGACGATCACTATCCAGAAAGAAGATTGCAAACCCAGAAAACGCAGCAAGATATGGCATCTCAAATGTCTATATAAGGAGGCCAACATCGCCCTCAACCAGACACAATTCTCTTTTGCTCACCAGTCCCAACCAGCAATCCCAGGAAGCCTTCAACCTTCACTCACTCGACAATCTTCAATCATTACTTTTTGTTTCTTAACAAAAACCAACCCTTTCAAAATGCAATACTCTCTGGTCGCCATCCTCGGCTTCGCCGCCGCTGCCTTCGCTGCTCCCACCGAGCCCTCTGGACCTCTCTGCCCCGTTGGCCTCTACAGCGTTCCCCAGTGCTGTGCCACCGATGTCCTCGGCGTTGCTGACCTGAACTGCCACTCTCGTGAGTAACCCCTATTCATTGGTTCTCAGATCTCCTTTGCGAGTTATCTGGAGCCAAACCAAGCCCAGGCAAGAGGAACTCTCAGCTAACGAAGCCTAATCAAGCCTCATCTGCTCCCTACAGCGTCTCCAACTTCCGCGACATCTGCGCCAACGGTGGCCAGCGCGCCCGCTGCTGTGTCCTGCCCATCGTAAGTCCACGCGTCCATCATTACTACTTGCAAGATGATCATAGCAGTGCTAACAAGCCGTCAACAACAGCTCGGCCAGGGCATCCTCTGCCAGACCCCTCCCGGTCTCGGTGAGCAGTAAATGCTCCATACCCACTCGACAAGGACCTTCGGGTATGACAGCCATGTTTGATTGGAGCAGGCTTTGATTGTATCAGCGACGGAGTGATGGGATGTTTTCTTCGGGAATGGTTCTCCTTGGAGATGCTGGCTTGGGACATTGGCCAAGATTTCCACTTTAGCCAAGGCTTCAGAAGGCATTTGTCAGGGTTGGTAGTTAGCTCAGAAAATCTTGGTCTAGGGATAGCTTCTTAATGGAACCCTCTTTGGATCAAACTCTTTTGCATTTTCCGAATTGTCTTGTGATTGCGACTCGGCGACTTGGCGACCAGTTCAGGGCTATCAACAAGATACATGGAGAAATATGGGTGGATCTCTATTGCCAGCTGGCTCATTAAGCTAAACCGTCTACTAAGATATATTTTGAATGTTAGAGTCTGGTCGATTGCGTTCCATAATGAACTCAAGCCTGCTTGTCTATTAAAGTCGATACTTGTTTGAATTATGGTCGACGTTGCGGGGTGCCCCTATTCACCATCCAAGCTTACCTCAGCATCCCACCTCTGATGTCATCGGTCAGCTCCCACAATACCGTCGGATTCAAATAGCAGAAACGCTCTCTGTCGACAGAATAGATACTAGCTAATCAGCAAATAACCCATATATCGCCGCCAGATATCTTCATTACGACTCCCTATGCGACGAGTCTATGTCTCTTTGCCCACGTGATCTTCCTAGTCATTACCTAAGTCAGCCTCTCCTTAACCTATGTTGGTAGGTAGTACGAAACATACGACGACTGGGATGTTTTCTCCCAAGCGCGCACCGTTTTGGCCTTGGCTACAGCCACAGTAACACAGAGAGATGAAAATGTCTTTATTCTGCTCTGTTCTTCTCACTAGAATCCAAGACCTACGACGTACTGTGCTCGTCATCGCGCATGCATATGCGACAAGTCACCTTCTTTACACCGGGCCACACCCACTCACTCACCTACCACGGATAATGCCCTCCGTGTACGACCGTGCGGCGTCGTACAGATATCGTCATCAAGCCACCGACAGAGCCATCCCACGTAGCCGGAACTGTCAAGGCTGCTACTAATACACCACCATTCTCTTATAACGTCTCGTGCGTTGGTATGTCCGCCGCAACGGGCCCCCGCCAGACCCAATTTATCTGCTCCATAACTCAGCTAATATGGGACGTTACACGGGCGGCATCTAGGTCGCTTCAGGAATAACTCACAGGATCGCCTGTAGGGATATATAATATATATATGCAAACCGCATGAGAACAGGTACTGCCAGGAAAGGCTTTGAAGGCTACCGGTATGTCGAAGTATGTGTATATTAAGTACGGGGCCCAACCCGCATCTACCTTGGCACCTCGCGCAATAATATTCAGCTCTTATTAAGTTCAGTATCCCCGACGAAGGACGAGGTGGGCATGAAAATCTCATAAGAGAGTCTGATACTCCGCGCCTAGCCTTACACCTAGCTCACTTAAGTAGCTACATTCGCGCTGCTTTGGCCTCGTATTCAAAAGTCGGCTCGTGCATACCTAACAAGCCAATTCCACTGTCTCAGCGACAGCGATAACGAATTGAGGAAGGGGAGGTATATAACGCACGACGAATATCACGAGATTTGGTCTACTATATATTCAACATTATTTCCCCGCGAATGGCGCAACGTTTCACAAGAAACGCCATCCCCAGGTGTTAGCTAGCGGGACGGGACGTTGAAAGCTAATTCTTGGAGCTAAGGGAAGGTATATGATACAGTACTATAATACTAAGGTTAAGTAAGTAAGTAGGCGGGATATCCCGTGCTATAAGTCATTTTCTTAGATACGGGTGTGGCGCAGTGTAGTGTAATAGCATAGCGTACTATGGTCCATACAGGTGTTCAAGTCATGACGAAATCCCCCACTCCATAGTCGACCGACCAACCTAGCTTTCTAGCCTTAAGTGTCAGTGTGTACAGTAGTGTGACATGAAAGGCGCTAGACACTTGTCATTATCACGGGGTTATATATCCTACGCCGTGACAAGGATCATACCCGGGTAAATGGGTCTGGGTATATCGCCATGCCTGCTATGAGCTGGGATATAACTTGACTCTCGAGTCTCTCTAGACTAAACAGCCTGCCGCATGTGGGTGATGCGAGGTTACAGGTAATAACATTAGCAGATATCCACCTAGTAGCCAGGTACTAGCTGCTACACTAGGTAGTTAAGCGCAAGTCTTTTAGCTTTGAAATAAATAGTTAGCCAAGAGAAAGCTTTCTGTAACTTCTGTGTTAAGCATTGGGGGGGCAAATATATCTTGTGAGGCTCGGTCGTATGATGATCCTGTTATTATCCGCCACAACCGAGCCATGGCACATGAAGGTCTGCGTTGGGAAGCAAGGACATTATTTTGAAATATGAGTTGCGAAAGGTGGTGACGTAATAAAAGAATCACCTGAGCTAACTGATGTGACAAGACTTTTAGTTAGAGGTGGCATTCTCACCGCGATCGTAGAAATGTGATACCCGGGCTTGCATTGTAAACATTGCATTATATGGCACCGTCTCGAAGAGAGATAAATGGTCCGGAGAGAATGAAGAGGCTTGCTTGTGTGCAATCAGGATGCCGGCGATTGTGAGTAGGAGCGCGTAGCCAAGGATTGACAGGACTACCAACTGGCAATGTATCACTTCTCCCCGTTGTCGTTATTGAGGTATCGATTGATGGGCTTAATCGTGTAAATAAGGCTGAGAAGTTGGTCACCTTGCATAGCTCAGAAAAAAGCAGAGTGGCTTGCTGACAGAAGCAGGGCTGAGAGAGGGAGGGCTGTAGATGGATGACAAAGAACGGTTCGAAGCGATGCGATGAGTTATGAAGGCAGCGCAAAAAAGAAGCATCACCCATTAGGGGATTCGAACCCCTGACATCTCGCTATCCAGGAGTACAGACACCGGAGACGAGCGAGCTAACCACTGCTCCAAATGGGCTTCGTGTTCTGCCTGAGCCCATGTAGATACAGGTACTTTCTGTGAGTTCGTCACGCCTTGTAGATACCAAGACGAGGTACCTAGACATTCAGGATGCAAGAAACGAGGTACGGGGAGGGCGAGGTATAATGCGACTTTCGGGCCAAAAAGAGGGCAGTCCCAACGGATGGGGCTGAGACATGCGTCTTCAGCTTGTGAAAGAGAAGTACTGGATCAGCGTTTCGTCTACGAGACATCCATCTCGAACTATTTCTACTATATTCTGCATGATAGCATAGCTTCGAGAGCATCACGATCAACCTTAGAATACCGTGGATGCGAAAGACTGAGGGATACAAACAGTAGTAGCTAGAATGTTACGAGAATTGAAGTAGGCCTTCATAGAAACCTTCTGGTCGTACTGAAGCTCCATGCTTAATCATTCTAATTACCAGCTCCTCTGGGTCAAACCAGAGATAAACTTTCCTCGATGAACTGCGTGGCAATCAGAGAAGATTTTAGAGATTGGGCACACATACATGCAGCGTGAGGGCTAGCTAGAACCTAGACCGGATCATGGTGGGTATTTGCCTCGTGCATGATGGCTTTTGTTGACTAGTTATTGTCTCAATACTTATCATGATACATATTGTGGTCCTTTCCCTCTGTGCCATAAGTGCAATATCGCGATGCTAGGTCAGCCTTGAGTGAGAAGGGCCGTAGTAAAAAAGATACAGAGTTCTAGTAGTCATTCCTATATACTCAGAGGAAGAATTTGATACGGTTACGTCGTTTAGTTTTTGCCGAAAAATAAGCCATATACGCTCGTCTATAGTAAGAACAAGGGATTTAGATATAAAGTAACTTGTCCCGTAGACGCAAGAAGAGACCGCCGTTTAAGCCGCGCTGTTTGTAACTACAGAATCTGAAACTACGAACCCATACATGGACCTATATCTGAGTATAGTTTTCTATAATGATTATTCCCATACACCAGCCATAGTAGTCAGAGACTCATAATAAAAAAAACGCAAATGAAGCATGCTACTTCTCTATGTCTATTTTCTTATCAGCTTTCCGGCGACGTGATTTCGTTAAAAGAAGAAAAATCTCTCTCCGAACTTCCCAACTTTCTGGAAGAGATCGTGGCATCATGATCTTGCATCTTGAAGTTCTATTGTGTAACAAAGTCAAGTATAGATCTTCCGCGAGGAAATTTTTCGTGGTGATATACAATAAGTCACACCCTATGAAGAATTATACATAATACCGGTAAGCACTTTTAGAGTCTAATGGGTAGATATTTATCGAGGACTAACTGATGTTATCATGACTTAGAGTCTTGCCCGGAAATCTGAAGCGCTTCGATGGGCCATCCGAGGGGGGTTGAATAGCGAGATAAAGAAGAAAAACAGTGCAGACAAAGCGGGTGCCATTTGGTGTCAAGTGTTTTATACTATATCGACCATATAGAAGACTCATCACGAATATGAGAGCAAGCAACTTCCTTTTAGTCAGATATATCCTTGATTAGCTTTAACTATTTCGCTTTAATCGAAACACTCAATACTGTGGTCACGGCGAGGTTTGCTCGTCGCATCCTATCAGTCTGAAAGCCACCCACACCTGTTGTTGTTAGGAGTTAATCATGGAAGGTCTAAGGCAGCGTATACATGACATGGTATAAAGTGATCTTTTGACATGCTCTAGCCGACTATTAACTTGCGCGCTTCACAACATGCGACTAACTCACGACACCATGGTCATGCGGGAGGGTTATCCATACATCAGGGTAGTCTCGGTTGGGCTGGGTATCATTCGAGGAGCCACCTGAGCGAGTTGCCTCTGATTGACCTAGCACCGGCGAGAATCGGCGACAAGACTCAGATACACACGAACAAGCTTGGAAGATCTAGGTAGAGCAGCGAAACTCGCTGAAGGGAAAGATGCCATACTAGTGTACACATGGAAGGAGTAAGTGTCATAAAGAAGGATAACAAACCATTTCGAGGAAATTGAAATAAGAACCCGCCTTCTGTCCGTCTTCTATAATACATTTTAGGAAAGTCGTCAGAAAGAATACATTTTTGGTAAATCCCAACACTCTTGCGTGTAGACTGCGCGTAAACTTGGCAACGCCATCCCGCTTCGGCGACATGGTACTTTGGAGACCAGAAGTACACGAGAGACTCGACATTTTTAAATCAACAACGTAGCGGCTACTACCCCCCTATCGCCCAAGAACATGCATCTGATTCCCATTGGGGGACTGCTCCTTCAATAATCTAACCTAATTAATATATATCCAAAGCAATATTCTATGGGGGTATATCAAATGCAAACAACTTTTAGTCTAAACCTCATAAACCGGTCGCGCATTACCCGCCCCCATGTTCAAGCCCCCTTTCCCGGAAATCTCATTAAGGAAATACCTGGCGAGCTTCGCCCGCGGACATCAATCGATTCGGCGTGTAGCCGGTGTATGTCGGGATAGTGTTCCAGTGGCGACAGAGGCGGCTGGTCGGTAGCTACCTGTGTGTGTCTGCGTGGTCGCGGGTACGTTCCGCTCACGCTCATCTTTCTTGGCCGCATTTTGAGGGGCGGCGAGGATAAAGGCGTAGTATTCTGCGACGATATCGAAGATGCAGAGCTGATCGATGTATCGGAGCCCCGCGTGTTGTTGAGGGAGAAGATACTCGACCGTCGCATTGCGCGCCGGTTCTCGTCTTCGAGACGCAAGCCTTCGCCAAGCTCTGATAGAATGTCTTGGGCCGAGCGCCGCTTGTCGCCTTGCTTGCCTAGTCTTCTCTCCCACCATCGTCTGTCGTAACATGGCGGCGAGTACTCTTCGAGCGTGTCGAGGGCCTCCTCTATTTTCTGCAACTTTTCTTCTTCTAGTTTCAGAGCCGAGTGCTCTGAGGCAAGCTCTAGAAGCGCACAGGCGTCCCGGGCCTCCCTCTGCTTGCTAGCATCCGATTCATGAAGACCGCAGGCGTCGGCTTTGAAGACGACGAGGTCCGGCAGAGATATGTACGGCAACTCCTTGATGTCGCCGAGAGGTTGAGCCGAGCCGGGTAAGTAAGGGCAAAGCCACTCAGGTGTGATCTTCACTTCTACTGCCCAACCCGTAGGATGTCTGTAGAAAACGCCCTGACCTTTCTCAACGATGGTCTTTTGCCCGTGAGCACGAGACAAAAGGGCCTTCTTCACTGACCCTGGGGACGCCTTGTTGATGACGAACTCTATACTCTAACAATTCCAGTCAGCACCCAGCGATGTATCAAGATTGTTCTGCTTTCAACATACCTCGGAAGGCCTCGGCTCTGCGAGATACTTCCTCAGGGCCAGATCACCCACTAGAGCAACCCGGACGTTGGCGAGCTCAGCCACACCCTGTAGGAGGTGGATGACAGAGAGCGCAGCTGCCTCCAAATCGGCGATGGACGGTCGAGCCATACCTGACGACGATAGTGGCATGTCGAGAGGAAGATGGAAGAGCCGGTTCACCCAATAAGCGCGGACATGACGACGGCTCAATGACAGACAGCCACTTCGGCTGGTTTTAAGTTAATGTTGAGGGCTCTGGACAGAGTTACGGCCTCCAAAACTCAATCAGAACCTACTAAATTGGGCTGGTGTTTGATACCTAACGTGCCTAACTAGGTATATTCGGCACGGCGGAACAGGGATGACGGCCAATAGGACGCCGGGGTCAGCTATATTAATGTTATTAGTCTGACCTCTGTTGTACCCTAAGGCGTGGTTTGTTCCCCCTTTCCTGCGCCCCTGTAATAACGATGGTCCTCCTAACTGTCAGACGATTCCTCCGAGGGATGGTCGCAGGCGCCGGGTCCTTGAGGAATTTGACAATTAAAAATTTTCGGCTGTACCTCGAAATAGACAAAACGGATAGCCAGCTGGCCATTTGGGAATTTCCCTGTACAATGCGACGGAAGGGATTAATCGACGACGGACAGAAGGGCTGACGAATTGTCACTCAGCGTGGCGGTCCGGGAAATGAACAGACCCGCCCAGAACCAGGACAAGCCGGCAACGTTGGACACCAACTCGCTACGGGCTTACGAAAGGGTGCGCAAATCAACAACAATTAGCTCTCGGAGGATGCGGGTGGCACTGTCGCGAGAGATTACCTTCTCTGGCCGGGAATCTGTTCGCCCGGAGTCTACTCTGTAATCTGCAAACCTTCTTCTTAATGACAGTATGATAATGTGTGCGAGTGTCAGTCTTCCTGTGCTCTTGTGTTCAGTATCACCATTTCGTTTGATGTTTTGGCGCTCGTCGCACATTCATTCGCCATCGTGGCCCGCGAACGCGCAAGTTAGTGCAATCCATCGCGCAACGAATTTCCTTCGCGTCCAAAGGGCGCAATTCGCGGGCTATGGTGAGACTACCTAGGCGAGAGGTGAAACGTCTCGAGACTCGTTTTGGGCATGAGCAAACACGGCCGTCATACGTGTGCATCCAAGGCCGCGATCTCGCTTCGGACGCACAGACAGGTTTGGGATACCTTTCACATCACTGCTGCCTTGAGGTTTACGTGTACTTGCAGGTCGAGAGCACACATAGGTGTCTGACTCGTCAGGCGTACAGAGCATCGTCATATCGATGTAATTCTCATCATCGCAAAGATCCATTTGGGTCTACCAAGGAAACCCTTCCGTAGCTCGTCTTCCTCCTACTTCCTCAATGTATGACGCGGTCGCCTTTGCCGTATCTTGATTGTTGGGGATGCGCAATTGGACTATTGCGCTGTTGCTTTCGACCTTTCCAGTAGCTCGAGAAATGTTTCATGCTTTCCAGATGCTTAAGCAGGTTCCGTACCATAGAGCCGCGCCTGGCTCACTCCAGCCATGATTTGGTTATCCCCGCCGTCCCTCCATAACCGTGGTCATCTCGCTGGCACCACTACATATGTCTGTCGAGAATCGGAGAGCACCGATATGAACTGCCTGCCTGCTAACTACCTAGGTACCTAAGGGAGGGATGTATGAAGCCTAGCTTTTACGAGAGCTTGGAGATAACCAACTTCTCAGAGGAAAAGACACCTATTATGAAGTTTCGACCACCCCGCGCGTTCTTGTTGCGGAATTCAGACGATGCACCTAAAGCGGTCTTACGAGCCTAGACCAAGGCTCGCCAACTTATATTTCTAATGCCGCCGATTGACCTTGTTTTACATGCACCGGAACTATCTATCGTAGATAAGGTTGAGGCCGCAATGAGCCGCCCGTAGCCCCGCCCGGAGCACCGGTTAACCACCTACCTACTCATCTTTGTTCTTGGTGAGGGCCAACACTTTACCCGTGTTGCCGTGGTAAATGATTTGTACAGTCAGCAAGACACCACACCACGAGAGTGTGGGTGTACTGAAGGCTTACAGCTAATACAGCAGCCATACTTAGTATGTTACTTGACATCATTGGCTTGTCTTTGCAGCAGCATTTCAGTCTGCTGACGTGATCATGGATGAAGCTTGTGATTCTCATATATAGGTACATGACACCGCCTAGTTGACAAGCGCGAGCTCGTCGGCGACAAGCATGCGCAGACCGCCAGTGTTGGTACGAATGAATCTGACGATGGAAACATCGAAGGAGCATTGTCTCTTCCATTTATTACCCTCGTGACAGCATCATTTGCTGCACCTAACCTTTCAACTTATGAGCGATAACATGATAGTGGAGCTATTCCACTCAACTCATCTCGCACAAAGAGATTCAGCATTTTAGCCGATCCACTAAGACCACCCGATACCACATCGTATAGGTTCCAATACGAGGTCTATCACAGGTGGTTTTCGTGCTCTCCCATTTGGCGTGCTGTCGTCTATATGTATTTCATCATAATTGGATAGCCGTCTCGGTCTACATAGCGAATAGCCTGTATTTTCCGATATGAATGCGACCGAGTGCGTAAGATGGCAACAAAGGAGGGAGGCAATGTTCTTGAGACAACATGAACAGGACAATGCAGCAATGAGTTCATAGCCTTCCGAGGCTCCGAAGCGCATACCCGAGAGGCCGAAGTGAACAATATATAAGAGTGCCCTTGATCCCGTGAATAGCATCATAAGTCACCACTCGCTGCTTACAGTATCGCTTGCTCTAGCATCGTATTTTAGCCTGATTGATCAAACGAAGCTCTCACTTTTGCACTACCGAGCTCTTTCACAATGAAAAGCCTCTTGAACCTCATCACTTATCCGATACTCGCCCTCGGGGCGTCTATCCCAAGAGGAACACAGGCAGACCTCTCGGGACCGTTCATAGCCCGCGCCTGGAGCTCTGATACCGATGCCCCCTTCCACGGCGCTCCGATCAATGCCAGTGGCGGCAAGTTCTACATCAATAGGGACACCAGCACCTACTGTCCGGATGTCTCGGGCCTGGACTGTTCGCAGTACTCAAGCAAGGAGACTACCTTCGTTATTGGTGATGGTAGCACCACGATTTCCTTGGAAGTCTCCGTCCCCGGCGGCCAGCGAGGCAAGTATTCTATTAAACTTCCCCTTTTGAATGCTAGGTACAGGTCACTAACTCACATACAGCCTACCTAGCTCCAGATGGGTCGCTTTCTTACACGCAAGCGCATTCCGCCTATATCCCCGAGGGCAGCATCATCACAGGGTTCTCGCGTGAGCAGGCCCCGGAATCCGATGCTCCCATTTACCTATTCAGCGAGCTTCAAAACTGGTATCTCTGCCCTATCACCGAGGGTGAACCAAATGAGAGAACCTATCAGGTATTTGCCTCGTCCGAAGACCTTGAAGGTTGCCTCTACGCTGAACTCCACACGGTGAGTACTTCCTAGAATAATTTCATTCCGACTCAATGCCTTGTCAAGCACAAAGGATTTTTTCGACGAGAAATGTTCAGGGCTAGCGGCGCGGAGTTTCAAGACCTTCACTGTCAAGATGGTGATACTAACCCCGGTTTCTGTGTAGTACAACCCTAGCCCGGGTCATGTGTGGCAGTACGCTTAAGCGCATTCGAATATTGGAGCATCCGAACCCCGCATGTTAAGGGCATATATTGAGCAAACGTTACGTGTCTTCTTGTTGATGATAACTTAAAAAAGGGGCTTGGTAGATCGCCACTCGCTGCGCAACTGACTGGCAGCTTTCAATAAGGTTCTAAACTGTGCGAGTATCACTAGTGTGTTGATCAACCGCACTGATATGTTGCGGAATGTCTGTATATAAGAATTGTCTTAACTCTTACAATTGCAATGACTGCCAAGTGATCACGCAAGGTTTTCCCCCAAGATGCGATAAAACTCTTCATAGCTACTATTGATTTGCGTCTCCTTGCAATCCTTGTCCATGGGACGTTAGTCGACAGGCTAGTTGACATCCTCGACGGCCTCAAGGCCTTGTCAAAAAGGGGAACTTTGATATTATACCTAGTAAATGCGTGTAAGATATTCTGGAACATGTGGAAACACCCGACACTAGCTACAACAGGATTGATATTAATACTATTAAGTAAGGTTGAAGATGCTCTTGCGCTTAATATTTATGCCGACCTGGTCTCTGATCGCTGCAGTATTTTGTTCGTATATTGAGAACGAACAACACAGATGAATAGATCGACTTTAGCACATCTATGAGCGGGCCCTAAAGTTGGGGGAACTACAGACTCTGTCACTCGCCCCAGCCTCGGCAACAGCGTAACAAGAAACCGGCTTGGTCTTTGGTTTCATGTATGTAGTCAATGGTTGTGACAGGAACTTAGGCACTCACCGGCCATTTACAATGAATACCCCACCAGAGTAGATGCTTCTCCTACCATTGGAATATTAGCCACACCTCTCCAGAAACGTGCTTGCGATACTTATGAGGTCAGATGACGCAGGTGCGCTCTTTCCGTGAAGCACCGTCTGAATGTGTAAGTAGCCATCTGGTGGTGCTTGAGAAGAAGGTAAGATGGAATATAGCAATATATCTTGCAACCCGTTGGCTTACCAAGAGAGCCCTTCGAATTCATTATCTCAGAATCTCTTCCTGGCCGAAGACAGCCCGATGTGCCCTACAGAAATACGACCAATCTCCTTATGCCATTCTTGCTCAAATTTCGAAGTATAGTTTGGAACTGACTAGTTCATATAGACCTATTAAGTCACACTCGCCGTGTCAATCGCTCGTGCAACCCCATCACTCCCCCGGATCACTTCTAGTCTGGTAAGCATTTTAGCGAGCTAGCTTCTGGAGATTATGAATACAAGACACGTACTTACTACGAGAGTGCTAGCAATATCCAATCAGCCCTTGCTACTGTTCCATAAGAATCTCAAACACGAGTGCATCCAAAATGTTCGGATCGTTGCTGCAGGACCTAATAGAGACAACAACAGGTGAGAATGAAAATAGAAAGAAAGATGACCACCAGCACAATGAGTTTGGCTCCAAAACGTGGTGCCTTACGCAGCCACCCGGCGATGTATTGCTCGAGGCTCAACGCAAAGCGCACCGCAACTATGAACCGGTGCCTCGGGGGGGACCAACCTATTTGACATTGGGATATCCTAACGGTCCTTCTCCCGCCGTGTTGAATCACACCCGCGACATCGTTTATAGAGCCGGGTTCAACTACCCGCTCAACTGGAATTATGAGGAACATGTCGGACGATCGGTTTCGGACGGTACACGTCTGCCCAACCCCGACCGGGAGCTGGGGAAAATGAAATGGCGAGCTGACATCCCTCAACCTCTAACTTTTCCTCGTCCCATCTCAAAATTCTCTTACCCCAATCCCTCTCTACAGTGGAGCAGCTCAAAGTAGGACTTTGAGAGGGGTGACCGACCTTGGCCACAGAGCAGACTGGACACGAGTGTCCCACCATTCCCACTCTCCTCGCCTCTCTGGATAAGCGGACATGGCCATGTAAAGGACCTTTTCAAAGGCTCCTCTGCGCCCAATAAGGACTCAAATCAACTCGCAGATATACCCGCAGAACAGCCTGAAGATCAAGAACCTGAAGATCTATCTGCAGCTCAACAGTTGGACAAGCTGTTTTGTGCAATGTCCAGTTTGCGTGAACATTTGCGCGACGACATCCGCTGTTCAATCAAGCCTCAAATTATGGATGATTTCATGGAAAGGCTCAAGACGGTATACGCGAAAATGGTGTCTGAGCTGGAACTTCAAGGTGATGACTCGAGCGGAAGTACCAACAATAGCGAAACCAGCACCGTTACCCTCGGTAGGGAAAAAGGTACGTTAGTAAGGCCATCTTTACTATCCCCATCCCGTTTTTATGGTCCAGCCATGGCCAGGAAACTAGCGGCGACACGGCCGATGATCCGGAGGGAAGTCTTCTATCCCCGCTGTCCAAGCTCGGTGCATCATAAACCACATTGGGCCAATAAACCGTCCTACACACCCATCCTGTTCTCAGTCGTGTCATTAAATCTTGAGGCTGATCGGGCGACCAAACGTTTCCCGCCGCAGCTGTCACTCGCGAGACGGCATCTGACGCGTTCCATGCCGCGGTCACGCGATTGGATTCGCGGGGCAACAGCTGGACCTGGAATGCGAAATTATACATTTGTGAGGCTCAGGAAAGACTATAGTAATGAATTTGTCGCAAAGCTTAACGAAGTGTGGATGGAAGGAAGAGAGCGCTTGATACGCTCCTGGAACTTACAGAACAGGCTGCCTCAGGAGCAACTCGCCCCGCTTCTAAGCTGGTCTCGTCAGCATTAGGGATATTTGGGCGAGGACTCTGAAGATGAGGAGTCACCTACACCATCGGCAGTAGAACACGAGACACCTAAAGACGAGGGCAATATATCTTGGAAAGTTGAAGACGAAGAGGAATCTACACCATCAGCATCTGAAGACGGTACACCTCATAATGATGATGATAATGATGATGATGATGATGATGATAATGCACCTGATGACGGTGCAGCTGGCGGTGGTGCAGCTAAAGACGGGGCTCATACAGACAAGGCAGACGAAGACTCCAAAGATAAGAAGTCTCCATCCAAAACATCTGAAGATGACAAACCGTCGGCAGTGGCACCTGAGGACCAGGCGCTTGAAGACCAGGCGCTTGAAGACCAGGTACTTGAAGATCAGGCACCTGCGGAGGAACTAAGCCTGTTAAGCCTCAAGGAAATCGAGAACCGAATAAACCTTTATATCGCGATACACGACGAAGTGGAAGCAAGACTGTTGGAACGCGAGAGACAGATCAAAGAAATGGAACGTACACAGGGATTGTCACGACATGTGAACAACGAGAGCAAGCTCCTCCGGGAGGCCCGCAAGACAATGGAGGAGACGTTTCCCGATTTTGAAGATGCCATCGACCAGCTTCATGCGCTCATGACACGCAAAGTGCAAGCAGTTGACGTCGAGCAGCAATGGGAGAACAAACCCTCTGATGATAACTCTCCTGGAGATACTACATATTTAAATGCTTCGGCGAAAACAAGCTCCATGGATAGAAGAGGCATAGGGAAAAGCCACCTAGAACAGAAGCCATGCCTTGATAAGGCCCTCGATAGTTTGAATACTATTTTGAAGACGATATGGCAGGACGTCAACGATGCTTTGTGGGATGCGTCGCCCAATGCGCCCCCCGCTCCGGCGTCTGATGCGCCGTCCGATGCATCGCCCGATGTGCGGCCGTCGCCCAAACGTAAACATAATAAAAAAGTTCGCTTCAATCTAAATGGCTCGCCGGCCGTCAGTAAGCCTATAACGAAGGCTCAGCTGGAAAAACGTTTGGCAGCCGACAGTAAAACTATAGAAAAAGTTCAACCTGATGACAAAGGTTTGGCGGCCAACAGTGAGACCGTAGAAGAGGTCTGCTTCAACGAAAACATTTTGGCAGTCAATAATGAGACCGCAGAAAGTAGCCAGTCCGGTGAAAAGGGGTTGGTAACCGACAGTGAAACCACAGAAAAACCTCAACCCGATGAGAAAGGCCAAGTAGCCGACAATAAAATACTAGAAAGTGTTCATTTAGATGAAAAACATTCAGGGGCCGAGAGTAAAACCGCAGAAAAACCTCAACCCGATGAGAAAGGTGAAGTAGCCGACAATAAAATACCACAAAGTGTTCGGTTAGATGAAAAACGTTCATGTGCCGACAGTGAAACCGCAGAAGAAGTTCGATCCGACGAGAAAGGTTCTGTGCCCGACAATGGAGCTACAGAAGAAGTTCACTTCGATGAGAAGCCTTTAGCGCCCGACAGTAAAGCCGCAGAACAAGATCCGGCATCCGAAAATGAAGTCGTAAAAACAGTCCACCTCGTTAAAGAACGCTGGGCGGCCGACAATGAATGGATGCAACAGATTCGGTTGGAGGCAGCAAAACAATCGCTTTTCCTGTCTCGGGGCAGATCCGTAGCATTAATCAATGTAGTCCACTTTCCTGACCAAGGATCCAAAGTCGGCCCATCCAACCGCCATGGACCAGATGACGACGATGACGACGAACCTCAAATCACCCCGATGAGACCAGAACGGGAGCCCAAAACTGAAAAGAAGAAACCTAAGCGCTCATGGCCGAAGGACAAAGAAGATATGAGGAAAAGGGAGATCAAGAAAAACTGGATGCGCCGGTTGCGTAGGGAATTCAGGGACCCGGACGAAGAGGCAATCGAGGACGACGAGGACGACGAAGAGACTGACGGCCTCCCACGCGACAGCGACATGCGCGAGGATCAGGAACCACAGGACGATGGGGGAACGGAAATGATGAAGGACGTCGCATTCCACGACGCGGACCCGCGCGAGGAAAGCGGCGAGTCATCCGCAATGGGGGCAGCGGCAGGAATCCCGTCAAGAACCCGGCCGCGCGAAACCCCCGATGAAAACATAAGTATCGACGAAGAGGATGAGGCTGAGCTACCTCGTAAGGTTCGTAAGGTTGATAAGGGAAAGGGTATTGCACGAGATTAATAGCGGTCGAGTAGCGTCTGGTGATATTGAGTTTTATCATGGGATAATGAATAAGTAGCGAGAAGGAAGAAGTCGAAAGAAAACAATAGGGAATATTAATCAAAGCGACTAGAGCATAGGATAGTATTAGATAGGATATATAACCCGATCAAGAAACGTCCTGAGCCATCTTCAAAGCTTGATGCTGTGATTGATGCCCTTACTTGAAGCTAAGTATCGAGAAATTTAGGCCATATTATTCTGATTTGACTTCTTGAATTCATCGCATTCCTTTATCCGATAAGCCCTCACTTCCACGCAGCTGAGCTAATTGTAGAGATGGAAGCCTACTAGTACAATAAGACGACATCATCATTATCCTCCGCCTCTATGTCTCCTTTCCCCCGGCAACCTGTTTCCGCCGGAGCGTAGAGACATTTTCGTCTCCGCTTGACAAACCTAGATAAGAGATCGATTCGCGCAGAACGGCCAGTCGATTATCTGTGTAACAATAAGTTCTCATAGCTTATAAAGCAGTCCTATACATGAAATTAATCCACCGCGGGATATAGTGGGAAAATAAAACAGGGTTTAACGCCGAGAGTATAACCTCTATCCCGGTAGCCGATAGAGTCAATCCTCCAACGCCTATTTCGAATTGGATACGACCGACCTTGGTAAATCTGATCGATTGATACATGCAAATTATTATCATTATGAGAACACTGTTGGTTCATCTTGTAAATAGCCATGGAGATTCCCACTTTGCTCCTGGCTGAAGTTCTGTAGCATAGGTGTTAATGGGGCCACATCCTAATCCTATAGCGAATTCAGGATCGTTTCTGGCTTCTCGCTGGCACAGGTGAAGAGATTGATGTGATGATCGCCTCGAGCAGCGCATCCTAAGATCATACGGTGGGGGTGGAAGGCCGTGGCAGCGATAGGAGAACTGCGGTTCTGCTGTAGGAAACTTGAATAGGGCTCCATCCGGGAAAGCTCACGGCCTTCAAGATTAAATACCTTGACTGTATGGGCAGAGGTACCGCTATAAGGGGTTAGTAACGATTTGTAATTCGATAATATATATATCACTTACACGGAGAAAACGGGGAGGTGTTCATGTGTACTGGCGGTTCGAATCGTATCACGTGACGCTTCGATAACACGAAGAGGGTTGTCCATTCGAATATCCCAGAGCTTTACTTTCCCGTTACGGCTGGCAGAAAGAAGCTCTCGTTGGCCACCACGCTGCATATGTACACTTCGTATCCACTGCATGTCGGAATGATCTTTCCATTTCTTGACCATCGATTCCTGGGGCCGTAAACGCGTATCAAACACCCTCACGGCTCCATCACCAAAGCCAGCCACGAAGATGTTGCCAGTCATTTGATCTGATGTCAGTGAGGTGACACATGACCCTGACCGAGCAGGAATATCCGTCACACACGTCTCCGATGCTGCAGCCCAAACACGTATGACACGGACATCTCCGGCAACGAGAACCCTTCCAGTTACTTGTTGCCAGTCAAAGACCATGCCGGAATTAACATTGCTTGGGACCATATGGGTCAGTGCCCGCCAGGCAGATGCAAGCTCAATATTCTTTGAAGAATCGTAGTTTCGGTAGATCCGTAACACGCCATCGGATGACCCTGTCATTAGAAACGCGGTGTCATCCTCATTGATAAATTTCATGTCGCTGATTTTTGAACCTTCCGGGTTGCCGTTGGAAAAGCGGTGTAGCTTCTGTTGCTTCTTCCAATCCCACACGTAGACAGTATTACTGTCATCGGCAACAGCAAGGTGGTCCTCAAACTGGTGAAACGTCATTTTCGTGGGTTGAGCACCATTATTCATGATACAAAGCTGATTGCCCCACCTATGTTCTCCGGCGTAAGGTTTCTGAGGTTGCGTTTCTCTTAGTATCGCCTCATTGCGGGACCGTCTCCAAAGGCGTTCGTTGTACTCCGTGCTTCCAGGTTCCTCAGCCTCACTAGGCTTCATCTGTGGTTCGCGGAAATACTCGATGGACCAGTCTAAGAAAGTACTATTCAGGGGCAGTGAAGGTATTTCGTGCAGCTTGCGTGGCTTAAAATTGCCAGATACTGGTTCCTCCGCTACATGGTAATGAGCTGGAATATATGCTTGGTCGTTCTGCTCTGGTGGCGCTTTCCAATCAGCGGGATACCGGAGCTTTTGAGACAGATTTCGAGTGAGATCGGGAGATGGCAGAGGAGATGAGGTATTAGCCTTGTCATCAGTGCCCCAGATACTTGGTAGCTGTAAGAAAAGGCTGGCAGTTCGTTTAAGTAGCCCAGGAGAGGACTCAGATTGAGTCATGTACGAAGTTGGTCCACCAACCATACTATTTCGGGATGTGGACAACTGCTTCTTGTGACCTCGAGACCTCTGGGCGCTTTTGCGGATGTCATCAGCTAACACCTGAGCTTGAGCACCAATAGATGAGGTCAGTAGCGCATTGTGCACATAATCCATGATTATAGTTGCATCGCGCTGGACCTCAGGATGAGGGTCAACATTTAAAACAAGGATGTGCTTCCAACAAGCTGCAAAGACTGTATTGAAAGACAGGCTCTGAGCAGGAGCTTTAATGAAGCCACTGTCATCTCGGTCTCCAAGGAGCTGGGCATCTCGCGCATTTTGCGCAGAAGGCTTATTATACTCTTTTTCTTCTAGCAACTGCTCGAAAGCCGCAACAATGAACTTGTTCTCGTATCGAAGTACGAAATTAGATAAGAACACTAATAGTTCTTTTCGCACAAGCGGGCTTCCATCGTTGGCCATCTCAAGTAACGTCCAAGCGATGGATTCTTCAATTCGGGCTACTTCGTCAGTGAGATCAGGTATACCTAAGAATGTCGTCATTGCATGGACAACCGCCGCCCTAACTTCGGGACAGGTGTCCTTAGTCAGAGTTGAAAGCTTCGTGGGGGCATTTTCTCTAATACCTCTCCACTTTGCATCGGGAAGATCAAGCCACAACTGGCTGATACAGAGACAAGCCCATTGCCGAAGCAGAACGTTCTCATCATTGTTAAGGTGGGCCAAACAGTATGTCATGACATCGGTCTGGTTGCAGACAACTTGACCAGGCTTGTAACCTTTGCAAAGCATTGCAAGTACGAAAGCGCACATTGCCTTGTGTTCATCGCTGTTAGCGACTGGGAGACCTTCAGACGGCTTAAGTATGGCAGCGAAGTAATTGTAACCACTGTCTTTGATGAGATCTGGTTGACAGCTTATGTCGACAGCAAGAACTCGTGTCCAGATGAAGACCATGACTGGTTTCAGCTCCGACGCGGCTGATTGTAAGAGCTTAAGAACGTACGGGAAGATGCCGATACTTAAAGCAAGCTGGACTGCCCAGGGGCCGAGATCTAGGAACCTACCGAGCAGGATGAGAGCACGAACTCTATGTTGCTGGCTAAGCAACACTTGCAAAACAACAGGAAGCTGATCCGGGGGTTTCTGCAGAAGGGCGTCGCCTCGGCCGAGGTATACTTCAAATGCAGTGAGCTGCTCAGCGAAGAAAGTTGAACTCTGGTATTCGTATTCGATGGCTTCGCTCTCCTTCTTCTCGAGCATTGGTAATTGGGCCAGAGCCAAATCAACCGCCAGATCCCAACTTTCCCACAGAGGATGCTGATGCGTATCGGGGAGTGCGGGATACGACTGAGGATGACATCCATAGACCATCATGATCCTTTGAGCCAGAATAAAATTCCTGAAGAGAGCCGCTACCATGAGATCCTGCCGGAAGAATTTACGGAAGAGCTGCCGAGGCAGGGACGTCCATGCAATAGTGTCTGTAATCGCAGTGAAGATCCAGTTGAGCTCTCCGAGAGGTGTCCTACGTTCTTGCAGCCGACCGGGTAACTTCTTGGCGCGCTCTGGCGTCAGATTCGTCTTGAGGGGATTCTGTAACACGAAGAACCATAATGCCATCTCTATCGGCGTTGTAAGACAAGCGGTGAATAGATCGGCGGGTAGCAGAGGGTTCGTCGGAAGGTTCTCTTTGACGGAGCAGGCTGCTAGGTGAAGATACGAATCGTACTTGACCTTTTCATAATTTGGGTCGGCGGCTGCAGTCGCTTCTTCCTCTTCTTGATGTTTCTCCACGAAACGGTGGTAGTTATTAAGAATGTTGCCTGCTTCTGAACAATCCCAGACATAGACTGTGGGAGATTGCAACCAGTGCTGAAGATCATACAATGATATCGGGATATACTGTGTGTAATTTTTATTAAAAACCCAAATCTCGCCCGACGCTGTAGGCTTTGGAACACCATGGCCGTTGTAATGTAACAACACTCGCTCGTCCTTCGCGTTTTTTCGAAGGGACATACAAAATTTCTTCGTCTCTTCAACAGAAGGATCGAGGTATTGCTTGTATCGCGTGCGGACGGAGATGTTTTCATACTGAGCCTGTAAAGCCTTTCCTATGCTCTCTAAAGCTTTAGTAGCTGGAGGCACAAAAGGATCTTGCCACGCCTCGAGTTTCGCGCCTGGGTTGGTCTTCAGCTGATCGGGTGGCTCAACTCCTATGTTAAGACACACCGCGATAGCAGCTGAGACGGTCTTCAAGCGATCCCTCATGCGCCAGTCCTCAATCTCGTAGTTTGGCGTCTTGGGCTGCCCAGTCGTTTCGTGGCGCTTGTCGGTGAAATACATATACCAGTTCTATGACATGAGTTAGTAGAATGTTAGGCTTTCAACTAAGTAACCTTTTCATATGGGTCGTTGAAGGAAAGGGAGAGGGGTTTGTGGCACACTCAGACGAATCGGGCCATATCAAACAGGAAAGCGGAGGTTGGCTACACCAAGCCCACGACAGCTGAAAACAATTCCCTCATTGTTGAGAGAAAATTCACTCACGTTCGCTAGTTGCGATATAATGTCTTCCGACTGATAGTGATCTTCGAACCCATGGCGTGCGCCCCATTCGTGGACCTGACCCTCAACAGGCTCCTGGTCGTCACGCCGTACAGCATAGTCGCTCTTGGATCGTACCAAGGGTGGCTTGGGACGCTGTGACCGGTCCGAGCCGTCATCCTGGGATGTTATTATGGATAATTTTTTAAAATTATGATGACGTTCGATAGTTCTAGGGTCAGAATCGCTGCTGTCTGCGGTACTGTTTGTTTGACCGTTTATTGGTTCAGTTTCCCTTTTCTTCAGAGAGGGAGCAGGATGGGGATCCCCACGCTCAGCGGTAGGAACGCCGTTGGTGCCCGATCGCGAAGGCATAGCTGAGCTCGGGGCTGGGTTAGGGCTGTTGCGCGTGGATCGTAAGGTGGTGGTGTGATTCGGAGATTGTGTCGTGGAGTTGTGAGCGGTGTTTTCGGCGGCGTAATGCGGCGACGTTCTAGCTGGCTGGCGAGATGACGATGAAGTACCTGGCGCGTGCTGCTGCTGCTGTGGGGGATATGCGCTCTGGTGATAGTGATGCGCTGTGATGGCGGTCATGGTGAATAATGGCTGCGGTCGCGGGCTATTGCAAGCGCGACGTGCTTTAGCAGCAGCCGACGGAGGTGACGAGGGTAGCAAGCTACCCTTAGGCGAGATTCAGTCGCATAGGGCCACGATGGTAATAGCTAGGGAGAGAGAAAAAGCATTAGAACGAAGAAGAGAGAGGCGTTTGCCTGAGGGGTTCCGAGACAGGCCGGTCAGGCTGAGTGAGCTGAGTCGGTGTGTCGTCTGGTAAACCCGCCCTAACGGACGTTATGATTTGGCCTGGTCTGAGACACAGAAACCAAGATTTCCAACCAGATCTTACCTACCTATCTGCGGTATCACTGAGCAAGGTATGCGAGGTATGGCACCAGGGCAGGTGGTCTAGAATCTCACGGGGCCCGGGTGCTAGGCGCTCTAACAGGCGAGAAGGCAAGCTGTAGTATGTTTGTGTAGGCTTGGAGTGGCGTCAGGGTCTCAGGACGTCGACGTGAGTTGCACTGCAGGGAGAGAGAGTACCTCGACCAGACCAGGGAGATTAGGTACCCCAGAGCTGGCGGGCGTCTAACTTCTACGAAGTAAGTACCTAGGTAGGTACCTAGGACTTAGGCAAGCAAGCCAAGAGTTCAAGTTGAAGTGGGCCCTTCCTGCTTGCCTACTGTAAACTCCCCAATAGGCGTCGTGGAAAACACGTTGGCTGACCATAATGGTGACGATGTATCTATACTTGTGTTCCGCGCTCACCTGCACCATACGAAGTATGTATTTAGGTACGGTATATGTGCTAATTACGTACCGAAACTTCAATGTCCGTCAGGTGACATCACATCTTACAAATGTACACACATCACCTGATGTGCATTCGTCTATTTACCTTGGGAAGTCGGTTGTAAAAAAAATACACTTATATAACAAGAAGTCTTCAAGGAATAGTAGGATAAGTTGAGTACTAGCTGAAAATTTCAAGTCGATGTAAAAACTCATCGTCTCGTTATATTCATCAGCTCATTACACTCTTGGCCTTCGTGTAATGGAAGAACTCTCTCATTATATTATGTCTTTGAGCATAAACATCATCGGCGTCTAAGCCGGAACCGTGATCGATATCTGATGTGATTATTCTCTCATTAGTGAAAAGGTGAAGGCCATGTCGGTTCTTGGATGACAATCATAAGATCAGTACAGATGCTTCCACAGTCTGGGCGGCATAGCCATATTGCCTATGTGGGCCAGATATCACGCATCTATTCCAGCCAGTGTCTCCGTTACGCATGTTATTAGGAGGAGAGGGCCGTCCCTACCACAGATGGATGAAAGGATTTGTGCGAATTCCACCGCTTGCAGCCAACAGCCTGGCGGGAGCCGTCTCCCCATTGGATAGGCCAAAGGTCTACACTAGATCATCACTAGAGTAGATCAGTTTCAAGCTCTCCGTGTGAGCATTTGTCACAGGTAGCTAGAGGGGTGGCCGACTTAGTGATTTGTCGTGGCCTTTGCAGTAGGTCTGGTAATACCGCGTCTTGGACGGCATTCTCGGGGAACGGAAGGTGGGATGCGCAACAACTCGACGATATTAGCACAAGCCTGACAAACGTCAAGACGATCACCAATATTTCTTACCAGCTACCAGATGATCTCAGATGTATTTCACATAACCGACAATTCTATCAACCGGGGTTGCAATATCTTATCCAATGCCCTCTCTTGGATCCAGCCACTTTGCCAGTCTGGTCGTTTCATTGCCTTGCAGTATTCCCAATAGTCGGAATAATAACCTGCAAGCTCCCAGTCGATCCCTACATAAGTATGTTTCTAGGGGCAAAGTCGTTATGCGTGAAGCCGATCTTGTGTCCTTTCATGATCTCGAGAAAGATGTCGCAGGTAAGCTTGACATCCACGTGAGCATGTGTTTTGCCCTCCTTTAGGGCCTTGACAATGCTAGCATTGAAATCATCTTCGACTTGGAACGGCCCCTAGTCTCCACGCTGATCACCGCACCAGGAGGCGTCAATTGATCCGATGAAGGTTCCTTTAAGTTGACTAAGCTCTTCCATGTAAACCCGTAATTGTGCGATCACCGACTCCTTCTCCGTGGCCGAATATGTATCCCACGCTTCATCTAGTTCGACACCTTTAATGAATTCTATTATGATGCGAGTGTGACTAGATTCCTCATCTCTGTAGGCATTAGACTTCGGGTATTGGAATGCTAGCGTTTTTGCGAATGAACCTCATGGGTTCAGCTTCTGAAAGGCGAATATCTTTACTAGACTTTACGACAGTCTTTAAATCAACCTTGTAGACTGGAGTGAATTCACCAAATCGTTAGGCGTTGGCAAGATCTTTTGATATTGCCTCGGCATATTGATGTTCGAGTTGTTCATTTGCTTGAAAAGAGAAAGAAGGTGTAGAGGAGGTACGCACACGCTTCCACAAACTAGAAGTGCAGATTAGGGGATAGTTGTCCTGCTCAGTTTCCTGGGGTATTAGACTACCTAAGTATATACCTGCTGGGTATCTAGGTAGGTCCTTACCACCTGGGGGGTTAAGTAATACAGCAAGGTCAATTGGGTCAGTATGCCTTTCTGCAAGTGTAAAGAGTTGAACACACGAGTTCTGTTGAAATAATATTATATTGGCTACCTACCTATAATTACCCAAACGCGGAACATGTGGGACGTGCATTCCTGAAGGATTTAAAGGGTACCCTTCGCTTCATACGAATTTTCGACCCTTTGACCTTTCCCCTTGTAACGTAGGAAAAGACTATGCCCATCATTTCAACTTTACCAAAACTTTGTAGAGTGCCTCACATTTTTGGAGTGTACCTACCCATGTGCTTAAGTAAGCATGCAGCGATGCCCAGTATGTTCCTCATGGTGGCGCCTGCGTCCTGCTAACAACTACCATATATCAACGTGATACGACAAGCGAATTATAAAACTAACGGCGAAAGACAACCGACGACTTTGGCCGAAGTACGGACCCAAAAGTAAGCCATGGAAATGGACACTAAGCCACCGTCAGCTTCTGGGGAGGTAGCGCGGCGCTACCAGTCGACATACATCGTCGAGCCTACAGGCAAACACTCCCACACCATCATTCTACTTCATGGTCTGAGCTCGAATGGCCAGAAATTCGGCCAAGAACTCCTGGAGACAGGAAAAACGTCCGCTGGTGAAACGTTACCTGAATTGCTACCAGGCGCTCGCTTCATATTTCCGACTGCTAAGCTCCGGCGTTCTAGTGCCTTTGGCAGAAGTAAACTTACTCAATGGTTCGACATTGCCCGTCTCCCGGATCCTTCCTACCGCAAGGAAACGCAGCTGCAAGGGTTGGCGGAGTCGGCAGTCGTAATTCGGGAGCTTCTTCGTCAAGAGATAGAAGTGGCGGGAGTGCCTCCGACGAACATCATTCTCGGCGGACTAAGCCAGGGCTGTGCGATGTCCCTCTCTGTCCTTCTGACCCTTGAATACCCACTTGGAGGCTACTTCGGTATGTGTGGGTATTTGCCTTTTCAACAAGATATTGAAGATGCAATCAATAAGGAACATGGATCGGATGACGGCATGGATGACGATAACCCATTCGCGACATCGGACCAAGATGGCCAGCCCGAAGACCCGGCACTGAGAGCTCTAAACTTTGAAAAAGATCTTCTCTGTATTGACACGCCTCGGGACACCACTGTAGAACAGCTACAGACAGCGTCATCGACCCCAATTTTCCTCGGCCACGGTGATGTGGACGAGAAGAAACCATATGTACACGGTGAAAACGCCGCCCGTACTATGCGTGCTGCTGGGTACAACGTTGATTGGAAGTTATATCCTGGGTTGGGTCATTGGTATAAAATTCCTGATGAGATTGATGACATTGTGCAGTTCATTCGTAATCGTGTGGGGTGGGAGATGGTGAAGCTGTGATGGGGGCTTTTTTTTTTTTTCGTTCTTTCTTTTCACTTATTGGAAACGAGATGGAATGGAGCCTAGAGCAACTTGCATGGACACGGCTCAACAGGTATCCTCTGAGTATACATACGTGAGCTACCAAGTGACTTTCAAACCACTCTTTTCTAGACTTCCTGGCGGAATATATTAATCAACAGTTGCCCATAGACCCCATCTTGAGCTGCAACACATTGCTTTCAAAGGCCATCCAAACCTCGACAACCTCGATAACTGTGGTTCTTGGCCCCATAGATAAATCGCCACAAAGTTGAGGGAGGAGACAAGCAGATATATTGTTCTTGCGACGGTGTAGGATACAAGACATCCATCGCGAGAGGTTGCTCCAATATCAAGTATATAATATCTAAGGATCGTTTCGCTCTGTATACTAAAATGTAGCTCCTAGTCACATGACTGACAATGGGGCGAGCCGAGCCTGAGCAAAAGCGGCATTTGTGCTAAGCCCAATTTGTCGTAAGCCAATATATGCTGCCAGATCCTGCCTACTGTAAATGGCTAGGGCACTGCTAGGGTAGGAATAGGAAGGAAAGCATCATCCACGTGCAGATAATCTCCCGCGTTTCAGACGACCTGTTTAGGTAAAGTCATGACTACCGACATGCCATAGTAGTCGTGGACTAGGTACTGTACTCCATACCTCTCTACTGCCTGTCCGTGCCTACCAGGTATAAGCTGTGCAGACCCTGAAGGCTTCGACGGCACGTATCTACATGTACCTACATACAATTTCATCCTACCTCGCCTACGGTAAGTCTACTTAAGTAGCGATCGTCTGGATTCGGAAGTCTACGGGAAGAAAGAAGTCTTGACCCTAGTAGTAGGTAGGCTACACTAGCATGTTGTTTTAATTAATTCTGCCTGTTGTACCTCTCACTAGCTACCTAGTCGAGCTAGTTAAGGTCTAGGTATCCGAGGTATCCATGATCGCTACCATAAGTAAGACACAAAGCGAATCACTCAAGGAATCGCAGAGGATAAGAGATTTGACGGGCTTTTAAATATTCGAGCTAAAGGTTAGTTGACTTCGAAATATGCTATTATTACGGATTATATGTATTCCGTTCAGTTACTTACCAAGTCATGAGCATACCCACCCGAGTGCGTTGGCCGGCGTGCACAGTCTTGCAAGAGAAGTACTTCGTAGGTAAGCCTCCAACTGTCTTTCGGCAAACAACCCCCCGGTGATTTCATGCGTCCTGGTCACACTTCATTACCGGTATTGTTCTCAATGGACGCTCTCTAGGTCCTTCAATGCAACAGAAGTGAACAACGAATCACCGGGTTACTTGACTGTTACAGCCCATGCAGCGGCGCTCTGGCCACGGGATTGAAACAAGTTTGTCGTAAATCATCGGAGATCTAGGTGTCCCTGACCCTTTGATGTTGTCTCCCACCCAGGTATACGCAGATACTATGTAGAATTACATACATGAAAGCATGAGAGGAGTTGTCACAACCATGGTCATCGAACTATCAGAAACCGATGTTCCCTTGCATACTCTGAGGTACTAATACCTGCCTACCCTCCACTCAATGCGCTTCGAGTTTAAGTAATTATATACGTCTAACGACCTTAGCCTCGTACTAAGAAGGTCGTCGTACATTCTAAGTGTGTTCGAATTACTACCTAGTACTTACATACATACTTAGTACTTGCATATAGTACGTACATAGTATAGGTACTGTAATTAGACGTAGGTAGTTCCATGTTGGTGACGCTGGCTTGATCACGTAGGTAGCAGCCATCGATGGGGAATGGAGAAGGGGGGGAGGATACCTACTATGATAAATGGCGTGATATATGTGAAGCCGATAATGATATCCGTTCAAGATCTCCGACTCGATTCCATCTCTCTTTTCATACTTATTCTTCTTCCCTGCCTTTCAATATACCTGCATTGCTGCATAGTAGAAAGGTAATATAGGTGTACATGGATGGATGTACACGGATGAAATTTACGCACTAACCACTTTCGTGGCAGCCTCGACTATCCTCGAGCCAATCACGGTCTTCCGTCCTTCGAGTTAGCGGGATGGCCTCTGCAATACCTACCTGCTCCATATTTAGATGGGGAAATCACCCCTGACTCCCGGCCCCCGACAATTGGAAATGGGAATGATGAAAACTTTCAGTCGAACCCATCATGCTGTATGTACATGGTACCTACCGAGCCTACTGACCTACTGGAGGCGGCATACTACACGTACCTAACTTAGGTACCTAGATATGGTAGGTCCAGGTATCACAGTACTGTAGGTGTCGAGGGTGCTATGATTAGAGTAGTTACCTAGGTACATACATAGGTAGTACGTAGTGGAGGCGGCGCCAGATTGCAGGCTAGTACCTGCCTAGGGGACCTGGCTAGGGACGCTAGAACAGGTACTTAGACACAGGTAGGCACAGGTAGACTCATGTAGCACACGCTGTGCCGCGGTGTCTTTTCAATGTGCGATGGCTGCTTTGGGCGACAGAGCACCACCGGACGTTACACTAACAAGTGCGCTGGAGCACGGTTTGGCGGCCAAAAGGTACCAGCCAACTCTATCACTGCGCCCTCCGACGCCCTCCAAACCACCCCCCCAACCCTGCCTGGCCTGGCAGTTGCTGCTGAATTTTGGGAAATTTGTCGCAATCCCCGACCAACCTCGTCGCCGGCCTCTTCCCCTTACTTTCTCAATCCTCCACGATCCTCCCACCCAGCCTGCCCTTTTTTCCCTTTTGTTTCTGCCGTCCAGCGACTCCCTCCGATACGAGTTGATGTGATCGGCTCAGGAACAGATACACTACATCCAGTCGCTTTTGGTTCCGAACAGTAACGACGGCTGCACTGCTAATTCTAGACAACTTATCCAGGTCGGGTCCGGAGTATGCACCAATCGCCGTGTCTTTTATTGTACAGCAAACAACTACCGCGCTCCTCGGATCTGTCCATGCTCTTTTATCCTAATATCGCTCGGTTCTGTAATTGCGACTATTCAATCCGGTGCGGCGGTGTCTAGCTTGGGGTGTTCGACGCTGGAACCGATAATCAGAGGATTAACTTGAGCTCGGACTCCGTTCTCCAAACTTTGGTCAAAGACATAGGTGCCGTGTTCGGGCCTTCGGCTCCTAGTTCGAACGCCAACCTCGCCGTTGTTGAACCAGCCACTCCAGTTTCCAGTTCCCATTGGTGTTTCATCAGTCTCTACTACGTGCATTGTGCTATCATCCGTACTCGAATTGGTCTGTTACGTCGTCGATACCATCATTGCTCTTACAAAGATAGGTACTAAGCTTGACCTCGAACGCGCTGCAGTCCTTTCTTAGGGACGCAGCTTTGGCTCCGACATGGCTTTCCTTTTCAAGTCAAAGAAGAACCAGGATAGAAATGTAGCAAGCCGAGATGGTCCTCCCCCAACAGGTGTTCAGAGTCCGGCAGGGCGCATAGCAAGGGACGAGAAACATTCGCGATCTACGCCAACGGGTAGCTTACACTCCTTGGATGAGGCCGGTGGAAGCCCTGATGTCGACAAATATGCTGCTCGGCGGCCCGCTCCGCAGGACCAGCCGCAACAAACGCAACCCCAACAGCAGACGAGCGATCTACCTGTAGGTCCAAAGTGCCTATCAACTTTGCTAGATATCACAGACTGACGTACTTCCTAGTTCCGAAATATTCCCCAGCAGAACGTAAACGCATCGTTATACCCATGGTCGCAACGCCGACTGACTTTCACTTCCAACGTACCCAGCCCATTTCCACGATATGGCGCCGCAGTTAATTCCATCTCCTCAAAAGAAGGCGATATCTACATCATGGGTGGCTTAATAAATAGCTCGACAGTTAAAGGAGACCTGTGGATTATCGAGGCTGGAGGCAACTTGGCATGCTATCCGCTAGCAACTGCTGCTGAGGCACCCGGCCCGAGAGTCGGCCATGCCTCGTTACTGGTTGGCAATGCGTTCATTGTCTATGGTGGAGACACAAAGATTGACGAGACGGATGTTTTGGATGAAACTCTATATCTGCTTAATACTTGTAAGCATTTTCATCTGCCACTCCGTCTAATCCGCCATATTCCGTACGCTGACCCTTTCATACCCAGCCACAAGACAGTGGTCTAGAGCATTACCCGCAGGTACTAGGCCGTCTGGCCGATATGGACATTCATTGAATATTGTAGGATCAAAAATTTATATTTTTGGTGGCCAAGTGGAAGGATATTTCATGAATGATCTCTCTGCGTTCGACTTGAATCAATTGCAAATGCCAAATAATCAGTGGGAAATCTTAATCAAAAGTTCCGAGAATGGAGTTACACCGAACGGCAAGGTGCCCCCTGCGAGAACCAATCATTCTATGATCACTTATAACGATAAGATGTACCTGTAGGTGATCCTAGCCGTCAATCTTGCTCACTCGTCTTTTGCTAATTGCGATAGTTTTGGCGGAACGAACGGCTTCCAATGGTTTAATGATGTTTGGTGTTATGACCCTCCCACGAATAAATGGTCCCAGTTGGATTGTATTGGGTACATACCATCACCACGAGAGGGCCATTCAGCCGCCCTTATAGAAGATGTCATGTACATTTTCGGTGGCCGGACTGAAGAGGGGACTGACCTTGGAGACCTGGCTGCTTTTCGGATTACCTCACGCCGCTGGTATACTTTCCAGAATATGGGTCCGACGCCCTCGCCTCGATCTGGCCACAGCATGACCGCTGTGGGAAAGTCTATTGTTGTAGTCGGAGGTGAACCAAGCTCCGCCACGAACCAAGTCAACGATCTTTCTCTTGTCTATGTTCTTGATACGACTAAAATTCGCTATCCTAACGATGCGCAAATACAGTCTAATACACAAAAGCTGCAGCAAGCCAGGAGACCAAGCGGAGAATCTGCTTCAGGTCGTGGACCACCATCAAGGGAGGGATCAAACGGGCCAGATCCGAAGAGACTTGCTGGTGGCCCGGCCAGTCCTACTAGTCGGGGGCCGAGCGGAGCAGATATGAGCGGGCCTCCTGTTAGCAATGGAATATCAAAACTTCCACGCGCAGCAGGTACTTCAACACCTTCTGGCCCACCACCACAAGGACAACCCCCACGGCCAACCGTTGATACGAATAGCGCAGCCCGGCGAATGCGTAATACTTCAATCGAACGCATAGAACGAGAAGCGGCTGCGGTTGGCCCGGCTTCCGCAGGTAGCCTAACACAATCCCCTATCTCTCGAGAAGCTGTCAAAGAAGAGACTCCAGCCGTTAATGGCCGTAGGACACCAAACCAGCAACCTAGAAGCGGCTCAAGCACTGATGTCGTTGCCTCTGACCCATCCAAGTCTAAACCATCTCGCCAACCTCGTGGTCAAGGTTCGGTTGACAGTAATACCGAACCCACTATAAGAAGTGCCACGAATCGGCCTTCGTCACCACCGCCACCAACTCGTCAAACAAGCAATCCTTTGTCGCGGAGAGGCTCTAACAGGAATTCACAGACAGTCGCGTTATTGAAGGAGCTGGATTCTGCGCGCAATCGAAACGCATGGTATGCCTCAGAACTTGAACTAGCCCGCAAGTCCGGGTACACGTCTAATGCCTCGTTGAGCCCTGCACTTGAAGGGCGAGGGGCTGAGACGTTTGACGACGACGATAAACCTTTGATCGAAGCCCTTTTGGCCATGAGACAAGAGCTGGCTAATGTTCAGAGCTCTGTAGACAAGCAAGCTGTTTTAGCGGCAAAGCAGATTGCTGAGGCAGAAAGACAACGGGATGCCGCAATCCGAGAAGCTGTCTATGCTAAGGCGAAAATGGCTGCGCAAACCGGGGGTGTGGTGAGCACATCGCAGACTGAGACTGACCGCAGTGCCGATGCCAGCGATCACGGCGCTGAAATGAGTCGTAAGCTCGCTGCAGCCTTGAATCTACAAAAAGAATTTCAGAACAATATGTCGCGTGGTGCGTCTGATCTTGCGGCAGAGAAGCGTGCACGACAACTCGCGGACGAAACCCTTAGCGCAGCCCAAAAGCGGATGGCAGAGTTGGAATCATATAAGCATGAAACTTCTTCTGAAATTGAACGATTAAGGGCTGAGCTGCACATTTCCCAACGCGAAGCTCGGGAGCAATCTGTCCTCGCAGCCGATGCCGTTGCGGCTACGAATCTGTTGCGCATTGAGAAAGACGAGTTCGAGGCCAAGTATAAATCGATGGCTGAGAACAGCGAGGAAAGGGAGGCATTGGATTCATTGCGCAAAGCTATTGCCATGTCAACTGATATTAGAAATCATCTTGAGCGGAAATACGACGAAGAGCGATCTCAACGGGAGGCCGCAGAGTTGAAACTAAACCAACTTAGGACTGAGCATGAGGCAAGCACAACTGAGCTAACAGCAGTCAGCCAGAGGTTACGAGATGCTGAAGAGCTCGCTGAACGTAGCGCGGCTGAGGCACAGGCCCATCGCGAGGCAGTACTTTCTGGACTAGAGAAACTTGCAGGTGACCCAAGCAAGGTTAGCCGAGCTGATGCAGAACGTATCGTTGTCCTTCAAGCTCAAGTCGGCGAAGCCAACGCCCTCGTCAAGAAGTACCAGCAGGAGGCTGATACTGCTGCTGATAAGCTTCGTAGTGCTGAAGAGCGTATTGCTGGACTCGAAGCCTATCAAGAGCAATCCAGTAGGGAGGGTGTCACTATTCGCAGACAGCTACAGTCCGCCCTTAGGGATACTCAGTCATTACAGGCTCTTAATTCGGATCTCAAGAACCAACTAGCAAATCAGCAGCTCGAAACCAACGCTATGACTGTGCAATATAACACACTCAAGAATATTCTAGAGGAGAGAGGCATTAGCCCTACAGGGCTCTCTCGTGTGCGAGGTATAGGAGCCCGTACGGACTCTCCAGATGTGACTCGCGCTGCAGAACTTGAACGGCAACTCGCCGAAGCAGTTGCAACACACGAGCAGGCAAAACAGACTTTCATGGCTCAGGCACAGGAGAGTGAAGCAGCTTATCGTGAACGCATAGTGCAGCTCGAAAATGACTATCAATCTGCTGTACATTATGTCAAAGGCACTGAGAAGATGCTAAAGCGGATGAAGGAAGAGTTGGCTAAGTCCAAAGCCGACAATACGCGTCTGAAGAACGAGAATTTCGATCTTGAAGCACGAGTGGGTGCTTCGGACAACTCAGCTGCAGCTGAATGGGAAGCGGAACGTTCGACCTTAGAAGCCAAGGTACAGGCGCTGGAAGACGAGATGAAAGCGTCCTCAGTACAGCTTGAGAAGCGACTTGCCGAGTTGCAGAAAGAACTTGACGTCGTCAAAAAAGAACGTGACACTGCCACAGAGTCAAGTGAGAACTACTGGCAGCAGTTGACGGCTCGGGAGAAAGACGTTGACCAGCTGCAGCAAGAAAATGCTTTAGTCGAGAAACGGGCCCAGGAGGCTGAAGAAAAGGTCAGTCTTCTCCTTGACCAAGTTGGGACTTCGGTAGGCAACTACCGAAGGCGGAGTCGGTTGAACTCAGATCCAAATGCCATTACTCCAACCCTGAATGGCAGAGGACATGTCCGGCAAGAAAGCTCAGAAGCTGGAAGTCTTTACGAGGACCTCGGCGACAATAGGAACAGCGCAGCTCTAGAAAACTTGGCCAGTGAACTTGATCAGCTTCGAAGTCACTGGGAGACAAGGAACAAGAGCTACCGACTTTCCAATCCATTTGATTTCGAGACGCCCAAGAGAGATGATGACGGCCCTGGACTAGGACTCAGTGAAAGTTTGGCCGATTGGAGGAAGCGACTCGATACAGAAGAGCGCGAGAACGATGACCGAGCCGTGAAAAGCAACGGCGGTCAATAAGACATAACATCATCCAACTGACTCTCGGCCACCCGAGAGTCGTAATTGAAATTGTAGTCTTTGACGAAATGGAGACGATACCCTGTATATTCCTCTGCGGGCTTCCGCGCGTTGCGTAATGTGTAACACGACATGTTATGGCACTTTATCATTTTATCATGTTTTTCTCAATGTTTTAAAACTTTGAAGTTTCTCGCGACTTTTCATCCCGGCTGGTCAACGATAGTGGCATTTTCCAATTCGAATTCATCCGCATTACTAGTAATTGATGCCTTGTCTGTTTTTGCATTTCCACTTTCAAAAATGGTCTCCTCTATTTTACCCTTTCCGACGATAACGGGACGACATCGTTTGTCCATGGAGGATTTATAAGCGACCTGCAACCTTTGCTGGACGAGCATAAGAGAGGCTGGAGAGTCGATGAGTTCAAATTTTTCGAGTCTCGAGACGGGGTTTTCGACCTGTTAAGGCCATTATGTACAATTCTAGCACAACTTTTTAGCTCAGCTGTCACGAAGAAGATGATGATGTGGGGTTTGTTTGTGTGGTGAACATTGAGGCCGCGATGGGAAAAGCCTCGTTATGTCTGATTGTGCAAACACCGATAATTGATTGATTGTACTCGTCAGCTAAATGAGGAATGAAGTTCTTTTACTGGTTGATCTACATAGTGGTCTTATTCTATCTATCTATCATGCTGGGTTTTGGGAACACGTAGATACGGGGTGCTATTGTAATAGCAAGCATAGGTATTTACTTTCAATTGTATGGATGCCCTGATGTTGGTTGATGGTGATATCTGTCTACCTTGTACTTACAAGTTTCTCTTGACGTGCGTGCGTTCACCTCACAGGATAGGTATCTACATATTGCGCAAGTGGCTGCTGACAGCAGCGCGCCACGACCAGCCACAAATGCAGCATTGACATGAACCTAACCTAACCTAACCTACCCAGGGGATTTTTAAGGGGGTTTCGGAAAGCCCATCTTCCAGTCGCGAACATGAGACACGCGAAGCGCCACTTCCGTGTCCCAGATGCGACGGCGCTGGCGCTGGGACAATTGGCTTGCTTACCTATATACCTGTATATAGCAGGTATATTATTAATCTCTCATGCAAAGGAAAAGAGGCTGAGTTTGGACATACCTCTGCATGTTGGTGTAAGTGAAGAAACATGCTTGGAATGAATTGCATGGGAAGAGGGGACCGGTAACGCGCTGGTGGTAGATAGATAAGATGCGTGCTTGCAGCACTTTTTGTACTGGTCTTAATGTTTCGCTGTAGCAATGATACAGAGACAGACTTGTTCAAGTCGTCAAGTCACGCGACAGGGAAATAAACTACGATAGCTGGCTGGAAGTGTGCTTGTTCAACTCGTACCTAACGGATCAGCTATGCGACATGCCCAATGCGAATTGGCTATATCCACATCCACATCCCCATCCACACAACACCATTCTTACAAAGTGACAGAGAAAAAGAAGAACTAATGTGAATAAGTAATAAATAAAAAAGGAGTTTCAAAATCATACAAAATAACCTTCTAAGAACCATCAGTATATGTTTATGCAGAGCACAAAGTTTGGTCGGCAGATATCCAGTGCCAAAGCCAAACCCCACCCCCCAGTGATTAAGGAATATAGTAGTTTGTCGTCCCGTTCCCGTCATCCCCCCCAATATTTTCTAGATTCCCTGTTGATGCTGGCGAAATAAAAAGAACCAAGGAGAAACTAGTTTGTGGGTAATAAAAATGTTTCTCGAAACAAATAGATACACACAAAGCGGACCTCGAGAGATCGAGGCCACTACAGCGACCCCCATCACCAAGTCAGGGTATGACGTTCACGGAACCCGTCCAGCGCAACCTTTGCGATCACGATGACAGGCACTTCTGTTGCTGTGCCTGACAATCGCTCACACTGAACCCGGCTCCGCTGTTGGCCGCACTGGAGCAATTGTTCTGTTGTATGCTACAACTTCGTTCTAATGCGTCTGATCGGCTGGTGAATGTATTTCCGTTGACCGCAAAGGGTCTCGAAGAGTCACCCGTGTTGGTGATAGCAGGAGCTGTTATGCCGCCTAGAGCGGAGCTATTCTGCGAGCCGTTAGCTTGATTATTATTGTTGTTGTTGCCTCCATTGTTATTACTGTTCTGTCCCTGGCCGCCTTGGCCATTGCCGCCATTGTTGCCACCATTGTTGCCGCCGTTGTTACCACCATTGTTGTTGTTGCCACCGTTGTTGTTGTTGTTGCCGCCGTTGTTACCGCCGTTATTGCCACCGTTGTTGCCACCGTTATTTTGGCCGACTACTTTGATTAGCCAATAATCCATAGAAACGACAGTAGTATAGACAAGAAGGCGAAAGCGTACCTGTGAAACGAACACAATCATCCTGGGCACCACGTTGGGCAACGGGCATGAGCACGGGCTGATGGTTGGCAGCGGATGACATTGAGCAGAGACGGTAGTTGCCAGCAGGAAGTCCACCAGCAACGGTTGCTGAGAGAAGGCCAGCTCCGTTTCCGGCATCATTAATACCCTTAAAGAAGGCAAACTGGGTCGCGTCGAGGGGTGACGTAGGGTTTAGTGAGCCGCCAAGATCCTGGACGGTAACGTGGGTGTGGCCAATGATGTTGCCGTTACCATCCAAATCCTGAGGAGCAGAGTAGTACGTGTTATCGGCGTTGGTGAAGGTACCAGGGGCGAAGTTAGCAACCTGAATCTGGATATCAAAGTCTTGGTTTGCTGTAACGTCGTCGCCGTTTTGTGGGTTGACAAAGACACTCGAAACCATCTTCCCCTTGGAAGGAATGTTACCCATCACTGAAGGCGTCAGTGTGAAAGAAATAAAACAGATAATGTGTGAATGTATGACCTACCAATACCATTGCAAGAGCCACCCTGGTTTTGAAGACCATTGGTCAGAGTTTTACCCTGGCAGAAGTTGATGAAGTTCGCGTTATCCCTAGTGACATTAGATCTATCTCCAGTGTGCCAACGCCTATTAAATTATCACTCACGTTTTGGAAGCAGATTCGCCATTAGACGCATCCGGGTCACCATCGGAAGCGGAGGCCGACTGGACAACGTTGCTATCTAGAGTAAGTCCACCCTGGTTGTCTACGGTCATGTTAGCCACTTTCTCGCATATTAAGCTTTTGCAACTTACTATTGCCGCCGTTGTTGCCACCGTTGTTGTTGTTGCCCCCGTTGTTACCGCCGTTGTTGCCTCCATTGTTACCGCCATTGTTACCTCCGTTGTTGCCGCCGTTGTTACCACCGTTGCCGCCATTGTTGCCTCCATTGAAATTCTGGTCTGGAGATATTGTTAACACAGGGGGACATTGCTGAAGGACAGGAGGGTAAACATACTATTTCCCCTGAATCTTCCATTCCCACCATTTCGGCTCTGGATGGCTCGTCGGCTAACAATATTGTCAAATGGGCGATGGATGGCAGAAGCTTCGGCGACGGCCGTGAGGCTGATAAGCCCGAGGAGAATGTTCTTCGGCTGCATGGTTGCGAGTCTTTATGCGATGAGATGGCGTGACGGTGACAAGTCCTTTTACTACCTTGGCTCGAAGGCAAGAATTGAAGTAGTGTAGAAATGGTTCCAGACCGTTTTCGAATGAGTGAAAAAAAGAATGTGTCAATAGACAGTGAATCGAAGTTAGGCTAATCTCAATAGCAATCGAAAGGAACGAATGAACAAGATACACTACCAGCGCATTATTCAGAAAGAAGGAAAGGAAAGGATGGGAAATCCGAGGTGAGGAAACGGCTTAAAGAAGAGAACTGGATTGGATTAAAACGAGCCGGAGAGAGAGGGCCAAGACTTTTCTCTTATACTAGAGATGTCCTCTGCCGGGACATGACAAGCAGGCGTCTCGGACGGCCAGCGCTTGAGACCAGGAACGACATCATAATCCCCTTGCAGGTCAGGGACTTGGAAAGGAGCCGTATCCACAGATTCAAAACAAAATGGAAAACGGTAGCACGGTAGCACGGTAGCTGAGGCGAGCAAATGACAGGGCCTGTGAAGGGGTACCCTGAACCTAGTGCGGCGGGTTATAAGAGCCTGCAGGGGTGGAGGGCGGGAGGAGTTCTCTCGAAGCCCAAGCTGCATCAGACTGAGCAGGGGTATGTGAGCTTAATCGAATCTCTTCCCAGAGGGAATTTCGAGTCGACGGAACACCACCAATGGCAATGAGCCTGTATCTACACTAGCGCACCGAGGCGCTGGCGGTACATTGACGCCATGGAGCGGGCTGTGAGCGGGGAATTGAGTTGGGATGGTTGGTACAAGAGGCTGGGATGGAGAAGGGTATCAGACATCTTGATCAGGTCAAGATGGGCGGCTGAAGCCTGTCTGACAACCAGTAGAAAACGTGGTTATACGGGCATATCGGTATCCAATTATCCAACTACTTGGCAGAAGCACTTGGCAGACAGCACCTGGGCAACCTCAACTGGTAGGAGAAGCGAAACACGTTCATCACAACGGCGTAGTTCCAGTTCCAGTTGCATTAGAAAATGAAGCTTCAGATCAGATAGGAGACGATCCTACGACGTGGAAGGCAGCAGTAGAATGTAAATCTTGATGGATGGTACAGGAGATCTCTTGGAGCAGCAGGGCATTGTCCCATGACTCCCATCCTACTTACATACTTCGTACTGTCTACACATATGTCATCCCGTATCAGTGTCGTCGTTGGGCAACCTGACCTGGACAGTTTCGAACTGTCGGCTTCGTATTGGCTGCCATGTGCACAGTCGACACGGATAGCGAAGCACCCTTGATAGGTGATTTCATATTGAAGGATTGTTCAGTATTGCAGACTCCAAGGAGAGCAGATGGGGATGCCAGGGTGGCCTGGAGAGATGCATTTCAAGCGAGAAGGATCAGATTGGAGACTCGAGAGACTTGCTCGACTTGAAGACATATCCCCACTTTAACCACATATTGGCTGCTGCAGGCATGGGATGGCTTATCGATTGCCGAGACCGTGTAAGTGAGTACATGGTACAGTAGTTCCGGGGGTGGGCCAGCGAGTGGGTCCGAGAGTGGAGGGTGGCCGAGCCGGTCGCTTTTGAGGCTCGAGATGTCGCGGATCGCGCTGGGCAAGCCCCACTATCGCAAGCGCTAGCCACTCAGCAGCCGCCGTGCCCCGGCCATGCCCAGCCAGACGGGGTTGTTATAGGCCCTTATAGGTTGTTATAGCGTCTCATACAGGGGGCTCTGATGCAAAACGCAGTCTTCCCAGGGGTTCCGCGGGGTACTTACCTAAAGTAAGTAAATGTACTTACTACCTAACCTACAACCCATCCTAACTTACGAATACCTAAGCCTTTTGCTGTCGATTCCCTAGTATCGAGATACGGCGCCTACAGAACATCCTTTGTAACTAACTCATTCTCAACATCCCAAACGACGTTGATTGTTTCTATTAATCCTCCTCCTCCCTCCCTCCCCAAATCTCATACAGTAAACGATCGGGCGCTTGGCGTTCTGTCGATGATCGCTGTCGTCGATCGCTGGGACACCAAAAGCCGGTCGGAAACTTGTTTGCTCGCCCCTTCCGATGGAATGCCATCTCAAATTGCGAAACTGCTACTGCACCTGCGCCTGCCTGCACCCTGTCCCAACCACATTTTGTTGTTGCTACTACCTACCTTAATGTCATGAATGTCGCCCATGTCGCCGCATCTGCGCCCAGACATGAGATCGACGTTGCCATGGCCTCCCGGGCTGGCCTAGATGTCTGCGCTCGCTGGCGTGCGGGCAACCGCCGCACCCTTCTATCAACGAGTAGGCTGGATTCTACGTAGTAGTAGGTAGGTAGGTGCATTCTGCAGATGATATGATAGCAGGTGTTCGGATAAGATGATATATCTTGTTTTTATTTTTTATTTTTTCCTCTGAAAATTGTAGTCAAACTTTCTATCGTCTTTGACGGCTATACCCGCTTCCAGCTTGCCGTGAATTAATTGACTAGTTCCCAGCCATTCCAACTTCAAGAGACAAAACCTGAAAGGATCAGGAAGTAATACAGCCACGATAGTTTAATCCTCGATACGCGTAGATGAGATTCCTCAATTAACCCACGTGTACCATCTTGGCGCTAAAGGCAGCACTCATTGTAAGAGGTACAGACATCCAGCTGAGGCTGCTACACAAGCATCGCGATAGGTATGCAGGTACGGGTAGGAATAAGGGGGGTGAAACTACCGCATTCCATCTCCCGCATTATCTCCGAACGAGTTCATTGCGCCAACGACCAACACGAATGAGGAAACCCTTCAGTGCTGTACTATGTACGTGTAAGTATGTAAGCCTCCTTACCTCATTTCGTCAGGTATGATGCAGGTACTCTCACTATCCAAGTCCAAGCCAGGGACCCCTGTTGCTCGGTTAGCTTTCCCGGCCTAGTATAGTCGCACTCAAATTAGACTTAAACAAGTCTTTACAGGAGACAAAGGCTCGTGCTCCTTTTGGAACCTGAGTTAGCTACGTGTAGACACAGAGCTCGTAGGGTCGACGTCCCGGAAAATACCACAAGCCATCTTCTAACATGAGTGATTTTTATGAAGCTCGGGGGGGTAAGCCACATCACAGGTTCCGCATCCCTTTTCCGGTAATTCTGATTATTCGTGCCGGATTCCGGTGTAGTCGCCAACCTCGTGGGTGACAACTTAGGGCTTCATCCCAAACATCGGTTGAAACGACAAACCCCCCCTACCCGCCGTCCCAGTTGCGGAATACGTGCGGACACTACGTGGCTCCCCCCATTCATCTCCATTTAGGGTAGCTTACACTACGTAGTCTTTTCACGTAGGGAACTAACTGAGAGATGATTATCGTCTCTATCCACATTCTAAGCGAACGGGGCTACTCATCTTTCCCTCACGTGCTACTTACAGAGTGCTGCTAATCCCCTTTATAGATCCAATGAAAGAGTCTACCAAATTCAGATGATAGGTCCGGCAAACGGCACCAGCTACTGACTAGGTACACTACTCCTACTGTAACGTGAAATTCGAGTACGGTAGGTTGTTTCGATTTCGGGTGCATTCATTCGAGATCGTATTTAGGTAGTATAGCCGCCCTGGATGCTTTATGCCCATTTATCTCCGTGCGTTGACCTTCCTCTTTCTTTCTAGATATATCTGTTGCGGCTGGATGAGTGTCGCGAAAATGCATCACCTTTGCTGACGCCACAGGAGCACCTTGTTTCGATTGAACATTGAAATCCAGTAAGCTACTTGCCTTACAATACGTAGCTGTGGCTATGGACTTCGTAGAGTGTATCGTTGGAACGAGACAACCGTGTAGATTCAGCCAGTTTCTGTTTTGCCCGCAAATTCCTACGTTGCAGGACCGTCTGGGTGGGTGGGTCAGTAAGTGGTGTTTGTGTGAAAAGTTTCCGATATCCCCCTCAAGAGAGACCAGTTTTGTAAGTGATTTTCTCAAAGCGAACTCGGCACAGCCAAGCCGATCTTCCTTCTTCTAGAAAGCGTCTTCAACGAGGGCGGCACAAACCTACGACCAATGTCTGCATTGGGCCTGCCCAGGCGGGCGCATGCAACAATAAAAGGGCCCTGTTACAACTCCCCCAGATCCTCTTCGCTCCGTGACATCCTCCCGGCGATGAGATCCAGCCACGCCGCAAGGCGGTAGCCTGCCTTCGCGACCTGCAATTCAATGACAGGCGCCGCTTTCTCGAAGTACTCGCCCGCAAGCTCCTGACCTGCAATGGCCGTGGGTCCCTCTGGGAAGACTGTCGGAAGGGAAATAAGCCACGAAACTCTCTTCAAATCAGAAACAGCGTAGGAGACACAAAAAAAGACTCACCGTGGGAGCAGACGTAGGTGTTGGATTCGTTTGCCCAGACCATAGACGTCGCGATAGGATCATCGAGGAGCATCCCGTCGAGCCAAGCCGCGCTCTCTGCCTGGTATTTCCCAGACTTGATCTCGTCCGTGAGGTCCGTAGCCCATCGAAACGCGTTATCATAAGCTTTCCTCCTGTTCCCCCCAAGCATCTTCTCCGCAATGCTCGAGTCCCACACATGATGCACTAAATGAGACATATCCGTTAGAAAATCGCGTTTCTGACATCCTGAGGGCGGCGCCACGGATGGGGAGAAGAGCTTCATTCAAAGAAAGGGTTTGGTCGGGGTGTGGGAAAAGTCTCGTAGGAGGAATCAAAGCAGCGAGGTTTTAAAGACAATCCTACAGTTGAACTCATGTCCTTCCCAGTTCACGTGGATGCCGTTGCCGCCCTGGGCGACATTCTCGACGTGCAGCGGCTGGTGAATGTCGCCCACGAAGTGGACTACGAACTTGGCGGCCTGATTCCGACGCCAGGGCCACAACTCGGCGTCGAGAAGCTGCGAGGTGTAGTTCTGGAGGGCGCTGACGACGCAGCCGTCAGCCTTGCAGTCGCGGACGAAGTCGACGCCGCAATACGCCGGCGGGTCGTCCTTGGCGTCGATGAAGTGGAAGTCCTTGCTGAAGCGGCCCCATCGCGTGTAGCGGATGCTGTCGGCCCACGTCGCGACGCCGGCGAGGTAGTGCTCGGTGTCGTTGCGCAGCAGCTCCTGGAAGTACGCCGTCGTGCGGTCCTGCACGAAGTTGCTCGCGATGTAGGCGATGGTGATGTGGCCCAGACCTAGATAGATAGCTGTACTTAGCGATCTGTTGGCAGGGGATTCGGCCTTTTCGACCCTAGCTACTCTGCTGGTGGCTGCGTGCACTTACTACCCCATGCGAGAGCGCCCGGCAGCAATGAAGCGCCGAGAAAGAGGGCTCGGGGATCCAGTCTCATGGTCGATTTGTCTTAGAATAATGATACCTCAACACGATGACGGACCAGAAGTTACTTGTATTAATTATGATGTATACTGATACTCGGTAGTGTCTACAGTTTCTGTGTATAAGTGGTGAGTGAAGTCTGGAGTCGAGTACATTAAGTACAGATCAGATAAAACATCAGCGGCCATGTTGCTGCTGGCCTCATGCGCGCCTGATGGTATCTTGATGGTGCATCTTATGCGCGCTCTGTCATTGGCAGAGGGTCAAATTGTGGTGGTTGGCAAGGGAACGTGATCTGTGCGCGTGGCCATGATTCGCTCCCGAGAGCCAGGCTCAGCTGATGCTACTGATCTGCTGCAGTTGCGTTGGCTGACTTAAGCACGCACTTTAATTCCATTACCTATGTAGATATATGAACTTCTCAACTCTTTAATTGTCTGCTCATGTTGTATTAAGAAAAAGAATACCTATCTGGGCTTATAGGTGTTTCCAATCAATAGGTACTTACCTAATGTTTAAGAAGTATCAAGCGTCTTCAATTCACCCAGAGGTACCTAATCTCAAAGGCAGTTCACTGTACAAATCCGCGTACCTACCGCTAGGTAGTACAGAGTATAAGTGCAGTGTCTGTGCAGTGTAATGGGAACCCTCTCAGTGGCCAAAGCCGCACCTAACCCACTGTACAGGCAACCACCTGAATTGGGACAAGTGTACCACTAGATCTCCGGGTAACACTGCTGCTGCTGCTGCAAGCAACCAGCCGAGCCAGCCTTGAAGATTCTGAAGGAGGGGACCCTGGCTTCTATCTACGTCACAGCAGGGCTTTGCCTCCCCTCAGCTGGCTCTGCGCATGTGGTCCTTACGCGATTTGGTGTGCATGCAGAAGAGACTTTTTAAGTACCCGTGTGCTCTTCTCGGCCGGAGAGAGAGAGACTGACAGAATAAAGTAAGGATTTGTCTGTATCCATTCACTCTCCAGAAATATCTCCTCATGGAGAAGAGTCTTCTTGTCCCGATACTTACACCTCTCTGACCTCTCGATGATCAGCACTAAGCTCGTTTCGGTATCACATCAGGTGCGTCCCGGAACATGCAGTCTCGGCAGCCGAGTGCGTGTGTGTGTGCAGCGCAGTCATACTCTTCTTATCTCTTGCTCGAAAGATAAGCGCAAACACTTTCGTTCGACAGCTACCCACCACCCCAAACGTCCTACTTACAGTAAGATAGTCAGTCAGTCAGTCAGTCTATCTAGCTGGACGCCGACGCCGACGCCGACACCCACTTTGCTAACGCTTAGATCTAGGTTAGTTAGTAGCGTAGCGGGTTAGTTAGGTAGTAGCAGTCAGTAGTACCTTTCACTCGCTCGCTCCTCCCCTTCTCTTTCCTCAGCTGACCTCATATCGTCTTTATCCTCTCCTCCATTGATAAGGCATCTTTCCCCAGATCCCTTCTCTTCTCTAAGTTACCCACATGATACTGGCTTCCGTCTTCATATACAGCCCGCCCCTAGCTGTCATACCGGCAGCCTTTCCAACGTGAAAGCGTTGCTTCGGCTTTTCAGTCTTATTCACCCTGTTTCATGAGATCCAGGCGTTCAAGCCTCTGATAATCATGTTATCGCAGAACCTCACCACCGGCGAGGCCCTCTCGGGCATTTTCGGCAGCGTGAGCTTGACAGCATGGATTTGCCTACTGGTACGGTTACCAGAACGACAGCCTCGGGCTCACTACTCTCTCTAAGCTAATGCGCCGTCTGTAGATTCCCCAGCTCATCACGAATTACAAAGCCAAGAGCGCCGAGGGGTTGTCCATGGGATTTCTAGCCATCTGGCTTTTTGGCGATGTCACTAATCTGGGGGGTATGTCTCACTAGCTTCTTATCTTCACAGCTCTTGCATGCGACCATCTTCAAGCCTTTCTGTCTCGGAGCTCCACTTGTTGCGAAGCCGTCTCGTCAACCTTATTATCGGCATTGCAGCTTGTCTCTACCATGTCAAGGTTTCACTAAATGCAGGCATCATGGCTAATACAACTTTCTTGATCTAGGCGCCCTCGCGACTGGTCTTGCCCCTACCGCCACAGCGCTAGCAGGCTACTTCTGCATATCCGATCTTATTCTTATTACGCAATGCATGTACTACAATATGCGCAATGCTCACGTTGCTCGACGACGAGATTCTTCCGATACCGAGTCATCTGAAGAACGACCTTTGTTGCGGCGCAACTCCACAACCTCGACCTCGCATGCTCGACGATCCCACCACGAGCAATCGAACTCTGATGCTCTTAAGCGTGTTGTTTCAGGGGAGGCTGAAACCTCCAAGACCAGCTCGTGGCTGAGTAATTCTCTGGCCGTCTTTGCTATCTATCTCGTGGGTGCAGCAGGGTGGTTCATCTCATACCGCGCTGGAGCATGGGATAAGCCTGATGGTCCCGATGCGCCGGATTCTGACTCAGAGCCTCCCCTTGGCGGCATGATTCTTGGCTATGCCAGTGCGCTTTGTTATCTATGGTATGTCATTACCTGTGCGTGGGTTATGATGGGTTAAGCTAATAGGTCTATAGCGCTAGGATCCCTCAAATCATCAAGAATTACAGAGAGAAATCTTGCGAGGGTAAGTCTTATCATCAGCAATGCTAGGCTTCGTCAAAAGCTGACATGGACCAGGCCTCGCACTTTTATTTTTCATGTTCTCCTTGACTGGAAATCTGACATATGGGTTGAGCGTCTTCACTTATTCCCAAGATGCTGATTACATTACCAGGGCCGTGCCGTGGTTGCTTGGATCGCTGGGGACAATTGTGGAGGATTGCATTATCTTCTACCAATTCCGCATATATTCAGGTGGAGAAGATTCTGGGAACAGGTCCACCGGCGTTAACGGCGCACACGAATCTGCATAAATGCATTTGAAACATGGGACAGGAGATGAGAAGGTTATCAGCATATTGCATTTCCAAGCTATCGGCATTGTTAGGTTAGCTCTCGCTTTTCGTACTGCATACTTTGGGGCGTTCCGTTATTGGGGGCATTGTCTATCGTCTTGCTCTCTTGTTCTCGGATCACAGCGCTATGACAATTAGTGCCATGGATGTATGTTTTTGGGTTACATTCGGACTTAAACCTGGACTGGATTGGGGTTCTTTTCTAGATTGTCAAGACTCTAGAACATGCTTAATATGAGAATATCATATCATGAGCGCTTTGTCTCCTCTGGCACGTTACTTATCTTGCTTAAATAATTCCCTTGGACCGACGCATCTGCCCATCTTGACTCCTGCCTATCTTGATTGGAACTCATGATACCGCGGGATGCACAGTTGGTGGGTCGCATTCAACAGGCACACCAATTGAGAACTCTCACTAGATACGGTGTTCGAATGCGAGGATTTGGCTCAGAATCGAAAATATATATATGTACACATATAGGTATAACTATGTGTATGTGAATGATTCAAATAAATTTCAAGGCGAGATTAACGCGCGCACATAGAACATTAGAATATACAGGATCCCCTTGTGCTTGTCTGCCTTTTTCTCTCCTTCGCTCGTAACTCCTACGCCTTATTATCGGATCTATTATGTATATATATATATATATATATATGCAAATCGATTTGGACATTTCTTTGAGCACTGATATTGACGGGGTCTGGTTTGCGTGACAAGAACGAAGACGGGGGTCCGCGAAGACAATAAACTCTTGATTGAATAGACCTGTGGACAGAGAGAGTACCATGGATAGGTGTGTAATAGGTGAGCCCGACGCTTCTGTTTAGGTCTATTTTTCCTGGTCTCTTCATGTAATTGCGCTCAAGTGCCACTGCTGTTGATTGACGTAGGTAGGTAGGTAGGTAGGCAGATTGTATACTCTGGATACGGCGATTCGGGTATGAGCCAGAGAGAACGGCAAGTGACTGATTGTTGAATTTTGGGTTTGAAGCTTCAGATGTTCAACCAGGAGAGCTTATATCCCGCGTAATCAGCCCGTGACTGTAATTATCCCCGTAGAGGCCTTGTGTACTCATTAGTTCGATATTCAGAGATGAAAATCATGTCGTATAGTGAGAAGCTAGGCAAAGGAAACTCACGCGCAACCATTCGGCGTCGCCACGCCATAGAAGCAATCGCCCTCGACCCTATCCACGACCTGATCCTGGAAGACAGGCGTCCTGACAAGGCCAGCACTAGCCAGCGAGGCGCAGAGGGCAACGAGGAACATCGAAGTCTTCATTTTGGGGGGGTGGAAAGAGTGCCGGATTCGACAGTAGATAATATAAGACTGGTAGGTTTCTTTATATTTTTCCACGGCCGTTTGAGCGTCGTTGACGAAAGCGAGCAAGTAAGGTAAGTAGGGTATAAGATAGCCAGAACCAGCTGTGCTGTATAGGAGTTCCGAAGTCGTATTGGAAATATTCTTGGCGATGCAAGGAACGGACGAACGAACGAAGGGGAGAGAAACGAATACACGCGCAGCGTAGATCACGGAAACATAACATGCACACGCGCGCGCACACACACACGATATGGATCAATTAAGCATTAAGAAGTAGGAAAGGAAAGAGCTGAAGCCGGCGGGCGGGATGAGGGAAGGGTGATGATATGGTGACAGGATGTTAGGTGAGGGTGAGAGAGGGATGGGGTTTGATGTCCCACTTTGCGGCGACGGACGGGGCCGGATTGACAGGCTGCCGACTCAAGCGAGCGGGCGTGATAGGCTGGGTGCGCGTGGGATGGAAGGGAATGGTTCGATGCCAATGGCCGAGTTATTCCCATTCGAGCACGGCGGCGGGTGAGGAGGAGCGTTCAGGGGGTTGGCGGCTGCGACGTTTTGGCTGCGTGCCGCTTTCGTCGCAGGGGTTTTTGTTGGATGGAACATGCAACCGAGATCAAGAGGTTTCAGGGTTCGCGAGCTCTTTTGGCAGCCAAGCCAGCGGTGTAGTACCGAATAGACATGACATGCATTCTGCAGATAGCGAGAAAGATGGACGATTACCTAGGTAGTTAATCTTATGATAGCTTATGGTATAAGTAAGATGCTACATATCCCTCGGGTTTCTTATTTCATTTTGGGAGTGATCACTTCTTCTCGAAGTCGTTATGAGTGTCACCAACAGTCAGATCGTGAACCGCTGAGAGAGCTAGTCTGCTTGAGACCATACAAGAGGTGTTTGAAGTGGGCGTCACTCCCGTACCTAGGTAACTTCAATGTTGGTCAGCAGTTCGACCAACGGCTCTGGATGTGGCCCGTGCGTATTCTGGTATCTTCAAGATGAACGACTCAAGTGATCAGATGCCAGGTGATTGATTACCTACTCGTGTAAAGATACGGACATCTCGAAGCAAGATGATTAATTAGATAGGCACTGATATTTTCTTTTCTTTTCAATATTTGGGTTGCTTGCATTGCACACATCGTATATCATATACCATAACTCTACGCACCGTTCCTGGTACGACCTTGGCAAGCCTGCTCAGCCCTGTTTTCTGCTTTCAGCGCCCAAGTGCTTCTTTCTGATACCCAATCATGGCGACGCAACCACCCCCTCCTAAGGCTTCGAGATCATTCTCATTGCCATCATGTACTTGATCAATACGCAGACTCTTCGCCTTGAGGAGTTTCAGAGCGAGGAGGGCCTGCAGTATGCAATCCTCTCACATCGGTGGGAGGATGGCGAGGTGACCTTTCAAGATATGGAATCTGGCCGTGCACCAACCAAGCCGGGATTCGTCAAGGTCCAGAAATGTTGCGAACAGGCCAGACGACGCCACTTGCGTTATGCGTGGGTCGATACTTGTTGCATAGACAAGAAAAGCAGCGCCGAGCTCTCGGAGGCCATCAATTCTATGTATCGCTGGTACCAGAGGTCCGACGTATGCTATGCCTTCTTGTCCGATGTCGAGACTCTGTCCTCCTTCCACCAAAGTTTATGGTTCACCCGCGGATGGACACTACAAGAACTTTTGGCCCCGCGCAGGGTGCGGTTTTACAACAGCTCGTGGAAATGCCTCGGGGAAAAACAGGGACTGCATGCGTACATTAGCGAGGCTACCAAAATCAATCAGTCCATCCTTCAAAATTCTATGTCGGTGTTTGATTGCTCAATTGCGGAGCGAATGTCATGGGCAGCCCACCGCAAAACAACCCGCATCGAAGATCGAGCTTACAGCTTGTTAGGACTGTTCGATGTCAATATGCCCCTGCTGTATGGCGAAGGTGAGAAGGCCTTCATACGGCTTCAAGAAGAAATTATCCGCCACTCGAGTGATCACTCGATTTTTGCCTGGTCCTTGCCGACTCCTCCTGAGAATAGGCACTTCGGCCTATTGGCACACTCTCCAGAAGCCTTTTCCGAGGCTATAGGCATCCGATCTCAAGTGCATAGCAGAATGCAGTCTCCATACACGGCAACAAATCAAGGCCTTTCAGTAACTCTTAAGTTGACTCCCTGGACGGCGGATACTTATGTTGCTTTTCTCCAATGTTTCAGGATGTGCGATAGCATCAACATCGGCCTAGGGATTTTCTTACGCAGACTAAGACAAGATGACCAGTACGCACGAGTATCGTACCACGACTGCTCCACAATCCTGATCAACAACCACCTCCACAGAGAGGCGCAGCTAACTCGAAACGTAACCGTATATGTGAAGCAAAATCATCATCTTACCAAGGGCTTTGGTATGATTACCGACTCTTCGGCTATCGGCCTATTGAATTACTTAGATACACCCCGGCCCCGTATCTACGGCTATCGTATCATAATACCGGAGCTGAGGGATATAATGAAAAGAGTCCCACAAAGTTTTGTGGAAGTTCCAGCTGGTAATGATTGGGATCCCAATACATCCATCATGACGATGAAGGAAGGAGGCTTTGGAACCGTCGGAATCCTCAACTTGGAGATGTTCGACATTGATTTGAGGATGATCAAACTGGGATTCGATTTCGACCACAATCCAGTCGTAGCTATCATCGAAAAGACTCCCAGCCAGTCACTTGCCTTTGAATCATTCTGTCCTATGTACAGCCCTGCAAAGCCTGCCAGTGTCTACTCCCATAATCCATCTAACTCGTTTCTAGAAGGAAATGATGGTATTTGGGCAATGCAAGGAGATAGAGTTGATGGTCTTCATGTTAAACTGTTGACTAGCAGTCGGATTCGAAAAGAAAATCAGGAACATGACGCGCTATGGATTCGTATTCAGAGAGCCACCTTCAACAACATGATAGTCTGGGAACTGGATATATATGATCTGATAGTACCACATACTACAACCCAGATTCTTGAGCAGTAATAAATTAGTTACTTTACGTAGCCAAGTTCTTGATTGAGAACCCACGATCATGACCAAAAGTGTGTTATCAACCAGTGTCTATATATCCTTCCCCCTGGCTGTAGTGAACGAAAGTTGGTTCAACTCTAGCACGAACAAAAATTAGCTTATCCATTGGGAAATCCCAGTCATGAAAAAGCATCAGAAATGAAACAGGATGACGGCAAAGTTATTTCATTGTATAACTCAATTCCTCATGCCAACGATGGACCACTCGATATATGTAGATCTATGTATCTTATTTCCCTGGTACTTAAGTACCTCTTTCACTCTTGCTAGATGCAAAAAGGGGCACAATTCTCTCACTCCCTTCATTGCGTGCCCATGCCTCGAAGCCGAACGCGAGCATTTAATATGAACCTACAGTGAACACAGAGTGAATTAGATACAAGCGAGATGTATCCAGCACCAATCCCTCGTAAATGGCGAGATCAAATACTTACATATCATGACATGTATCGACAGATATATGTAGTACTTGCAGCCGTACCCTTTTTTAAATGAACACCCCTTTCCGTCATTATAGCCAAGTTGCCAAGTCATGCAATCGGCGCACCAGCTTCGCGCCGGGTACCTGTGAAACCGAGACTGAGCTGCATATTGTGTGATACATATGCACACCGTGTAAGGATCTTCGTGTCTCACGCCGAAAACGTGGTTAAGTTGCTGGCAGTGAGAGAGATTCTTGTCCTGCTATTAAAGGGGTATCATGCAGATCTGCTAGCTACAAATACATCTTAGAAGCAATTCACCAGCTACTTTCCGTCCCACCTTCTCGGATCCTACCCACAATCGGACCATTCAACGTGACTTATTGTTTATAGTGTACAGAGTAGGGCTCAGGGCCCGACTAGTGGCATAGATGGCAGTGTATAGGTAGTCTTTGCTGCTTTTTCTATCATCGAGAACCTTGATCAGCTTGTTGTTACACGCGTACAAGCTGAATATGCAGTTCGCCTTACAACTCGGCCGTACGAAAGGCCATTGCAGGCTGTTCATGATCATTCAAAGACATGCAGGCAATATTGGAAAGTGAGGTTATACAGACTTCCCTTCTTGAAACAAGCCCTTGAGACCTAGGCGGTCTAGGCTGGCGGACCAGTTGTATATAGAGTCGAGTCGAGCCACCAAGTCCAGGAAGTAATTAGTTGGTCAAGGACTCATGCAGCCCTAGTTAATCATTATATTGCGAATAGCAACAAGTTCCAAGCCCAAATCTCCAGCCTTATTATACTTGTTCACTAGCGATTGTGTAAAGGCAACTCTTCGAATTTTCAGGGTTGTGTAGTGTCAATATGACTCATAAGGGGTTGTCAACAGGTCTCAGTCATCGTACAGCCCCGGTAGTGATGAGTATATCTTCTACATCCTAGAGCGGCTGAGGGGACGGTGCGTAGCCGAACGATCAACTCATCCATTAACACGCAACAGAGATAAGATAACCTCGGTGAAGAATACTCTGGGTCTTATTAGAATCCCTGCTTGGCGTCCGATACCTTTTTCGATATCTTAAAAGGTAGATTCTTGACTTTAGAAAACCTAGGAAAAGTACTATAGCTTGACGCCTCTTTGAGAAAACTGATGCCAAACTCGCTGCTTGAGATCGATCTTTACATCTGACATCCGCTATGTATCACAAGGGGCTATGAACAATGTTCGACGCTACTCACAACACAACGATATGGTATAACCGCCAAAGGTGTGTAACACCGTGACCTCGTCAGCCCAGTAATACTGCCCGGCGAATGGGTCTATTTGCACTGCATTATTACTTCGTAGCCCGCGCCGGGAGCATGTTGTAGGTAAGGGTGCTGACGAAGTATCCACGTTATATTACAGCGCACGGCAATTGCGGCTAGACGCGGCAAGACACGGCTAGTTGCGGTTAGTCCGGCTCACTGCATTATTAGCCCAACTCGAGAGCATCGTGTGGCTATTTGCAGATAGTTCTTCACTTGCCAACACGCTGCCAACACGCTCTTGAGCTGGGCTACGAATGCAGTGAAAACCCATTTATTCCTAGACTTAACATGATGAAATAACCTCCAAGTACTGGTAGGCACATTCACTGTGCTTTCAAATGGACTCAACGATGAAAGGCATCGCCCACCTCTGAGAACGCAGGTAGTGAACGCTCCTCATCCAACAGCGTACACTGATCTGATAAACCTCATTCCCTCGACTCGATTTGGAAAGAAATCAAGAATAGAGGCTTAACCGACACAGCCAACGTCATATCCCATCACCGAGACCATATTCCTGAGATTCAATGGCAGGCACTTCCAGGGGCTGTTACATACAAGACAGGTTGGAACCTGCGAAGGTTTGTTTGATGGACTTTCGAGTACCAAGAGGGAGGTTTACCAGTTAAAAAGAACCTATTGCGTGCCATAAACAGACTGACACCTAGCAACCACTCGATTCAAAACCTCCTATTTGGAAGAGTCGAAATCATTCGGATATACTACCTCGGATTTTCTTGAGATGTAACCACTCTCTGATAGTCTCGGAGCACATACTCTGAGTACTACGCATATCGTAACACTTCACGTTACAACTCGGATTTCTATCCCGAGCGAACTATCACAACAAAAGCACACATATTATCATAGCAATCCTAGACAGAAGTCTATCAAAGCTCTATCTAAAACAAGGTCTATATCCCCCTTTTTTTTCGCGTCTCACCAAGATATGAGACTGTCTCAACTCAGCCTATTCATCCCTCGCTATCGTGTAACATAGTGACCGATCATGGCAGCCAATCGACCACCTAATGCATCCCTATACATCGCAAACCTAAGCTAGATTTACAAGAAACAAACATATGAAAATCCCTTGGCAGTCATACCAGATATCTTCTCACGCACTCTACTTCACCTCGTACCAGTATCACTCCACTCGTCGTCGACTCGTAGGCCGCATGTCGTCCCAACCATCGGAAGCGCACAACTGCTCGACCCACGCAGCCCATCCCGGATCATCGTCATCATCATCATCTATCACTATCAGCGGTACAGAGGGCCTGGCCGCAGGAATATAATCGGGCGGACCCATGGGCTGTCGTGGTGCATTCATCGGGGTATGGTCTCTCAACATCAGCGGCACAGGCGCATATCCTGCCCTCGCGGCGGCACTACTCCCTTCCCAAAGTTGATGAGGACCCATATCCGCTACTGGTGCATTTCCCGTGACGACGTAGTTTTGTAGTCGTCGTATCCCATGTGGCGGGAGTTCGGGTAGCGGTGTTCGACCGCTGGCTCGATTCAGCGGCTCGAATCGTAGCTGTCCGTGCGGATAATGCATTTCTCCCTGCTTCTGTATCTGCGCTTTCTCGGGGCTGAGCAGCTTGTTGCCTCCCCTTGGTCCCGCGGTGTAAACGCATGGCTGAATGCCCTTTTCGCAGCAGTTCTTGCAGCTCGGCTTCTGGCCGTCGCAGCGGGCCTGACCACCTTAGATGTAAGTAACCAAGGGTAAGACAGACATATATATGATGAGAAAGTAAGAAGAAGGGAAAGGAGAAAGAGAGGTTTTCTTGAATCTCACCTTTGCTAATCGACATCCGTCGCATGCGATAAGGGACTGCTGTTTGGTAGTGTGGTTTGTATCACGGGTATCCCGCACGAACGTGACGGGACCGCTATCTGGTGGGAGATATTCAGACATGGCCTCTTCTCTTTATGAAGGCATACACAGTCGTGAGTTGAGGCGAGCAGGAATATATTTCAGATGAGTTTGTCCTCGAAGCACACCACACGGACTCGACTAAATGAACCCAGGGCATGCACACCTTTTATACCACCAAGCAATCCCGCGTGAATGCATTGAGCTGTCAATAGGATATTTGTCCTTACAGGTGTTTGTTTATGTTTTCACAAAGGGGTGTGTGTATTGTATTGTATGTGTAAGTATGTTTATGTTTGTGCTACCAATCAATATATCCCTGGAGAATACAAGTAGCTGGGGGACAGATATCTTGCAACCTTCCTCACCCTCGAAACTGGGAAGGGAAGGAAATAAACAAACAAAAACAACAGAGCAATACAAAAAAGAGAAAAAGGAAATACTGGCCAACGAGGGAATCGAACCCCCAGTACCTAACGATGCAGAGTAGTGATACACGAACGCTGTTAGGAACGCTAAGTAAATATACTTTTCGTAGGAAATGCTTCGCTAGACCGTACCAACTCGGCCATTCGCTGAATTTTCTTGTCTTCGGTGTACGAGACCACAAGTGAATACTCACATATAAGCCTTTATGCCTTTGAATAGAGTTTGCACGGCAGCACGTATTAACTCAGTTTCTTACAGAAGGGCGAGCACGCACAGGTTGTTATTTCACCTGAAGATATCCGCCAAAGCTTAGCTACGGATCATGGAATAAGGTATAGCAGAAAAGGTAATGTCAGAGGGGCTGTACAAGGTATATAGTAAGATCCTCACTCGTTGTGGCACAAGGTCTAAAAAGTCAGAAGTCTGAATGCCTTCAGACTTCTCTGACTATATGCAGTGTATATCTCTTTGTTCCTTTGCCCTGAGACCCCTGACAGGTAGTTCCCAACGATACCCAGCAGTAGCCACAAACCTCGTCGAATTAACCGGGATGTTATTGTTACTGCTCTATTTCCTCTCGAAAACCAGGTTCTTAGACTGCAAAACTGATGACAATGTTACACTATAAACCGCCTAAGAAAACAAGCTTCTACATCTATCACAATCATATCACAGCAGCCTTCACGAAAGATCAAGTTCATCAACACATTTATGCCTCTCATTTCATGTATTTTCCTGGTATGTATATATGTAGGTATATGAGTAGATCCTTGCCTCGAGACCAGGTGCGTAGGTATGTAGATATTCTCCTCATGCAACAAAGGGTAGCAGTAAGGCCAATAAGTCAAAGCAGCTCTACCATCAATGTATACAGTTCGTCTCGCTAAGGGGAAGGAACACGCCATGCCATGCCATTAGACTTGACTTAAAACGAAAAGCTGCTATGATTAAATGACAACAAGTGGCGTTAAACGACCAACTTAGAATAACTAGAACCAAGAAAATGCTATAGCTGTATGCCGCGCTTCCATGATAAAAAGCGAGGCTGGCGTTGAAACCAAGACCTCGATGCAGACCGGACTGACCCTGAATTCAACCTTCCGCAATCCCAGGACCATCCTGAGTGTGTCCCATGAACAGAATATGCCAGGCGCCGTCATGAAGTATGTCTATTACGTTACAAAGAAAAAAAAACCTGTAGTAGCTGTGCCATCCTAATACTCGCCACGAACCAAAGAATAAAATAGGTGGGGGTATCAGCAGAAAAATATCAAGGATTACTATATCTTCCTAGCATCAAATAATGTCAAGCTTAGACTTGTGTCGTTCTCCCCTACGTTGGGAGTTGGCTCATTAAGGATCTCCCAGCGTCTGAATGTAAAGGGTGTAAGCTTCTCTGGTGGCATTCCGATACCGAAGTTCATGGCCATCATCCTGCGCTCGTGGACACCAACTGGAGGCTTTTCCCTATGTGCTAGCATCAAGTTTTCAGCCGGATCCGCAGAAAAGCTGAATAGGTACCGGAGCCGGTGGTCTGCAGTGTAATCCTTCACAGCACGCACGCATTGGAGGCGGGCCTCCTCTGGCAGGTTGTCAGCGAGGACTAGGGCAATATCGAAGATGCGTGGCCCTAGTTGGGAGGCTTGGTACTTGTCGAGCTCTAACATGACCCCTGCCAGGATAACAAGGATACGGGCGCGGGTGTCACTGCCCAGGAGCTTGGAAGCCTCTGTGACGGCTGAAAATTGGGGGGCCTGAAGAGCAAGGAATGACAAAAGTAAGGGCAGCCAATGCGCAAGTACAGCTGCTTTCAACCCTGCGCACTCTTCATTCGAAGATGCCAAGATCTCCCAAAGATCTGTCAGCCTGTCCGCTATCCCGCTTGAAAAGGGAGGGAGTCTCGACATAAGTGCACCTCGAAGAACCGAATCAACAACCGTTAGTAAATTCTCTGCCATGTGAATGTCACTTCCAGATGCAGCTTCGTCAAAGGGTAAGCTCTTGATTGAGGGGAACAGGTCGAGAAATCGCGCCTCTGCTCGATTTTTCAGATGTAGTGTGATGTCAGAGCTTAAGTAAGAGAGCATCCCAGTCCACATTATATTGTCTGCTTCTATCGCGTTATCCATTGCAATGGAAAGTTGCTCGAATTGCGTTTGAAGTTTCTCGGCTCCCTCAGGCGTGCTGGGGTCATGAATCGCTAGATTTAGCGAAAGCTTGACTTGGCAAAATGGGAGTGTGAACTCATTTGCCAGCTCCAAGACCTGCTCAAAAGTCTTCTGTCCACCTCCGCTATGTGGAACCAAAAGTTTAGTTGTGAGGGCTTCAATAAGCGTAGCTAGCTTCGCATCTGGGCTCCTCAGGGACAAAGTCTGGCTGGCAGCTTGAGGATCGATAAGGACTAGATCCCTAAGTAGCTCAAAAAGATAAGACTTAACTTTTTCATCATCGAGAGGCTGCGGTCTAGGGGGTTGTTGGTTTCGAGATGCTGCATATTCCGCTAGCGATCCACGAACCAAAAGCATAACCTCTTTGGCATATTCAAGGCGAGCTTGTCCCTGGATAATTCGAAAACGGTAGCAGTCATCCGAGGCCATGATCTGATCGGGAATCAAAGGCTTCATCAACAGTTGCAGGATTTCTTGCATGTAAGTAGAGGCTGAGCCCACTGCGTTGGGTTGAGGCTGTGTACCTTGACCCTGACCTCTTAGTGCAGTTGCTAGGAGGGTAGTGAGTGAAAGACACCCGGAGCTGACGAGCAGTGGGTACATTTGGGCAATTGGTGCTCGCTTCGTCAGCTTGCGGATATGTTGTACCCACTCTTTCATCAGAGTGTCAAAGTACTGCGTGTCGAAAACTCTGAGACGTGACAATAGAATAGAGTAGGGACGTTGTCGTTCATCGCCTTTGGCCCAGCAGATGACAATCTTACTCACGATTGTATGAAAGAGGCGTTCCATGGTATGCTTGTCAGCGCTTGTATAGTTGGCCAACTTTTCGATCTGTTCACCCAATTCTGTCTCATCATCCTGAAGCTGGGTAGCCATATTGTCTGATAACGGCGATGAGGCATCGACGGCATTACTTCGATCTGCCAGAAGCAATTCATTCCGTAACTGTGATGCGATTGGCTCGAGTCCTGGGAGTCGGGGGGCAAGGCTGGCGAGTGAGGCGAGAAGCGGTCGCACCCCAAGACCTTGTTCCACGCTAAGAGCCTTGAGACGATTGTAGAACGAATGGAAAAGCGATTTTGCAGAGCCGATCGCGAAAAATACGGGCAAATGGAGGCTGACAGTGTTCACACAGTAGGATAACGTCTCTACGTCGGACGACTGTGTTAGGTAATCTAGCGTCGTGTCGAGCATGCTGAAATCTTGAGCGGCTTCTAACAAGTTTCGGACTATATCAAAACATCTTTCAAGCGGCTCGAGATGAGGTTTATCGGGTTGAAACTGTTGAACAGTGTTATCGACGAGGCCGTGTGCAAGCCATGAACAGACCTCATATTTCAGACAACGACTGCTTAGCCCTATCCTCTTGGCTAACTTTTTGACACTCATTGGCGGTTTTTGTAAGATAGGGTCATTGGGCTCAAGCGGAATCGATAATACGTGTTTGATACATCTGATTGCTGTTCCGATATCTTTTTCTTCATCTTCGACGAAAAAAGAAGCCCTTCGAAGCAGAGACGCTCTCAAACTTTTCATGGAATCACTGAACGAATGAGAAGGGATCTCAGCTAGAAGCCTCATACAACAAGGACCATCTGGTTGCGCCGCAGAAGGGTCAACAAGGCCGCCTCGAGCGATAAGCCATTGGATGTACAAAGGGACAGAAAAATGACCTGAGCGAACAAGCTCTGAGATGAGGTGATAAATACTCTGTTTTCGTGGGGCTTCTTGAAGTGCGTCAGCATCTAGAAACACAAGTATCTCGGTGGTAAGGTCAGTGTTGGGGTCTGTTATTGACCGTAGAATCGTTGCTGCGATATAGACTTTCGCAGCACCAAACCGGTAAAGTGATGTACACCATTCAAGTGTGGTGCGTATGAGAACTGACGGATTATGAGTAGCCTTGCGTAGTTGTCCAGGAATATCATCTTTGAATGGCAGGCGCAGCATGTCGTCGAGCAGTGCAACTAATGTACTTCGAACGGCTGGTCGTGTTTTGACCGTAGAGCTGGTTAAAGAATCATTTCGAGAGTCGATAGCTCTGAATATGATACACGTGGATTCCTTATCTAAAGGAAGGGAAGTTTGTAGGGAGTCTCGAAACTGAGTCCAAGTCGCAGGGTGCACAAAACTGTCCGGGCATGTTAGAATGAGGGATTCAACGAGAGATCCCAGCTGGGCCGATAATGGCAGTAGAATGTCTCTATCCGGACTGTCGTATATCTAATTTAGAGTTAGTATAGGTTCGTGTATACTAGCCTGAAACATATAACCTACCGAACAGTGGTGGTTAAGCATAGCGGTTACGAGACGTCGTCCATGGCGTCGAAGCTTGAGCATATCTTTCCAGTAAATCTGAACTAATAAAAGCCACATAGGTAGCTTAGCTTCATGACTATTTTCGACGCTTGATATTAACCATTCCATGTAATGATCGCGGTCGAGAAGATGCTCGGCATAGAGGTGAGTAGCGAGACGAATGCTAGCCATGGTTAGTAAGAAGTATCCAAAAAAGGTTTCGCTGACACTTACGCATATGTAACCTTGGCCTTCCAATCCTCTTCGGTGAATGCGCTTATGATGGCCTCTAGAAACTGTTCCACGCACAGGGTCCAGTCTCGAATCCATTTCACTTCCCCGCCCATGACAAATGTGTTGTTAACCCCCTTACGCTTGAAAGCCCTGATTTCGTTTGCCCCTACACATTTTGCAAGCCAAACAGCTCTATCAGTTGGTACATTCTTGTTGAGACATTGGTCGAGTAGCACGCGACCCCGGATACCGTGAGGGATAGTTCTACTGAGCCGGCGAAGGGGTATGGTCGGATTCGCAAGATCCTTTAGCCAAACCTCTCTCTTGGTATCTGTGAGGGTGACGCGCGGTGGAGGTTTGAAAGTAGACGGTGACGAGATCTGTCCAATGTGACGCCGCTGGCCCAAGACACCAGTTAATATGGTTGACAATGCATGTAGCCCACTTTTGTGCTTCAAGGCGGGAAACAATGCAGCCTTTGCAGATGCGGCTTCCTGAGTTGGTTGCGCCGGAGCCTTGTCAAAATAGCCGATGCGAATGATATTGTCGGAGAACTGGTCTTCAGGGTGTCCTCCACGCCAGGGGTTGAAATCGGCATAGCCTGGGAAAATATTAGTATCTCGGTGGCTACCGCATTTGATTTTCCTGGTCCTACCAGACGGCTCTTGCTTCCCCATATTAGAATACCGAGGAGCGTCGGGAGGCGCTTCGAGTACGAAGGGCTTAGGGCGCGAATCTTTCTTTGCCGGCGTAGTCGTCGGTGGCGGCTGGAACCGCTTTGTTGGTGGCGCAAATCGAGCCCGGCGTGGAGGCATGGGGAGAGGAGCTGCATCTCCGTCGGCGGTCTGGCATCGCGAGGGTTGTGGGCTCATATCACCGAGGTCAGGAGCGTCAGTCATGGACATGACCCGTGATGGCGTGAAGACCTTATTCGCGGACAAGGGGTCCGGGTTTTGGGGCGATTCAACAAAACCCGTGTGAACGATGCCATCATTAGCCAGCTCCAGCTTGAGTTTGGATCCTCCCCTCCTTGGGGTTGTGCCATATCGGCTCTGCGCCCCATCGCCCCCATCGATGCCCTGTTCGCTGCTGAAGCTATCGGATCTTCGGATTGGAGACTGCGGAGGGTACTGTTGGGACAGCGAGCGCTGAGTGGCGGGTCTCTGCGACAACCCCGAGCCGCTGAGTGTTCTCTGAGGCTGTCGCTGAGAGATGGCCAAAGGGGGCCGTGAGGTCATCGCAGTCGCTGGGACGGTAAGTACTCCATATCTTCAATATAAGCAGGGATACGAGGATCGGTCGAGTATGAGGTCGAATGGGGAGCCTCGGCGTGATGTAGACGGGCGGAAGTGAGGCAGGTCAAGGACGGATGCGGTGTTATGATGCGAACCCCAAGCGGGTTGTGAAAAACGGAGAGTCGACGATCGAGTCGCAAGGGCAACGAGGTGTATGCAGACGTGCGAGCGGAAAAGGAGCCGGTAGAGGACGTCGTAGCTACGGCGTCTTGCTGTATTGCACGGATTTGTCAAACGGAGAGTCAGGATCCCATGTGTGTGGTGTGGCAAGAGTGGTGCTCGTGCTCATGGCTCGGTGGTCGAGGTCGGGAGGAATAGAGAGAGGTGCGGTGGTTCTGCGGTGGTTACGGCTTGACAGGAGCGTGCGACGAGGCTTGGGGATGGACGAACCACATTGGGCAATGATTGGTACGCTGGATATCGGGGATAGACTCAGGCCCCGACAGGGGTTGGCATGTATATACCTAGATGTACAGATGTAGAGATGTAGGTATACTTAGATAGGACTGTGGATTGTGGTGGGTTCCTGGCCTGGCGAGGCGGGCGGGAAGAGTGAGTGGCACAGGTCTTGTCTAACGACCTTCCTGCCTGCGTGCTGCAGATAATTATACTATGAATATATAAGTACGTGTACTACAGAGGTCTCCCCTATTCTCTCTATATATGTATTTAGCGTACAATGTTCAATGTACACTATGAACACTAGAGCGGAGGCGCTGGTATTAGTAGCGTGTGTACATTGTAATGCCTCTCAGCGTGTGTGTGTGTGCCGAGAGATGCCTCATGTAACTTGTATTATGTAATGACAGGTATCATTAAGCATATGGACTAGGTGTGTAAGTAAATGTAATGTAGGAGTGTCTGTACACAAGTAATGAATATACCGTACGATGTAGGTACCTATTCCAAACCACCAAGCATAAGGTAGGTACCTAGGGGAAAAGAAAGCTGGAATGGAATCGGCTGGGAAGGGATAAGGTTCGAGAGGAGAGCGGTAAGCCGGGACAGTCAGGGTTATTCCCTACTATGACAGCACAGTTGTCCGACCAGGTAGGGAGGTATATACCTATTAGATATACATAAGTTTCACAGTACCTACCGTGGGTTGTTGGTAGTTGCCATTTGGCATTTTCACGATTATGGAATATGGAATACCTATGGAGCATGTTGGACACTGCTGCAGCAACGTTCGTTCGTTCGGCATGCCAACGTGCCAACAGCAAAACAGCGCAGGACTGACTGCCCGGACTAGGCCAGAAAGGACAGAAAAGGACCTAGAGGGGGGATCCAGAAGGGGTCCCGGAGTTGCGAAAACATGCGCTTGGATGGGATGCCGACGTGGGATGTGGACGCAAGTGATTAGCGTGATCTGCCTTGCCGATGGTGGTGGTTCAGACTGTGCGCGATGCTCTCTCTCACGGCCCGCTGTCTACTTACGGTGCTCATCGAGACACTACACAATCCGGATCCACGGATTCTGCGAGGATGAAACCCATTGGGGAGCTTGGTGCCAAATATAGTGTACAAGGTACCAACTCACGATGCGTGCTGACATCCCTCCCAACGAACTGTACCGTACATGAGTCTGGTTTTCACAGATAGCGTGCGTATAAAGTAGGAACCTTACTGTTAGTCTTGGGATGCATTGCATCAAACAGCATCTACCCAGGAAGATAGAGACGCATCTGTGTCTTGGAGGTAACACAGTCAACTCCAGCTCTGGCTCGTCTATTTGATATCACCGCACTCGTGACGCCGGGCCAGAGACAGAGACCTGACTCAGTCTGAAGACAACTTACCTGCCAATCATCAGATCGCAAAATCTATCAGATACTTACTTACCTAACAGTAGTTACTAGGACCACAACGGGGTTCCGCGATGGCTGTCCTGTCCTGTCCTGTCCTGTCCTTTCTTTGACTAGCATGACCTGGTAGATCCCGGCGTTACCCCGTTGCAAGCACCTATCATCGGCCTTTTGATATGCATGGGTACTCCGGTCAACCGTCGAGTGTACTCTGAAATGTGTTCCATCGTCACGGGAGTCTCCGCCTTGGTATCTGGTGATGCGCTTGCATTCACTTCCTGAAACCCGAGCTATGCGATCCACACATACTATGTATACTTACATAGTAGGCTATCATTAGATGATTCAACCCGGGAGAGGGAAGAAAGGAGGATTGGAGCGGGAACGTGGCCACGTACGATGCCGGTTCCCCGCAAGGCGAATTTGGTTTGCCCTTCCATGACAGCTCAAAGACCCAAAGACCCAAAGACCCAAAGACCCAAAGTGGCTGCTCACTGGGAAAAGAGATATTACTATATTGGGCCAACTCCCAAAGCAGCATGTCCATAAGACCACTAGCAAGTATTCGGACCTGCTATCATCGCAGCTCGCACCAATTGGGAGGGCGGGTTACCTTGCTACACCTCGTGATAATGACGATCGGGTGTCAGCAGCACTTGGACAAAACAACCCACAATCAGACAAGCCAAGGAATAGTAATCGTCCACATTACTGACTCCACGCCACCGGAGCAACACGCATCTGGCTGTTCGGGATTTCAATTACCTACTCTACAAGGTTATAATATATCCCAGAGGGCAAGGAGCGCCGCGGGTTGTAACTACATATGTAGATAACTTGCCATTTACAAGGAAATTCCTACAGCATACCTACTAGGTACGTAAGATGGAAAACGCCGTACTCGCCCAGGTACTGTAGTGTGGTAGTTGAGGGCGGACGTACCCAGCTCTGTTCAGCTTGGGCAACATCCATCGCACTTGATTTCGCATCTACTTACTTAGTCACCAGCGAGCGACCCTCGGACCAGTCGGCCATTTTGTTCGTCTTACATAGTAGGTCTGCGGCAACACGGCTCGCTAATTTCTCCATCAAGTCCAGCAAGTACATGGCTATTACCAAGCTCCGGGATCGTTAGTGGTAGATTATATTCCCGCAAAGCCGCGAAGCCGCTTGCTACTCGTCGTGGTCTACTCTCTACTTGACTCCGAAGCGAAAGCGCTGATATGATTGCTAATCACGACATACTTAGTAGGGCTTCTTCCATTGCTTGGCACGCTCTGCGCTCATACATACAATACACTACATGTGTGTAGCCCCGAAACTGTTTCGGCTGCCAATACATTTGCCCAACCCGAGCTCCCGAGTCTCTTCAGTTTACTAATGAGGACTTCGGTACCGTGGCTCTCATATAATTCACATTGAGAAGCCGTCATTGGCTTGAGGTCTACTAGTTGTGCTGGCACCCTGATGGGACATGCCGTAATACACCCGACCATCTATCATTCTCACAACATACCTAGCGAGTCAGTATCTGGACTTGGCAAACGAGCAACGCGCACTTCGCCTGCGCTTGGTGGGCATTTGCCAACCCATTTCCTGCTAGCGAGATCATATGTCTACTAGTAGTAGAGTATCAACACTCCGTAATTATCATCCTACTCGGTCAGCTGGGGAATTAGCATCGGCGCCGACCATCACGCTAACTGCGACGCCCCAAGGCGGTGGGACGAGACCTATACAGGCCACACCGTCAACCTGGGTCAACCGAGCAGCAAGCCGTTATTTTCCCGCTCACAGTTGTCTATTGAGATATGGTAGGTATGTTTGATTCACACGTACATGTACGCGGGTGACCGCTTAGGAAAAGAAAGCTGCCGATAAGGTGAATGAATACAATGCTGCAGTGCGCCCCATAGTCTCACTGCAGCGCGGAGATGCCGAGAACGCAGTGAGCCCCCAGATAGATGTGATTTCGAGAGCTGTCTCACGGAAAGAAGACGACTGGTCCGCGTACATATGTTGTCGGCGTGCGCTGCATAATCTCTACGAAGTACCTACGTGCTGGTGAACCACTACTGCAACGTCATACATGTCCTTCTCAATATACTGTATGCACACCGATGCACGTCTGTCTGTTACGGTAGTCGATTGGCGATTCCAAAACCGACGTTGCATCGATGGTGATGCAAACGAAGTTAAAAGGTCTCGACCAAGGTGCACTGTTACTGGCTGCGGTACATACCGACATGTCATGTTGGAGGCGTGATAAGAGGTTTGAGAGGTTTAGGCCATATCATGTTGCCATTCCCGACATCGTATACCAATCTATTCGTCGGTACCGTACCTGAGATAGCGTGGAAGCACGTACTTCGTACGCATACCGTACTCACAGTACAACATGTTCACTAGGCACTCGATGACCGGTCCCGTGCTGCTGGGACTGAGAGCCAAGTCCAAGTCAAGAGGTCATCGAACGCTAACCTGATGGAAGATCCCGGCCGCAAGAAGTAGCCCCAAGAAGTACTTACTTACATGTACCATTTAATGTGTACAATGTAGGTACTCACTATACTTAGTCATGTACACTACGTAAGCGCAGTTCTTGATCTAGACCCCTATTGATTTCTTGATTGGTCGACCAAGCATCTACGGGACAACACTGTACAGTTACAGTTTCGCACCGAGCCTCGAGACATCAATCCCGCGCCCAAAATACACATCTGCTTCAGTGCAAGTCGTCTGGAATCAAGCACAGGCAGGACCGTTTTCCCGCACGTATCACCCAAAGACTCGTCGAGCAACATGGCGTCCAAGAAAGATATGCGCCGGCCGGACTTAAGTAAGACAAACCACTTCCTCGCTCAAGTCGCTCAGCGGCGCATCACATTACATCACGATCTCGATGACTGCACTAGAGGAGGGAAATACAAGATGAGACAAGACCGCACAATGCTGACCAGCTCGCCCCCGCGCGCAAACAGTTGTCCCTTACATGGAGCCGCCCGCCGCAAAAGCCGGCGAGAACCCCGAGTTCTCCTCGACTCTATCGTCGACATTGCCCATGGCCGCTATCTTTACGCGAAACAAGTACATTGGATGGTACGTTTGCCTCACCGACTCAAGCGCATTGGCATTGGGGTCAGAGAACGCGAGTCCCAGAACCCACCCTTCAGATCAAGCAAACCGAGCCGTGTCGCGCACTACATACATATATACAATGTCCCATCTCTAACTTTCCCCCCCCAGGGCCGCCGTCGTCTTCAGCATGCAAAGCTGGCTAGGCGAGAGCGAGGCGACGACGCAGAGCACGAGTACGCCAGGCTACTTCAGCGTGGGCATGTCGAGTAAGCAAAAGACCCTTCGCCACCGAACAAAACCTTGTCCTTGCTTTTTATTATCACTAGATAAACTAACCGCGAAAACAGTCATGTCCCTTCTCGTCACCTACCTACCCATTTTCATGCCTCCTGTACCAGGCCAAGTTCAACCTCCTCGGCCCGCCGCGGCATAGGCGAACGAATAGACTGTATATAATCCAGCAGTTGGATGCGAAGCACTAATAAACTGACAAAAGAGGTTGCAATGCACAATACCCAGTATAGTACCCCATCTCCGGAAGAAGAAAAGCCATCTGAGCGCGCAATTGGGGAAAGAAACGTATAAGAATATGTACGAAACGATAATTTCGCACAAGATTTACGGAGCTATCCGGGAGAGAAAAAAAAAACCCCCCCTTAACACCGAGCATGGGGACGAAATAGAGGGTGGGCCCATGTAAGTAGTGTACTTGTATTAATATCATGATACCTTACCTTATGTTATAAATCAAGCAACAGGGGAAAATCTGAATAATCAAACGCATCCGAACAAAAGTTCCTGTTGTACTTACGTACTTAAGCACGTAAGGGGTGTAGGTAATACAATCCCGATCTCGTAAACAGCGGTCAATGAATGTAATCACCTCGAGGCAAAAGTGCATTTAATCACAAGGGGATTCTTACCCTGTAGCCGAGAGAAAGGGGGGCATTACACATATATCATCTAGGAATGAATAGTGAAAGTGCGTAAGTCAATTAAGTACGCAGTGATTTACCTTATCCCATTCTCTCGAAGTGTGCAACAAATGCATCGAGTATCTTAGGTAAGAAATAGAAGACGAATATATATAACTTCCATGATCTCATCTTCCGCAAACAGCTCGAACACACACACACATTCACATGCAGGTACTCAGCTATTCACTTCAATTCATCTTTTCTTTTCACCTATCTCATCCCATCTGTCTGCCCATAGGTAGGTAAGTAGGTACGTATCCTCTTCTCTTCCCTTCCCTTCCACTTTCATATCTTCTCCTCTTCCTCCAAGCCTACCTACCTACCTACCGACTTGTCAGCCTTAAACCCCAAGCCAAACATACTGTACGTAGAAGCAGAGAAACCCAACACTCGAGAATAAAACATAGAATAAGAATATATAAAAGGCATCGATATCATTCATCATCTTTGCTCACTCTGCCTACCTCCCTGTTTCCTGTCTGCCTGTGCCTGCCCGCCTGCCCGCCTACTTAAGTCCTGTACTTAGTCATACATTCCATTCCCTCCAGCCCGACCTAACCCCCTTTGCTGACCTTAGGTAGCTCGCTAAAATACACACTAGAAATTATCGAAGATCAGACGTTTCACTTCTTCAAAGCATTTATTAAATTGAATAAATTGCCTGCAGCCAAAAAAAAAAAAAAAAAAAAAAAAAGGCCCCGCTGGTCTGACCGACTGGCAATTAATTCCTGCTAGCACACCCCTTGTAGATTAACAAGCAGTTTTAATTCCTTCTACTTTTAATCCTCATCGAAGATCTGGTACGTATTCTGCAGTATCGTATCCACGACACGGACCTGCCAAGCAGCATCCGCAATATTACTACCCGGTGCGGTCCCCATGAGCGTAGGTCCAAACACGATGGCGAGGTTCTGAGAGTTCATGCGGTTGACAGTGCTGTTCTCCATGACCCTATGCAAGTGTAGCGTCAGAGCGCGCAGGGTGGCATAGTTGGGATCAGGGAGACCATTGATGATGGCATGCATGCTATCCCTCCGCACGATATCGTCATCTTGCTTTGCGGCTTCGATGAATGCCGAGTAGTTTTCAGAGGTGAGAAGAGGTTCGGGGAGATCCCGAAGGAACTGCTTCAGCAAGCCGGCAACACTATTGACGTCGTGGAAGAAGTTCTCTGGGTTACGGAAGTCGAGGATATGAGATTCTTGGTCTAATAGATTGTTAATGAATTGAGCGGCGAAATGATGAATTCAGCAAGGGGAAAACCAACCGGTATCAAAAAGACTTTTTAGCTTGTTCACATGCATTGACGAACCAGACAAGCGATATATTCCCTCTACAGCAAGACCATACAAATCAACAGCTTGTATACATTGGTGTACAACCATGGGAACGGCGAACTGGTCTCGCTCGTACAATCGCGCGAGAGAAACACCAAACACTTGCTTCATGCCCGCATTGGGATTGCCATATGTCTTAGGAGGCGAAGCAGAGCGGGCCGCTAACTCCTGTGGGGGTGGGGGTGTCGCAAAGGCACTCGGACCTCCTTGCGGCGGAGATTGTGCCCGTGGCGGCTGAGTCTGGAAAGGTAAAGCTCCAAGCTGTGGAGGGCCGCTCTGGCTACTCAGGGGGTTGGTCACGCTCCCGTTAAATCGTGATTGTTGAGGAAGGATATGAGTCGAGTTCCGTGCGTTGTATGACTGCTGTGGTTGCATATTGGACTGCGTCAACATGGCTCCATGGCTATAGCTCCTTTCATGTCCCAGCCCTGACGATGGCCGCTGGATAGCAGATGCGGAAGGAGGGATGAAGTTTTGGGCTGGACTACCCTGGCCCAAGGAAGTTGCTGTGTCAAAAGTGCTTGTCCGCCCCAATGAGTTAGGGGGTGGCATTTGGGTCTGGAGAGGAGGTAAGGCTTGAGTTTGAGGTTGTGGCAGAGAAGATGGTCCTGGTGTTGGCTGGTGCATCTGTGGCACCTGGCCCACGGACATATTGTGTTGGGGATTAAGAACCTAGGCTTATTAACATAACAACTTCTTAGAGTGGGTGGAAGGCAAGCAACATACCGGATTGCGCTCATACTTAGGCTCGGATTGCTTTGGTCCCAGTTTAGAATGAAAACCAACTATGTAGTCCTCGAGATCTTTCTTGTTATCTATGGCATGAATAACCTCCTTCAAGCTATGCAAGGCTTGGTTCGGAGAAATAGCATTCTTCAATGGGCTGATGACGAGGCCGTTGCTAAGGAGTAGTTTCTCATTGAAGGATGCTGCAATATGATTGTTAGCCCCAGGTCAAGCGATATGCAAAGATTGCTACGTTTACTCACCAAACTTTTGCATCTGTAATGTGGTGCCAGAATCACACTCCCGTATCAGATCTTGCAAAGCTCTGATGGCTTCAGGGCGAGTCGTTGATTCCATTGTAGCCTTCTCCGTCTGGTACGCCTGCACCTTGCCCAAATAATCCGTGTCAGCAGCTTGAGTCTTGCGCAAAAGGTCCTCTTCCTGCTGCGCGGCGGACTTTGGGCCTTTGATGCCGAAAACTCGGGGGCCCTGTCTAGCTTCACCAGTCCTTACGCGATCGTACTCATCGGCGAGCGCGTCATACTTGGCCTTAGACTTGCGCATAGCCGACTCGATGTCCACCAGGCGCTGTTCCGCAGCCAGCCCGTTCTGCTTCCAACCCTTCCGATGTTTCTCTGCCACCGCGGCCACCTCAAGAAGATCTTCGTGCATCGAATGTAGGGAGAGGGCAAATTGGGCTCCATTCTCAGCCATGCGATCGTGTATTGCAAGCATGTCGTCGTATGACTTTGCAAAACTTCCTTGTCGGTGATCAGAGTGGTGAATGTTATCTTGATTCGACCTGCAGAGCTTCTTCATTCCCCTCGCATGCTCCTCCTCTAGAACAGATCGTTTCTTCAGAAAAACAGCGAACTCCTGCACCAACACCAGATTAGCGACGCCATAGCCAAGCAAAGTTTCATGTAGATCTCGTTACAGACCTTTGCTGAAGCAATGCTTTGCTTCAAGCGGTTCAGGAGGGTGGTTATGCCAATCTGTGACCCGTCAGTCGTCATCGCGCTGTTGGGAATGCTATGCTAGGAGGCGTACGTCAGAGCCCAGGACATCTTGAACTCGCTGGTGCGCATCGGACATGGCACCAGCGGCAGCAGCAGTCGGGCTCGCGTCCGACCCTCCGGCTGTCCCAGGTCTCGGTCCATTCGTAGAGGCAGAAGGACCGTTGTCGGGTGAGGGGCTAGGGATATGGCGAGGCGACATGTTGGCCGGTGGTTCGTGGTCGGGGTGTGAGGACGACGGCTTGTCGATAGAAGTCCGGTTGAAGTCTGCCATGGTCGTCGTTTCGTGAGGACAGGCGGAGGGGGGAAATGTGGATTGACCGGGCTTTCGTAGGTTTGGACGCGCAGGAAACAGGGCGATTGGCAAGCTCTCAAAGGCTATCTTGCATTAACAGCCAACTCAGTACGTCCCGTCCCAAACGACTGTGACAGGCGCGAGCACATCCAATAGCCACGCACAACGCACGGCAGAGGGCCAAGTTTGGGCAGCGTCTCTCGTTAGTTGGATGCTGCACGTACAGATGAACTGGCGCCTGACAGCACGCGGTGGATGTACACTTGACAGTATGCGCTCGAGGTTAATCGGGGTGTTGGGGAATCATGAACTACCTAACCCAGGTAACCTAGCAGTTCGGGAAGTGATGGGAAGGCTATTTATTGAAGCCCAAGTGCAGATGGATGTGTATAATTATTGGTGAAGCGGCTATCAAGCCCTGAGGCTGCTCATGCGGCAGTTAGCTGGCAAGCCGTGGAACCAAAGCAGCCGTGCCGGTATATTCCTGGCAGTCCTGGGCTACAGCTATGTAGGTCGCAGGTGCTCGACACCACGTATCGCTGCACGTACAGTGTTTTGGGGGAGGAAGCTATCAGTAAATGCTCTTCAGTCAATGAATGAGGCCATCGGATGGGCCAATGAATCTCGTGGACGGAACTCGGGGCCTAGGTCACAAATTATAGTGGTTCGAGTGGGGCAATGTACCTTACTTTACTTACTACCTACCTAAGTACCTACAGTACCTAGGTAGGTACCTGGTAGGGGTCTTGGCTAATACCTATGCTTATAAGTAGATACCTAAGGTACTTTAGGTACGCAATCCTGCCTCGGTGCCCGCCTTTATTGTATTGACTTGGTAACAGTGATTAATAAATATATCACCTGCAGTAATCAAGTAAGCAGTCAAGACTCTGAGGCATCGGACTGCCATGGAAGACCTTACCAGTAGATGACTGATTAGGCACTGACTTACACCATCTAAATAAGGTACCGTATTACATGTACTAGGTAGTAGAGGTGCTAGATAAGTACCAGGTATGGAGGTAAGCATCTACCCCACTCGTTCCGGTGATTTTATACTACACACAGGTACCTAAGGTATCTACCTAGGCGATAGGTAAGTGCTATCACTTGCAGTGTTTAGGCGACCCTATGGAAAGTCTTGGGGTACATAGTAACGCCTCCCAGACCCTACCTACACGTAGGTACCCAACCTAGAGTTAGTATCAAGAGATTCTTTCAACTTGAAACCATGATGCAAATCTATGTCCCACATCTCCCCAGAAAATCGGTGTCTTCCGAAGATTTTATTATTGTGTGTTGCATGTGCAGTGAACATCACGTCATCCCAATATTTCTCCAGGCTCGGCCTCCACTTCCTCCTACCCCAATATGACAAACACCCTTGTAGCACAGCGCTAGATAATCGAGACACTGGCATTATCAGTCGGCCTCTCCACGTGTGTGAAGAGGGGCGCAGAGGGGTTAAGAGTGATGAAGTGAGAGGTGAGAGAGAGGTGGGAGGTGAGGAGAGGGGGAGATACTAATAACCGATTCATAGAATAATAATAGCATGTCTTACTTGGATCGAGATCGGGTTGGTTCGTTCCCACCAACAACATGAAACCTGCTCCCGAGGATTTTGATACTGCTCTCATCTGCTACTTACTCCTGGTGTACCTACTCACCCACGGTAACTGTAACACTGGTAGACAAACCTCCAGGCACTTGGGCCGACTGTTGCAGCCCAAGTCACAAATCGAGGTGCATCACGCACTGCGGCACAGTAATGTCACAGATGGTAATGCTATACACTACCTAGGTAGGTAATTCTAACCGGATACGACTATCACAACAAGAAACTTCCGGTTTCTAATGCCGCCTAGATCCTGTCTATATGCACATCTCCAGAAATATAGGGAGCCAATCGCATATAAGGAAACGCGAACTTGAGCTTCAATCAACCCAGATTCAAGACAGCCGTGGTCCCCTATTCGTCGATATGTCTAACGGCAACTATAACTAGAATTGCTGCAATTTAACTTCATGTGCAAGAACTAGTTTGAGACATGCTTTAGTAATGGAATGTTCCGCACTTATGGATCTTCATTGCTTGTGCTACATGTGACTGATGGAAGAAAAGTCAAAAAGCTAAAAACAGACAGTAGAGTTGTCTCACTATTTTTGGTATCTAGTCGATATCATGATAGCAAAATCGGAAATCTCAAACAGTGTGAACCCCTCGCTTAGGATCTACACTATATATGCAATCACGACGAAGTATCGCTTAAGGCGACTAACATCAATCCATTTCCACCCAGGTGCTTCATTCTATTTATCGCTTATGCTGTTGCATGTTCTTACTTACTTTCAGATGAAAACGCGTACTACTTTAGCAGGAGACAGTAATAGGTTAGTCATCCTTCTGAGCTCCCAGAGGATTTAAGATACAGGCCGCTGATACAAGCGATCCCCCAGCATCATTCTGCGCCGCAAGCGCGTCCAGTGCCATTATGTTCTTTTGAAGACCATTTTATTTAATATCCCCACTGCAGAAGTCTTCCTTTTCGACAGCTATTCCAGCTCAGTGATCACGGATATATTCATTCGGAGTCGAAGATTGATGTAGCTTGTGGGGGTCTATGTATCCCCCTCCCCCCCTCTCTCCCCCCTTATCGCGCATAGGTGCGTAGATCAACGTTGATGGCCTTCTTGACATACACGCACATCAGTTGATGCGTCCACGTAGAAGGTTGACTAGCGGAAGCGCGAGAAACAGCGTTAACGAACAGCTAAAATAGTCTTCGATTACGCATGATTTTCTCTTCAAGCGATTCCGATATTTCTTTAAGTGCTATGAAACGGCGATCTATTGCGAGTATGGAATTAGGATCGACAAACTCGACTAAAGCCTTAATCAAAATAAATGTTTACGGTGATGTCAGAATCTAATGATCCTTTAGGTGAGAAATGTGCCAAAAAAAATGATATTTGACGAAATACTAATCAAACTTGTAAAACGAGATGCAAGAACCATTAGCAAAGGCGAATATATATCTAGATTACTTATTCAATCATTGTAGAGAGGGAGCTTTTGTGCTGGTTAAGATTAACTTGGGAAGTAAGCCAATGAAAAAAAAAAGCGTGATGTTACATTAGAGCAACTGGTTACAACTCCGAATCGGGGAATCGAACCCCGGGCTCGACGGATTTCTTATCACCTAGATAAGTGAAAACGTCAGATGTTAACCACTACACCAATTCGGATTAATAAGTACCAGTTTTAAATGGCTTATATATCTCATTATGGGGGTATGTAGTCACCCGGTGTCATCCAATCGAAGCTGGGAGGAGAGTATGGCTTTTTCAAGTCAGTGGGGCACAAGCGCGCCTCCCGGAATTATGGGTGGGCCATTACACTTAGCGCCAAAGGATACATGCATTCTCTTTATCAATCAACTGCGCAGATGAAGGCAGAGGAAGTGCTATGTGTGATTCAGGGGCTGGTCCGCAGGCCGCCCGTCCCATGAGACAAAGCGCGCTCGAGAACGCTGAATTTTCGCTTTTATGGGGTCTTTCTAGCTTGAGTATGCCGGTTCATGATTAAGACCACTCTGCCAAAAGTGACTGTATAATCTGTTTATCTACTTAACGCACAGTTCTCATAGACTCAGGAGTGACCCCTGAGAATCGAGGTCTACTCGACCACGTGACACGCTCGGGGACAATACACTACATGGGAAACCGAAACTATCTCGACTTCCTCAAGTCCCCTTAAGTACCTAGGTAGTTAAGGTAGGACTGGGTACAGCTTTCGGAGTACATATGTAAGGAATTTACCTGCGTCGTTATATAATACTCGCGAGCATGGGAAAATGTATCTGTCTCATCCTCTACTAAGCTGGGTGCAATTTTACAACAGAGGGAGTACTCAATCTCTCGCAGCACAACTACGCAGATGGTGCGTGCTCTTTCGCTTCAAGAGTCGTCAAACACATTCCCACACACACCGGATGGCATGCCTCCTTAAAACAACGCTCAAGCCTAGGCAACATATAGGGCAGCAGAGGGTAAAATAAGGCGCGGAGACTACATAGGTAGGTAAGTAATCAAGTAGGTAAAATAGGCTCGGGCGTTCTCAGCCGTTTGTTTGGATCATCTTCCCCTCTCTATCATCCAACCTTTATACCCATTACTTTCAATTTACATCATACTGTTTATACTTAGATTCAGTGTGTGTTATTTTGACATTATACTCTTGTTCATATCTTTAGATATGAGCATCTCTAAACCCGAATAAACACCGACCCATTATACTTGGCGACTCTCGGTAACCAGTTTCAAGCATCAGTGACCTCTGGGGGTGCCTCTCATTGAGGCAGTAAATGCAATAGTGCCCAATTCTGTTAAACAGATATAAGGAAAACAGTGTTTGTAGGGGGATAAGGCTGGCAAGGACCACCATAGTGGCAAGGATACACTTAATATAGATGTGTGTGCCAGCATGTGTGGTGGTATCTGGCCTGGGAGAGAGTTTGAAGCGATGTGGCCTTATTTGGGACTGCCAGTTACTGAATCGCGTCGAGAGCTGTGCAATTCGACCCTCGACCCTCGACCAGTCGGTTTCCCACCGCGGTAGAGATTGCTCCTGCTAATACCGAAGAGAAACTCAAATTTGCAAAATTCCTGACTTTCTCAACCTTTTCGACCCTTCACCCCTTTACCTGCCATTACAAGGACTGACTTCTACTCCTATGCCACTTGTAACTAGCACTACTTCTCTCATCTTTGTTGGCTTCCGCCTCATGAATCAAAGGGCCATCGAATTGTCCTTGTCTGTGCCCCTTATCAGCTAGTGAAGCTGGCTACCCGTCCCTCCAATCCTATTGACCGAGCAGGCTGGACCAGGCCCTGCCATTACGAACCTTATTCTCGGCATCCACTATTGAGCAAAGCATATAAGAAATCTAAGCCCTAGGGATATTAATATGACATAAACACACAGCAATGGCCGTGTTGGAAGCGGTCTAGCGAAGCATAATATGATTACATAGCGTTATTATCCTTACTCTGCATCGTTAGGTCCCGGGGGTTCGATTCCCTCGACGGCCAAGATCATTTTTCCCCTTTACTCTTCCTTTTCTTTTGAACTTCAACCGGCGACGCATTCCCTTGTTTCATGCTTACTATCGCGGTCATAAAATTTGTCAGATTCTTTTGGGTGTCTACACAATACTTCAAGATATCGAGGCAGTGCTTCACTGATGGTTCAAGAGCTTGGTTGGCTACTTCACGAACCTTCGTTATTGAAATGAATATAGTTAGAATACAGACTTATTAGACCTTGATCCCTTTCTTCTTCTTTCCATTTACCACATGGGCTAACGTTTGTGCTGCTGACATGGCCACCAACCAGCACGACAGTCTACCGGCTCTCCAGATAAGATGAAATGGAGTGAAAAGAAAGAAACGAAAGAGAAACCCACCGTTTAACCCATTATAAATTACACGTAAAGCACTTCAGGTTTTTTCCTTTTTTTTTTTCCCTCTTCTGTTTGCGGGCGCCGCCTGTAGGGAAATCCTACCTTCCACCGGCAACGCACCATACGCCTTGCGCGCACTGCGTTTTCCCACGTCTTCCAGCGCGATCTACATGCGCAGCCACGCGCCGTCTCACGATCGAAACGTCCTCCCAGATGCGGACCGGCGCAACCTGCGTTTCATAACCTGGTATACTAAGCTATCATCCCGGGGGACACAGTCGGAAAAGAAGGTCGGGATTGATCCACACATTACGAACGACGTCTCGCCCCTGCAAGATCCAAGGGCCGTTGAACGACTCGCCGTTACGCGGGTTGATGAGATGTGGCCAGAGTGGTTTGTAGCCGTAGTCCTTGAGAAAAGCACGGGATTCCTTGCAAGTGCGGCTGTAGCATTCGTGGTTAGTAGCGATTTTCAAAGGAATATGCCATCAAGATCGTGAAAGCCGAGAAAGACCCTCTGCTATCCGTCAAGCTCTGGGGACTATTATATATCTCAGAAATGGACTTACGCGAGCGGCATATCGAACGGCTCTCCGTTGTGCAGCTTAGGTATGTGTCCTTCCTCGGCTGAAAAGGAGATATGCAGGATGCGCGGTCCTGGCAAAGCGAGCTTCCAGATCTCTACAAACGTGTATGAAGATGTCAGACGACTTGTCCGAAATAGCGGCTGGTATAACTTTTTCCCCGAGAAAAGCAACCTCTGTAAATCATGACGTTGAAAACCACTTACTCAATCGTAGCTCCATTGGCAGAGCCATGAAACGATGGAAAGATCTAGGACATTCGCATCTTTTCCCTCCTTCTAGCATGCTCTCATCCTTGCTCGGCACCGGGTTAATGATTCGCAGCTTAGCAGCTTCGTAGAAAAGGGGATAAGAAATCGGTTCCACGAATTTCTGCTCTGATTCTTCCTCGCGCTGGGTTCCTTTCACCTCATCAAACATGATTGCCGCAGAACCCTTCTTAGCTGGGTTGGAGTTTTGGAGAGGAGCATATACTTTCGTACTAACGTTCACTGGAGTACGCGCCCATTCATATAGGTGCATTAATGCCTTAGAATTGATACTCACTTTTCAATTCCTTTTGGGATTTCACGCTTGAACACATGACTGCCAGGGTCCTCACGGGCTCTTTTTAGACGCTTTTGTCCGCCTTCGCAATGGCGGGCTGCGTGTTCCGGAGGCCTGAGTAACGCCACATAAGACATTCTTGGAACATATAGACTCTTCCGCGACAGAGTCCCTGTCTGTGTTCTTTGCCTTTAGTCTTTTTATTGGGTAGGCATTTTTCTTTTTCTTTTTGTCATTCCAGTGATTACTAGGAAAGCGGAGTATACGAGTCTAGGTAGTTGATTACCTCAGGAGTCTCCTGGTTATTCTAAGGGGGGTGAATCGTTATTCGTAAGAAATGAGTAAGCTGTATAAGAATTCGGTCACACTGGGGGACTCGCTCCAGGTCAGCACTGTCAAGACATCTGAACGTAGCTGCTCTAACACATTGTTTTCTACGCGATGCCAAGAAGAGGCGCTATCAATCCTTTGCTTTCCTTTCATCTTCACCTATGATTGAACTGTGCCTAATGTTTAGCCACATAGGTACGCAATTCCTGATTATGCATGACCATTCCGTTGTAGGTATTTATTCATCACAATTTCATAGCAATCCTCCGCGAGACATCGCGAATACCTGTGCTTTATCTAATAGACATACAAATCACTGGTGGTATACCATAATCTATAGGTTCTGCAACTGCGCCAAGCTTGGGCGTCCCAAGTCTCACGTCTCTCGATAAGCAGGACTAACTATACTTTGCAAGCAATACTGAACCTCGCACGCATATAATTAGTCGCTCTTTACACATCGATGAAAAGACCAAAGCTTTTTAAAACCAATGTCATGAAGATTAGGTATTCCATGTATTCTCTCGTGGCCATCGACTAAGCGGGGTATAATGATAATGTCGCACAAAACAAAAAGAAACGATAAAAAACTGGCAAAAGGCCTCCTAGCGCCAAAGCGCCCGCATTCACATACCTAGTCCAATCAAGACTACAACATCTGGGACATCCCAGCAGGCCAACAAAAATTTTCCACTTGAGCCGCCTCTTCCTCTTGTGCCGGTGGAGAAACATGGTGACACGCAAGACCCCACCGTCCTAGTATTGTTTGCCTCAATGAGACACATTCCCACCTCTTCTAATATGACTGATCCAATGACAAAAAGTTTCGAAATAGTGGCGAGAGCGGTAAGAGCTCCCCGTCTTGCGATAAAAACACCCAACGCCATTACTGTATCATTAAAATCATGAATACGTTATGCAAAAGTGGTATTTAAGCGCGCCGTCATCGATCGCGGTTCTCAACATTGTTAGCAGTCCGCCCTGGCTGAGGAAAGAATCGATCTCTTATGCTATTCGAGAGCATGCTGAGCATACCCGGTTGTCGCGACATGCTGGGCAAGGTGGGTATCCCTTGCTCCAAATCGGCAGTGTCTTCATCGAGCCGTGAGCGACTAGTAGAAGGACCAGCATCGCGGACCAGCGTCTCCTCCTCGTCCGTATCATCCCGGTAGGCCTCGTATCGTGGACTAGATGGTGAGCCCCGAGCAAGAGATCGAACAACATCTCCCTTGCATATCGGACATGTTCGGCGTCGAGTCGTGAGCCATGGTGTTCTATGATTTTAGTGAGCTTCAGCCTTTTGAAGGAGTGCCATCGAACTTACATGCAGTCTACATGGAACTCATGTCCACAAGGTAGACTCATAACTTGGCTCACGCCATCAACATATTCTTCGAGACAGACCACGCATTCCACTTGCCGTCCCATATACTTCTTCCATTGACTCGACCTAGCACGCTTTTCTTCTGCGCGTGGTGCCTCTGGCAGTGACAATGCTGCATTAACATCAAGTAAATCACAAGCCGAGGGAACGCCCGTAGTGGTCCGAGAACGGGGTCGTGATCTGGATGGATTATGTTGATCTTGAAGCAAAGGTGTTGTTGGAGATGAACTCGTTGGAGGAGACGGCAACCGTGGAGAACGACTAGGAGTGGACGCCACAGTATGATATGTCCGTACAGGAAGGCGCTCAACGACAGACTTGGGAGCCCGCCATCTGCGCCGTCGGATACGAGCACGCAGTATTAACAATGCATATACTACAGTAAGTGTGATCAGAGGACTGATAACTAAAACCAGGAGAGTATCAAAGAATGGGCTAGCTCCACTCGTAGGCGTAATGACAACCCAAAGCCCCTCACGCTCTGAAGGAGGAGGTAGCGCTCCAATACCACCTGGTCTGCCTATGAAGGGTGGTTCGCTCAACTGACTTTCATCCTCATCATTTTGAGCCTCCACAGTCCCATCGTCTCCAAATAGCTTAGATATAAGACCAGAGTTTTCAGTTGTGACAGTCTTGCCTTTACCAAGCCCTATGGCGTCCTTGCCTTTAGCAGGCATATGGGTTGTTGCGTAGTCGGCGTTGCTGGGGTTGTTACTTATATGGCCTGGTCCGTCAGCGTCGTGTTTATCCGCAAAACGAACACGCCCCGTCTTAGCCTGTGCTTGGGAAGGGGAAGATTTGCCGTTGTCCAGAATTGAGCTTTCTGATTTGTCGGCTCCAACTAGATCAGGGTCTCGCCAATCTTCTACACCAATTTGGAAATTGTCTTCTAAAGGTTGTCGGGAATCTGGAATCACACCACCACCTGCCTTGTTCTTGGCAGCTTGGTCTAAGCCCTTCTTGATACTCCTATCTTTCTCATCAGAGAAATCTTCAACTAAGACCCAATCCACTTGATTACTTTTCGAGGAGCCACCCGACTCCGCCGATGCTTTTGATTGGGCTGAACCGCCAAAGAAACGCGAGAACCACCCTGATCTTGTTGTTAACGACTCGGACCGGGACTCTCTTAGCTGGGTTGCTTTTTCGCCCCGTGAAGTAGCCGCTGACTTTGCATTCTGAGCAGCAGAGTTCGCTAAAGACGCCCGCTTGTTCCTACTCGATTTGTCGTACTGCTGAACCTTCTGTATAGGTCTGCCACTATCATCAATAATATCCTCAATAAAGCTTCCGGGTTGCATCATCAAGGAGAGTAGATAAGCCGTTGTTCTCGAGGTAAATATAGACGGAATAGTGACATTGGATGTATCACCATGCGCATACATCTGAATCAAGGGACCACCCCTCTTATTATCTCCGACAATTAAGGCGACAGCGCCTCGGCGCTGCGCCCATTTGACCTTCTCGAGAAAGCCACAGCCCCCTCGGCTCAAAAGAACAATTTTCCCCTCAATCTCGGCACCTTCTTGAATGGACTGTATATCGGCATGGCCAGAAACAGAGGACCCGGCTGAATCGCTGGTTGGTCTTTGCGCCTTCTCCAGATGCTGGTGGAGATAGTCATCGGTGCCATCATCCATCTTTTTCTGCGTACTTTTGATCTCGGTCTTGGAGAGACCGGTCCGGTCAACGGCTGGCGTCCTGGAGATGCCTCGCTTCCACTTTTTAGACGGGAGGGATTCGGTGTTGGTAGACGTAGATTTGCCATGAACCTCCTTGAGTGAGAGTTTCAATGGGGATATGGAGGTGCCGTCATTCCAGCCAGGCACATCGCTGCATCCCAGTTCACCCTCTCCCTCGCCATCCGCCGAAACTTCTTCCGAGAAACCGCTTCCAACCCATAGCTGGCCGTTCAATCCCCTCGCCGGCAAAGCTGGGCCAAACGCAGCCGGCCGAGCGGCAAATGAGGTGCTGTTATCATCGGCTATCGTAATAATGGCATTGGGCGGAAAGAGCGTGAACGGCGCTGTGAAAGAAAAGAAGGAACTAAAAGCTGACTTGTGGTCGGGTGACCGTGGCGACGATGTGATGGGCGCAGGGTGGACAGCAGATGTGATCGCGCGGCAAAGGAGGAAAAGGCAGGCGGCCGAGAAGAAGATGAGAATGAAGAGTCTCGGGGGTCGCATGGCTGGTTGGCAGGTAGATTAGGCGATCTACCACGAGCCCAATCCAAGTCGTCTATGGGTTGGCTACGAGGAATACAAGCGACACCGGCGAAGCTGGCAGTTCAGCTCTGAACCTGTTATGACGCTCATCCGCAGTAGTGATAGTGAATGCTGATGTTGCTTTTACGCAAAAGACGACCTATGAAGAGGGGAGGCGCAGGAAGTGACGGCGATGCTGCTAGACAGCTTATAGTCACACCTTTTATGTAAGGAGGTCGATTCAGAAGCTTGCCGTCTCGTCGGGTACAACAGGGCACGTGAAAAAGTATCAAGGCCGGGGAAATTTAATATAGAAAAGAAAGACAAGACCGACCAGAAGAAGGCGTGTGGCGTGTCGGGTTAGAATCAAGCTGAAGAGTAGGCGGCCTAGGAAGAAAAAGGGAAAAGGAGACGTTTGTTGAAGTTAGGTACGATGCGAAAGGGAGGAAGGGGAGAAGTGGATAGTGATGATGTCCATCGTCAAGGCTATCGGGTGGTGGAGAGGCGGGCGGCGGGCGGCGGGTAGAGGAGGAGGAGAGGAGGAGGAGGAATGTGTACCTAAGGTACATGTGTACATGGAAGATACATGGCTACCGGTAGGTTAGGTACCTACTACCTGGTACTATATGGGGAGAGGAATCCAGCAGGCTACCGTAGGTCCCCTGATTAGTGCGCTGATATCCGGTGTCATCAGTGCACCCTAACCCTCCTTTTGGGCCCCGAGTAGGTATCTACTTAGGTATGCTGTACATGCTGTACGAGTAGATGTAGGTACTTAAGGTACATGTAAGTTGAATGGCCTGACTTACACGTGTACAGCGGGTATCTGCTTGCCTACAGATACATAATCCAATAACCTCCTTTCTACCTCACAGGAACCCCTTAAGAAGGAGGTATGCAGAATCTTGTGTGTAGCCAGGTATAATAGCACCTAAGTTACCTACCTAGGGACGTGTGTATCATTAGGTAGGTACCTTGGTAACCCCCTAGCTGCGAGGGAGCAATGCTGCGAACGATACACCATTGTACCTCCTCCACCCGGCCGTTACAGTAAACCCCCGCAGCCCGGCTCCGCTAAGAAGCACCTACTTACATAGTAGGCCTAACTTATGTACTGGAGGTAGCGTACATACCTAAACTAGGTAGGTAGGTACCTAGGCTCGCTAGGGACTAATCAGTGAGCCAAGCTATGCCTAGCGCCCGCTGGCCGGGCCTAGTGAACGTTTCAGCCTCAGAATCAAGACCATTTTACGGCTGTTCGGCACGTGTGCTTGATGTTGATCACATGCAGCTTTTTAGCCTCGAGCTCGACTTCGTTTCACCGTTTTGATCTTCTTCGCTGATGAAGCTACCTGCATGTCTTGAAGTTGCTGGAGACATAGTAGTGATGATGGTAACAGGAGCTTGGTAGGAAAGGCCATTGATGTGTAGAGTCGGGGAAAAAAGAGAGAAAAAAGGCCGATTTACCCGAAATCTTTCTCTACGTCGTTCCCATCGTTGTCACTTGATCTCGAGTACGTGGAGTAATTAAGTACGGTAAGTATGTAACGAGGTAACGTAGCAAATCCCCCCCTTACATATACATAGTCATAACAACTAGTACCGGTAGGTAAGTATCAATTATGCCACGAAACTCGTCGTCAGCGCATGACGCGGAGAACCCGAGCTACTCCGCACCATGAGTTGCAGGTTACCGTTCACCTTTCTTTGACATCCTAGCCGAAGGGCTGGTCTGTTATGGGCTCTTTCGCACAACAGGCTTATCGAGCACACGCTGGATCTTCATAGTGTCTCCTCACATTGCATTGGGATATCCAAGCTTCAATAAGATGAGAATCATTTGCTGTAGAGCTACACTATGGATGTGTGGTATATACCCAGTATCAAGGAACATCCTGCCAAATAGCTGCGCATTAGAGGGTATATTGCCTTCCTCTGTATGTAGCTCTCGAGCTACTCCTTCCTGCCCACATCTCAACCATGTCCACCGAAATATCTTTTTTTTTTTTGTTTCCCTGTGTAATCCGTTTTCATTGTTTCACCATATAGGGTTGTGGCCACGCGACGGAAAAGCCCGGCATCCATCGTGTCTTCCAAGCAATCATTCGGGCCTAGCCAAAGATTGACTTCCACGTTACAAGGTGGTCGCATGTAAAGAACCGGGGAAGAAAAGTACGGCCGTTATCGTCATCGTTATTATGTCCTGCTTTAGGGACATAATCGTAAAGCATCGTATCGCCGCCAATGTATTCTCATCCTGAACCATGGCATCTTGTTTCATGACCAAAGCTGGCCAAATTTCAGAGTTTCGTATCCTTCGGAGTCAAGCAATCCTCTGCTCCAATTATACTGTCGAGGACCTCGTCAATTATATCCTCAGCCTCTACATACTGTTGAGGGGAGGAAAGACGAAGAAATCAGAAAAGGAACTGGTTTTTGTGAGTAGGAAGACCTGGGCTTGCCTGCCAACCAAGGTCAACAATGTCAGCTGATCATCTAGCAACTTCTAATAAGGAAGTCGAGCGAATTCTTTCTTGCATGCCGGGCTGGTATGATAGGAACCAGATGTGTATGAGGGAGGAACATTGCCACCTTGAATAGCACGAGTAAGAATACTCTGAATGGCCTGCCACTCCAATCGGCTACAGTCAGCGAGCGACATGTTGTCCCAAGTCAGGCCAACGGGGAAGTTGACCTCGGCCCAGAAGAAACCCCAATAGCCATCGAGGCACCTGTCCTCCATGATTTCCTCGAGCAGCTTTTTCTGATGAATTCCCAGGCTTTTGGCGACTCTTTCGGTCTCAGCCCTGATGACTGCGATATACCACTAGAGCAAGTGTTAGCGTTTAGAACAGGCCTCAATTAAGAGCAAAAAGTTGTCTGCGATAAGTGACTGCAGCATACCTCAAGAACATCAATCGGCATGTTCACCTTGGGAATAAGGGTCCATTGATGGCGCCATGAGTCTGGGAACCGTGGCTGGTTGAATTCACGTCTCTTCTGAGCCGGCAGGTTAGCCATCGTGGCGATGTTATGCTTTTGGACGACAGAGAATCCAGGGCACAGCATAGCTGAAGTGACTAAGCGGTCGAGAAGCTGGGGGTTAAGGCGGTCGACCTCTATCTTTTCCCCTTCATCGTTCCGGGAGCGATCGCGGCGCCCGTTATCATTGGAGTTGACCTTGCCAACGAGGACCCCTATCATCTTTATGCAACATTCGTAAACGGAGTGGCGCTGCTTGATCGTGATGTGCTCGGCCATATACCAGGGGATCTTGCGGAGAGTGCTGATCATGCATTCGTATGGTCGCTCAGGACAGATTCGGGCGTACACCGTCTAAGCCTCCAAACATCAGCTCTACACAGGATTCTTGAGCAGAATAACTTACGCGCTGGGGATTGTCGACATGCTTTCTAAGCATGACCATCTCCTCCTCGGTGAAGAAGCCACTGAAATTCTCCCAAGCGTATGCGGAGCTTGTTACAAGTTGCGGACGGGTGCCCTTCCATTGTACTCCGTTCTTAGAGCTGGGAAAGACAGTCTTCATAAGAGTGGTCTGCGACGATAAGTCAATCTCGACGACCCGACTACCGAGACGTGGAAGACGACCGTTCTCCGCACCCTTCGCAAATCTCTCGACGATTTCGATCGCCGCGTTAAGGCTAGACAGCTCGCAGAACGCATCCTGAGTCTTGCCAGTGACACGGTCCATGATGATGTGAACTGGCTCTTGACGGTCGTTAAGGATTTTCGAGGTCTTGCCTAGAAGTGCGATGATCTCGCCGCGCGTGGTCTCGTATGGGATCTAGTATCGCAAGACATTATCAGTTTCAAGTAATTGATGATTTAATTAGGAAAACGAATTGCATATACTATCACAAGATTCTGAAAGTCTTCGGAATTTTGTGACTTACGTTCTTGATAATAATCACTCCGTTTTCCTCCGTCGGGTATGAATACATATAATTCTCGATGAACGGAATGAACCGAGTGTCAAGGAGATCATCGAGAGTGGGCTGTCCTTTCTCCGTAAGACTCTGGAGCATTTCGGACCGGTTCGCCAAGGTCATTTTGCTGGGCATTCCGAAGTCCATGGGGCCTACGCTAGGGTAACACCTCACAGGCTCGTTGTCATATTGAACCAAAGCCGTAGAAGTAATCGATTGTCCAGTATGAAAGTACTGCGACATGGACCCGTCTGAGGCACTATTTGGCAGACCGTAGTTGTACCCATGTGCGCCGGAAGATGGAGTGTTCTGCATGTTCCAATTTTGGTGAGACCCGCCATTGACTGAGATCGCAGGTGTCTCGTCGTTCGTGTGATGCTGCCAGTGACCGTGGCAAGCGGGCTCGTTGTAGGCCATACCATCGTCGTACGACATAGATCTCTCTCGGATCTGCATCTGGTAACCATTAGCAGGGACGAGAGGAGGGTTCGATCCGTTGTAGATGTGACCAGCGTTGTCGTTTACATGGTCTTGCATCTGATCCTGTTGGTTGCGGGCTCGGCTTGCGAGGAAACCATTGGTCTGACTGCCTTGATAACGAGGACTGGGACGAACTGGTATTACCTGCACGGGACTTGCGACAGAGGAATGACTAGTAACTGATACATCTTCATGGTAGTAGCGATGACCCGGGCTAGCTCTAGCATATGGTACTTGGGTGTTTTGCGTTAAATGAGCTCTGCCGTTGACATGTCCCTGGGTCTGATTTCCCACAGCCATCTTTCTGGCTATACCTGGGCTGTTATCACTACCAGAAGACTCAAGACTAATGCTCAAAGTAGGGACAAAAGCAGGTGCCATTGCATTGTATTGGACTTGGGATGAAATCTGGGATTGTTGTTGACAATGTGTGTTGCTATTGAAGTATTGATACGTCTCACTGGTAGCTGTGTTGGTCTGAGCCACAGGTTTAATGGGAGAACTATGAGCAGTAGAAGCTCCGTTTCCAGGGAGACCTTGAGTTAAATCTTGGAAACTGTAATCATGGGCCGGTGTAGTAGCAGAGCGATTGCGTCGTCCAGTGTTATACATGTTCATAAGAGCCAAAGTTGCATCCTGGGTTTATGATCGGCGCAGTCAGTCAATTTAAAGCTCGTCGACTGGTACTATGACCAAAGGATATTCTTGATGGGGGCAGTAATGGGGAGTGTAACATACCTTTACCTTCTCCTCCTCCAAAGACTGCACAGACATAGAACTGACGGTGCTGACAGAAGATGTTGGGGAAGCCGGACGATTGAACGATTCATCTTGGGCCTCAGTTGAGCCAGCTGACTCGGCGGACTTTGCAGTACTATTCAAGTCATCTGATTTCGCAACATGAATGCTTTTCTCACTGTTAGAGTTGGGATCGGAAGGAGTTTGAACATTGTCATCAAAATCGCTGACAGCGGTTAGAGACACGCCACCACCAACTCGATCATCGCGCTCTGATGATCCTGTTTTGAGAGGCTGTCTATTCCAACGGCCCATAGACACGTGGGCTATGGTCAAGCGTCGACCAGTTGCTAGAGACATCTTGTTTGAGTAGAGAGCTCTGGTGGTCCTTTCCCGAGGAGGTGAACTGATGAACTGTAAACCAGAGTGCTTGCTCTGTAGGACCTTGTACTAGAGACAAGGCTTTTCAATCATCAGCACATATATTATAGTAAACGAAGAAAGAGAGCTGTACCTACTCATTGATACAGCACAATATGCTGTCAAGGTGATGGTTTATGACAGTAAAGGAATGTGAATGGTGCTTTGTTGCTCGGAATAACTAGATATAACAATATTAGATGTCTGCCCCAAGGCAATAAATGTTTAAGGTCGAATGAAAGTGTGCCTGCTACTCAAACGATGAAGCAGGACGGTATGTGTGATGATTTAGACTGAGAGAAGATTTAGATCAGAAACCAGGACAGAAAACAAGTCTGAATGACAAGATGAAGTAGGAATCTGTGCTTGGCAGCGATAATATATATCTATCGTTATGGGTCGGTAGTGCTAGTCGATCAATAAACAATTGTAATGGAAGTGGTGCGGAATGAGAAGCTGGTAAGGCCGAAGGCGTGACGTCGAGGAAAGAAGATTGGACTCGCCTAACAATGAGTCAACTAACAGACCAGGGAGAGCTTGAATCAGTATTCTAATGAAGATGTGTGAGTAGAAGATACCACCAGGAACGAAACGGGAAGGAGTGCTTCATCGCACGTCCTCGCGGAAAGATCTGAATATAGTGTGTGCAGTAACAATTGCCCAATGGAGAACTCAATGCTGGAGGAACAGGAAGGACGGTGGTTCGAGGAGGGTAGATGGAAGGACAAGGCAACAATCTTGTGTGAAGATACAAGTGGTGATAGGCAAGTGCTGCTCGTATGGGAGATGTTTAGGTGCACAATGCATTGGAAAGCCTCTTTGACCTGCTGGACTGATATGGCCAGTTGATCAGGTTTTTCTGCGCCTAGAAGAGATGTAAAGAACCTACATAGGCAATTCAAGTGATGCAACTGGACTTTAGAGGGGGGGGACTGAGGAAGATGGTGTTGTACGCTAAGGAAGAGATCGTGGCAAGTTAAAATGACATGTGCTAAGGTAAGGCCTCGGGGAAAATGCACGGGTTGTGATTTGATGGGAGATAACGAGTGGAATAAAATGTCACTAACATACCTCAACGAAGGAGTCAATCGAGAGATAGCATGAGCTATGGAAAGGCAAGTACGAACAACCGTGGAAGGAGGTGAAGCTGTAAAAGAATAGGCGGCAAGGGAAAACACTTCTCTTCCCTAAAGATGAAGTGAGTGGGACTTGGGCGGAAGGGGCGGGCAAAAAGAGAGGCGAGAGTTAGAAAGAAGAACGGAATGATGGCTATGGTATCAAGCCTCGATGAATAACCACCTACCTCCTGCCTCTGAGATCTCAGTAATTAGTGCAGGTACCCAGGCACAATTGTTAGCTAGGTAGCCTATCTACATAACATTACCTATGTTTGTGCCAGGTGGGCAACTGCATGTACCGAACACCATTTAAGTTAATGTTCACACCAAGAGTAAATAGGACTAATGTGAATGAATGCCGTGTGTGGCAGGGCCAATAGGGGGGAAGGACTCAAACAAGCCAGGAGATCTTCACTTTGCATGTACACTACAAGCAGAATACCTGATCTAGGCCCAGATGTATTACCTAGACAAGCCTCTTGGTGCCTATCTGAAGGTGTGGTATCCTTCATCCTCATTTAATGAACTAACCGCTTGTTAACACGCCAAAAATATAGATGTTTATGGGCCAGTTGTCCGAGGGGAGCGATGAGAGTAAGTTACAGCACAGTTACCTTCAAAGCCGAGGCTCAGTGATGCATTTCTACGAAAATTCCAGCATAGTTATTCATCAGGACAATAAGTGGCCAGTGGAATAATTTGGAGGTGAGTCTTCTTCAAAAAGGGGTAGAATAGGAGTAGTAGATGTCTACAAGAACTCATATATTTGAAGTCTGCCGTGTTCGAGATAGATAATCACACCCTGTCGAACATGCTTAGTCCATCACATGTATCGAATTCTTCAGCTTGTTCATCAGCAACCGGAGATAGGTGCCAATTTCTGTGTCAGCTTTCTCACGTGATGATTATCTAAGTTGACCCGGGTTGATCTTGCTAACCAAAGGGCCAGAGGCTCATGACGCTTGCAGCGCCTCAATGTACAATATCGCAACGACGCATTTGATTGTTTTCGAGTTCAACATATCATACCTGCGGGCGGGTCGTGCTTGATTCCTAACAGCACTACCTAGGTTTGGTTTATGGTTATCCGAGTATCACTCATTTATCGTTTGTCTGCTAACCCTCCTTTAGTCCAAGGTTCATGTAGTTATGATGAAAGTAAGACGAGCAAGTCGTACAATTTTATGCGACGGGGCCGGTTGAAAAAGTTCAAGTAAATAAACACGATCGTCATCATTGTTCTTCCTCCAGTACCGTGTGTATTGTTATGACTGTGAGGGGGTCAAATAATAATCAGCTTCCCCCAAAGTGGCGGATATCCCTGGCCGCCTTGGAAACAGGAAAACAACCAATACAGTTGGAGCTGACAGACACTCATACGCCAATATCTCCAGCTAGCAGATGTCAAGTACTGGACATTTTGTCCTAATCAGCATGTCTAAGTAATACTACTATCATCGTTTTTAGCCCATATATAGTGTTTATGTCTTCGCCGCTTCCCGAAACTTCGCAATCATCCCTGTTCTAGCATTGAAACGTATGCTATTGTATTTGCCTTAAGTTATCACACCGACTGGTGCGTGCCACAAGAGGGCTGTGTGAATACTACGCTGCTGCTCACACAGCCCGGATTGGAGAAAATGCAAAAGAAACACTGCTTGCTTATCCCCTCGTCTCATTTCTCGCCGGTCTCATCTTTCTCACCCGCTCGCGAACCGTGCATGGTCATAGACCGCAAACAGTACTCCACATGCTTTCACCGTTTAACAACTAAGCGCAGAACCTAATCGCGTGTTCCGAAGTTGAGCACTTCCCTCATATAAGATGCATCTATTAAACGTCTACACGGGGAGACTGGAAGAGTTCTTTGGAGACGGAATACCACCTTATGCTATACTATCTCATACCTGGGGCGAAGGAGAAGTCTCATTTCAAGACCTAAAGGACCCAAGTCACACGCAGAAACCAGGCTACGCAAAGATCGAAGGATGCTGCCAGCAAGCAATTCGCGACGGGCTCGACTTCGTGTGGATCGATACATGTTGTATTGACAAGAGGAGTAGCGCTGAGTTGTCTGAAGCCATCAATTCGATGTTCAGATGGTACGGTGAGGCCAAGATCTGTTACGTCTATCTTGCAGATGTTACGAAAGAAAATCTAGATGCTTCATACTCTGCTCTCGGCAATAGCAAATGGTTTACGCGTGGATGGACTTTACAAGAGCTTATTGCGCCAGTCATCCTGGAATTCTTTGACACGACGTGGACGACAATCTTCAAGGTATACAAGGGCGGCTTCGCCAATCGCAGTGCGAAACTTATGGTCGGGTGTATCACTGGAATAGAGCAGTGGACTGAGTACTCGATCCGTACTCTGGACACCACGTTAAGGGACGTGCCTGTGGCTACGAAATTCTCATGGGCATCGGGGCGATCTACGTCTAGAGTAGAGGACATGGCCTACTGTTTACTCGGCTTGTTAGACGTCTCCATGCCTCTCTTATACGGTGAAGGAAATAGAGCATTCTTAAGGTTACAAGAAGAGTTTCTTAAGAAGTACTTCGACCCAAGCATCTTGCTCCGTGGCTTTGGACTGCATCACCTTGATATTAAAGATATTGAAAGCCGGTTTGATCGCAGTTACCTCGCACCGACACCATCGCTATTCCGTGGGTTCAGGAACGTTGGCATTAAAAGGGTAGGCTTTCCTGTGGGAGGAATATCACAACCTACGTGGATTATGACACCATACGGTCTCCGCGTGGATCTACCAGTCTTGCGCGTTGACGCCCGAAACGATGGCTATGTATTTGTAACAAATTACACAATTGAGAGAGGGACGAGTCGCGGTAGACGACTTTCGGTCCTATTGCGAAGATCCCAGGGATCGGACATTTATAGGCATGCCACTCGCATCGCACCGATGTTACTCGGGGTGTCGACTAGATGGTTCAAGCGAAATGTACCAATATGGAAGACTGTCTATCTTGATATTGGTAGCACATGGTACGCCGATCTCAGAGACACCGAGCCCTGGCAATTGGGGTACGGGATACTGATTATCGACATGAAGGCACTAATTGAGCATGGATTTGTCATCGATAGTATGTATCCTCCAGCCGTCGCTGTTGCACCGGAATGGGGCTATCCTCGTCATGACAGCTACCTCGCCATAGTTCTTCACATAGAACGACGGGTTTATCTTTACATTCTGCTAAGCCGCCCAATTACTGTGCCGACGGGCCATTTTTGGAAGAAAGGCTATAAAGCGTTGGTATGCCTCTCGTCATACGATAAAGGACTTTCTGCGATTGAAATCTGGGATTCGTGTAAGAAAGCCTGGGATAGAAGCTTTTGCGGTCCTCCACGACTGAACTGGCGGGAAACAACGGCAGTTCATCTTAAAGGCAGAATGAGGTACCGAGTGGAAGCCATACGCACCCGTCGCCGATTTATATTTTGCTGCGATATTCAGCCTCGTGCGGTGGAGAGCTCTGTCGACAAAAAGCAGGCTATCAGACGACAAAATGGTTGACTCCCTTGATCCCCAAACCCAGAAGCTCGTACTACGTCCCTAACATATATCGAAATTCGGCAAATATTAAACACTGCCTAATCATAACAAATTGGAATTGACTAGTATGCCTAGTAAATATATATGCATATACACGGGATTAACCAAGGGCATTGAAGGGGACCATCGTCTACTCATTCCGCAAAGCCAAGAAAGTAGAACTGCCTACATGAGTAGTCGAGCCTTACACATCCCAAATCAAATCATATACCTCCGAACATAATGGAAAAGAAGTTCAATACTATGGTATGCAACGGCAAACGCTCAATTAACAAATTCATTTCCAAAATGTCTGATTCATTCAAGTGCAGGCAGAATCCGAAGTCACGGTCATCGCGCGCGCGAGAAATCGACGCTTTTGATTCCCATTCGAACAAGTTATCTGAACTGTACTCGAATCAACTCCTTTACTCGGACACAGACCCCTCCCACCCCTTCACCCTCCTACCCAGAATTACATCTCTCGGCTCCAGAAAAAAAAACATTCACCAGAGCGAGCTCCAAGCCGCTCATTTCAATGTAACTCCCGTCGCCAGTTTGAACCTTTCCCGTGTATCGATGGCTCAGTTTCCGGCATCATCTCCGAGTTATGAATTGTACCAAAGGCCTGTGAATACCAAAGAAGAAGAAGCAATAATAACCGCCCCAAATTCCCCGCTTGCCCGTGCGTTCAAAGTTTATACCCCCCTTAAAAATTGTTGCATAATCATTTGCTTTTGAAACATAAAAAATAATAATAAATAATGTGCCTCCGTAAGGAGTTTCGCTTTAACGAGAATGCTGTCGAAGCTCGATCAGCACTTAGGTGAATGCTAACAACCCACTAAATTGGGCGGCTATTCGTGCAAGGCATGCGATACCGCTGGGATTAAGCCGCAGCCGTCATGGACAGCCGATTTTTCTTGACTGGTTTGGCTTTAGTAGTGGCGGCTGTCTTCTTCGCTGCCTCGTCCTGCGTTTTCTGGGAGTAATCTTTCCACTTTCGCCAGCCGTCGAAGTCGATCAATGCTTGCATGCAACCCCATTCCTTGACCTTTCGCTGTAACCAATCGAAATTGACGGGCTACCCCGATCACGGTCAGCCGATTGTCTCATTAAAGAAGGGAAGAAAGAAAGATGTTAGTAGACGTTAATTAGACGAACACTTACTTTAGTCAGAAAGTCATTACATCCGGCTGCTAAGGCTTCGTGTCGGTCACTCTGCAGCGAGCTCGCTGTCAGTGCGACTATGATGACAGGGCTCTTGAACATCTCGGTGTTTGCAAGTTTGTCTTCCTCCGCAGGCTCCGGTAGGATCTCGTCCGGCGGGCTGCTCGCCGATGAGGAGAAGACGCCAATGGAATTGGCTTTCTCAACCCTACGGATCTCGCGCGTGGCTTCGAGGCCATTCATGATTGGGAGCTGGATATCCATAAGCACCAAATGGAAGCCACCGGCACGCCACTTATCAACGGCCTCTCTACCGTTCACGGCGGTCTGCCAGCGGACCTTCAGCCGTTTGACAAACGCCTCCAAAAGCCGGAGATTAATCATGTTGTCTTCGACAATAAGTATGTTAATGGGCGGCACGGCGGTATCTAATAAACCGGAGGGCAGCGACGGGGCATCGATAATTCGCTTCTTTTTTGTCCGGACAGAAGGCATGGGCGAAGAAGTGCGTGGAGGAGGAGTTGCTGTACGTTCGACGGGGGGAGGGGTAGGGATCGGAGCTGCAGCGGGCTGATGATTGGATTGGTCTGAAGATGCACCTGAATGAGTCCTTGAGCGTACTGGTCTGGTGTACTTGTGCGTACCGGTAGATGCAGCCCCTACTTGGGGGGTATGACTGTTGGCAATGGAGACGGGTGACGCCGTGTGCATTCTTTGCAGGTTGGGCCGATTGATGGGTAACCGCCTGGCACTACCGGGGGAGGGCAATGGTGGGAGTCCATTACCGCCTACGATGCTCATAGAGGGAGGGAAGTGAAGCCCGTGTTGCCCACTCATGGTCACGGCATGGTGAGGGGGTGGATAAGGCGGAAAGTAGTCTGTGCCGGACTCATGTGGTCGGTCGTCGGCGTAGAATCTCGGGTTCGGCGAGGCCTTGGGTGTTCTGCGCGAGGGTATATCAATGAGCAAGGCATCGTCGACAGTCTGACCTTTCGGGTAGTAAGATTCAATGACTTTGGTCATGACCTCGTCGGGCTGTAGTATCCTGGTCGTCTGCTGTTCCCGGTTACATATTTTCAGAGTTAGATCCGGGGCGTCGAATTGTCGGCCTAGAGAATTGGCATATTTACGGAGGATCTGCTCGCGAACGTCATCAACAAGATCATCCTCACCAATGGTGATTAGCGTAGCCGATGCCAGGGGTCTTTTGACCCATATCTTTGCTGTGACCATGCCTGAAAAGAGATGTTGTTGATCCAAGTCAGCAGGGTCTAGTTCGAGGTCGCTTGCATAGCCATGGAGAAGGGCTCTGGCGAAATCGGTTTGATGCGGCGGCAGTATGCTCTGTCTTCTCAGCGGGCCAAAGGGACGAGCGAAGGAAAGCGGCGAGAGCGAAGGTCTGGGCAGGGAGGTTGCAAGCGGCGTAAGGATAGATGCGCTTTGGAGAGGGTCGTCAAGGGGAGTCGCGATATCGTCTCTGTCGTATTCAACGGTGTTGAAGGCAGCTCGAGGGTCGGGCGAGGTGATTTCGGACGCCGGGTTAGTGGGCGGAGTAGCGGGATGCTCGTGGATGCTGGGCAATGCAAGACCAGTGGCGGCGGCGACGGGGACAGGGCCAGTGCCAGTGCCAGCGGTAACGCTACCAGCAGCGGTCGAGATAGCGGCGTCGTTGGTGGTGTCGGAAGCGATGCTAGCTGGAGCCGTTGGATTTGTTGAAGAGCCAGCAGAACGTGGGTTGAGTGCTGGGTTCTGCCGATCCTTGCCTAAGCCGGCGGTAGCGGCAGCTTTTTTAGAGTTACGAGCAGCTGCTGCTGGAGCCGGCCCAGCTTGAAGCAATGGTGGAGCGGATTTGGCGCTTGTTTTAACGGGAGCATGCGCTGCTGCACCATTACCACCGCGACTCAAGCTGGAGCCGTTGCTCCCGTCGGCTCTTTTGGTTCTGCCATCATTGTTGTTATTGGTGTTACTGGCGGTGTTGTTGCCGGTGTTGAGCTCGGAGGTATCGCCGACATTGGCGTCGTCGGTGCGCTGGTCTTGACCTTGGCTATGAGCCTGGCTCGTTTTACTCTTATTCCGCGATTTTTCTATAGGTGCGACAGATACATTAGCGTCAGGAGTAGATGTATGAGGTGGTTTGTCGTGGAGGTTGCCGCTCTTGCTTCTGGTTTTGCTAGTGCTTCGGCGGAGAACTTGGTCTGGGTTCAAGGTCAAGCTGAAGCTCCGGCTGCTCCCACGAGCACCATGGTCACTCCGCTCATCTGAGGCATCGTAGCCCGGCTGCGTGTGCGTGCTAACACTTGAGGCATAGTCTCGTCCAAAGCTGTTCTTACTGGGTGATGGCGACTGCCGCCTACTGTCTCTTCGGAGGAGCGTGGCTTTGATCTTGTCTTTCAGATTGCCCATGGCCGGAGCGGATGCCGGAGCTGGATGCAGCTCATACCTAGCAAGGCGCGAAAAAAGCTTGCCTAGCTGTTCATGGATGTCAAGTTGCTAGGCGGCTTGTGTTTCCCTTCCCTTTCTCCTTTTGTTCCCCGCCTGATTATCGCTTGAATGATAGACTTAATTGCAATGTATTGTTTATTTTTTTTTTGACAGCTGTACTAGTAGGGACCGGGATCTAGCAAGATAGGTATTAAGAATAAGTCGAAAGCTGGGTCAAGCTGTGGCGGCTCTGCACGTCTAGGATTGGCAGTCCTCGTTCCCTGTAGGTAGATAGGTGTAGAGTAAGAGGATGAACGGGACAGAGAACAGGGACAGAGAGAGGACGAGGCGGATGGTTTCGTAATGGAGACTACTACTGTATACATTCATCCTTAGCAGAGGCTGCCATCGAATACCGATATAGGTAGACACATGTGCTTACCCCCATCCCTCACACGGAACCAATACGGCTCATGCTGTTGTTGTGTTGGCGTGCAAGGGGAGGGAGGTGAGTAAGTACACACATACCCATGCAATATCTACACGTAGGAGAGCACTGCACTAGGTTAAAGAAGTCTGAGAATCAATGCTGCTAGTCTACATATAAGCATAGGTAGGGAAGTACCATCCATCCTCCGTGCTGCTCAACGATCGATGCCACGAGCTCGATCTTTTCGTGGAGGTAACTACTAAGTAACTGCCTATTCAAGGTTATAGCAGAGTTATAGGTTCCACCATGCCTACTTAATACAGAGATGGATGCAGCGCACGGCATGATTGGGACATGATTGGGACATGATTGGAACAGGTAGGGGGCGAGCTTGGGTTACACCCTGTCGTTTGGGGCCGCGTTAATCTCTTTGGGGGGATTATAAGACCAGACGTGCATGAGGCATCGCGATTCGTGATGGGCTACTGTGCGACCACCTATAGTACTATAACTACCACCACCACCACCACCACCACCACCACCAACACACGCAAAGCTATACCAACGCTGAGGCAACGAATACACGCCACTTACAGCTTTACCTACTTCGTATAGTTTTCAGGCCACTGACAGTATGCACTTGCCACCTATCACTCCCGGTGGTGTGTGTGATAGTAGCTGCTAGGTATTACTGTTTGAACATAGGTAAGTAATGAGGTGCAGGTGGCGATATCTGCAATCCACGAGTCTGCACGAGCTACCGTATCTGTGGTTACTGGTATTCTGCGGCCTGGCACTACCAGATTCAGATCAACTCTTAAAGAGTAAGATACCTAGGGTCTTCTACACCACAAAATAATAATGAGCAGATTACAGCCCTTAGTGCTGCTTAATACTTATAGCAAGAGCAGGCACGTGTACCTAGAGCTAGGTATTGTGCATAGCTGGGACAAGGTAGGTAAATATCTAGGTAGGTAACGTGTCAGCGATGATACTAGGTAGGCCGTAGTACAAGCTGCGGTCATAGGCAAGGTCCGTAAGTCTGGCATCAAGACCGACGTACATTGATATTAAATGACGGAGAGTGGCAAGCTAACAGCAAGTTGGTGTGAAGATGGTAGACACCACTCTGGTCCACGAAATGAAAGTCGCCATCTACATGCCTCGCTCGTCAGGGAGCGATCATGATAGGTTGAACATTACTTCGTAATCAACATCGCATTCGGGAGCAACAAGACTTTAGCATCTTACCTACAGTACCTACTTATCCTACTCGCCTACCTATGAAAGCTTCGGGCTGGATTACAGGGCTCCCAAAATTGGGAGTATCTGGGGATTTTCTATTACTACCGTAGGTACATGCTATATAAAGTACTTAGGTACCTATCTGTTACATGTAATCTGTCCATTCACCTGCCGGGATTAGGTACGTCTCTACTTGTCTTATCAGAAAACTGATAAAACCAATCAAATGACAATATCTGCCCCGCTAAGAAGCCCCACTTTCAACTTAAAAAAACGACAAATCATTAATCCGAGAGCTAACACCAATTTTCCAAGCGTCTGCGCCCTCAAATGGACCATAAATAACCTCGACCAATCTTTTCAATCCGACTTTTCAAATTCTTAGCCCCCGGGGGGTTGGAAAGAGAGGGTGTCGTAATGCCACCAATAATACTGACACCGTCGGCAGCAGCAGGGGCCATAGCCTCCTCGATAATAAGGACGGGCATAGGTGCTGCGTGCCGGTCGACGCAGTCCTTGCAAGCTCCCGTTGCTGCTGCCGCCGCCAGCTTCTCTACAACGGCGAGCCGGCCAAAGTTTAGCAAGGGCCGCCGTATGTTCAGAGAATGGGAGAGGCGCCAAGGACGTTATTTCCGCAGACACAGAGGCAATGAGCCCGTTTACTTGTCGAGTCGGAACGACCAGGTTTCGGACGTGCCGTTTCCACTGAACCCAGAATTCAAGAGCGTCAAAGTCCTCGACGAGAGGGCGCGTGAACTAGTATGGGAGAAAGTCATGCGCGAGGGCGAGACCATCAAGGCCGTGTCCGCAGAGTTGGGTATTGACATCCGCAGAGTCGCCGCCATCGTGCGGTTAAAGGAGGTCGAGAAGGATTGGATAGCCAAGGTAAGCTGCCTTTTGCCTTTCCCTTTGCCACATCTATTCGTGCCGACCCCTCTCTTGTTATTTGACATGATGATTTCAACATACCAATTCGATAAGTCTTGAAGACATCTACATGGTTACAAACTGCTGTTGCGAGCCTCTCTGATCTCAACTACCAATGATCCTTGCTTTCCCATTACGAATTAGGCTTTGGATGTCCCCTTGCTAATAATATTTTTTTTCTCTGGGAACAGGATAAACCGCTCGCAACGCCCTACTCAAAGGCTGTGTTGTCGATGCTTCCCACGCATTACATTCAACCCAATCAACAGAACGCCCCTTATGAGCCTATCAACGAGATTCACGTTCATCCTTACACAATGCAGCAGCTCTTCTGGCCGACTTCCGAGTCGCGACACTTCACACGAGAAGACGCTGCCGAGGCCTTCCACCCCACACTGCTGTCCGCGGACAAGCGAGTGCCACATCCCGAACTAATCCAAATGGAGAGGGAAGTTGAGCAGGGTCGACCCCTCTGGGACGCGTCTGAGCGCTTCAAGGAGGCCGTCATGGAAACTGAGCGCAAGGCCGCCGAGAAGCAGATAGCCAAGGCCGCTTATGAGGAGAAGAAGACCACCCGTGTCAACACGGAGCGCTTCGAATTCCGGTTCAAGCAGTTCAACTCGGAGAACGTTGGTCCGAAGGGTAGATCCCGCAACGTTGTTGGTTGGCGGTACGGTACACCGTATGACGATAGGTCCAAGGGCCACCAGATCAAGATCCCTACTTCAGTACCATGATCCGATGTTTTATCAGCGGCGCTGGAGGTGGGCCTATGTTTGTTGTATCAACAGTGTATTATGATGATGCTCGGACAAACAATGTCCAGGATGGAGCAAGCGTTCAGGCATTACTGTCTTGACATGTGGAAGCAGACGCCCAAGCCGCACCATGGCGCTTAAGTCGCGCATAACGAATTCAACTGGTAATCGCTGTGTATAGATGTCTATTCTTTCTACCTCGGGCCTGATATGTATAAAATATGCATAGATATATATACCCATTCGATCCATCACCTACCATCAAATCATCTCGTATCCCATCATAGCGCGTCACATTATAATTTAAGTCCGTTCGTGGAGCATGCTACCAAGCACACCTCTACCACCGGATCACTTCATCTTGGTCGACCTCAACAATCAAGTTCTTCCTTAGCTGGGCTATGCCTTCGGGTGTGAGGATGCCTAGGTCGATAACGCATTGCTCAACGGAGCCGTACTTCTTCCGAATCCAGGCCAATGTGCCTTGCATTGCCTCTTTCCTAGAACAAAGAGCAGTTGTTAGGTTAGTCTCAGTGAATGGTTATAGCAGAGAAAAAAAAACGAAGACTGAAGACGAGAGCAATCATTCCCGCCACAACTCATTGGGGTATGCCCTGTGCCCGGTTGGCTACTGCGCTTGAAAAGTATTCAATCTGGGCTAGGTGTGAGCATGTTTGGCATCTTGCCTGAAAAGAGGGGGTGGATAGTGTATGAATGTCTTCAGGACTAGTGGAAGTCCTACAGCCGTATATCACAAACAGTCTGGTCCCTCCTCTTTTTTTAATTTGCTTCCCCTTGGCCCAGTTCCCCTCTTATCTTACTCCGCGGACCCCAACCCAAGGATTAGGCTTGATGACAGCTTCCAATCAGATAATGCTACTACCAAGCATCTGCCCAGACGGAGCCGCCCCCAGGAATTCCAGACGCACAAGCTAGATTTGGAGCTGAAGAATACGAGAAAAGCAAGGGTTCATATAATGGTTTTCAAATAAGAGACTATTCATAAATTTGGAAATAGGGGCGGAATTGAGTATGATGTGAGTGTGGATGAGAACGTACCTTGCACCAACCATCCGCCTTGCCCCCTCCACATCAATGCCGATTTGTGGGTTGCTTGAGACATGTTTCACGAGCTCTTCGAGGCGAGAGTTCAGCCCAATTTCGGTCAGACTATTTTACACGAAGGGGAGCAGGTTAGCAGCCATGAAGGTGGCAACGCTTGGGTCACTTAGACGGGAAAGTACTTTGGCAGGACGTTAAGCTACAGTAAACGATACGACTCCACTCACTTATATTCATGAACGACGGCCTCGTCCGGTACGCCACACAAGCTGAGAGCTAGTGCAACGATAACCCCTGTGCGGTCCTTGCCTGCTGTGCAATGAACGAGACACGGTGATACGCCTTGTGGGGAAGAGGTAGTAGGGACCGTAGCTAAATGGCCCAAGATAGCCTTGAAAGGCTGGAAGTCATTGGCCGGGTCTGTGGCAGCGTTGAGGATGTCTTTGTATGCTTCAATAAAGCCCTGAAATATTGGTTAGAGTCCTGGCTGAGTCATGTCTGTGGAAAGCCAGTGAGGCTGGTGTAGTACATGGCCACAACTTCATCAACAATAAAGAAAGGGAATAAGCTTCGACCTGGCGTCTAAAATGATGTCACTAGACATTGAATTAGGTACACCTAGCCTGCAGCTTATATTTGCTTGCAAACAATATGTCCATGTGGTATCGCTCAGGAGACGGAACCCACAACCCGGACGCATGTAATCGGAGCATCCGAGGGCTTGCTGTTTTGGGTCACAACGGTTCCTAGGCAGATGAGTATTACATCTTGGTGCTACTTGGTACCAGATGAACGCTTGTCTCACCGAACATCTTTCATAGGTCTGGGCTTCATGTTACCATGCCGCTAGTTCTTAGTTCAAGCCCCACGTTATTGGAAATGGAATCATCCCTTCTGCATTCACGGTGCACCTGCAGGTGCAGCGAGGTGCAGAGAAAGTACCGTACATTGGAACGACATGTCGGCAAAAAGTCTCGTGCTTCTGTTGGGACCTCTGCTATAATTGGCACCACATGAAAATGTTACCCTTGCAACAGCTCGAAACGCGAGCAAATTAAAGAGATACAGTAAGTGTAGGGGGTAACGTTAGGTCCCGGGATCATGCAAAAGGTCAACAGCGATGCAATCCTGGCCTTAAGTGAAAGAAGTGGCTTACCTCATCGCTCTCTGAAGCATAGTTCTTGTACCGAAGAGCTAAGGCAGCCGGCGAGTAATCTTGGTCCAAGAACACCGGAACAAATTTACGTTCTGAACCCTCCCATTCGCGAATAGGAAATCCACGACCGGAACCAAGCCCCCGCGTGATCTCAGTGGCGGATCGTAAGTCGTAAACTGATTTGATACCGAGCTGTTGGCTTAGTTGTACAGCCCCAGCGTCCGTCAGTTTAGAGGGCTGTTTGAGAATCATATCAGTGCTCGCTGCTTCCGCTATCATTGCAAAAGAAAAAGAAAGAAAAAATAAGATATCAAGCATGGTCGAGGACTCATATGAAAATTACTAGTGAGTATTGTCTAATTACGCAGGCCGTGGTCCTAGAATACTTCGAACGGGGGGCACAAGATCAGGAGAGAGAACCAACCTCTGATGACCTGAATATGATACCTCGCCTAACAATCTTAGCCTTTCGGTTTCCTTCAGAAGAGAGAGCACTAGGCGAATCGGATATGATCTCGTAACCTCCGGCATCCCTAAAATTAGGCAAGCCCGGCACTGAGATAAAGGGAGGCGATGGCAGGCTTCTCGCTGCTAAGTCAGGGCTACTATCTATCGTTGCCATGTTTGCCTGCCGTGTTCGATTAGCTCTATCCGGCCGTGTGGCTTGGGCTGGCCAGAGACGATCGGAGCTTATTTCATTACCGAAGGGTTTGGACGCGTTTACTGCAGAAGCGGTACCTATGTAGTCATCAGCCACCGGGCATCTGCCATCTCAAGATCATCTAGGTAGGCTCTTGGCGCTTATCCTTGAGACGTAGGTAGCACGGAGCATACAACAGCTTACACACCTTGGGCACGAACCTTGGGGCTGGACAACAGCACGCCGACAGGTGGTTTTGGTTTCTGAAGTTGGTCCGGCACTTAATCAACCAGGGCGAGCTACCAACCAAGCAAGTAACTCGAAGTTATTAGGGTCATAAGAGATCGACAATGAAAAAAAAAAAACATGAGAGAAATAGAAAGGATAGGTAAGGACTGTCATGAAACCACACCCCTCTCAGACGCTGGGAGCAGACTCGGGTAGGTAGTGGGGTTACGAAGTAGGTACAGTAGGCAGGTACCAAGCAAGGTATGCAGGTTCCGTTTACACACGCCAGTGCTACGCATGTACTTCGTAGTTCCGCCCGAGCCCGCCCAAGTTTAAATGCCCGTACCTATCAGTATCACGATGGATTCCTTTTCACCATGTGCACTCGGGGTGGCCAGTCTTGAGCAATTACCGGCCAGTGCACCATGCAACTGGGAAGGATCCATCTGGGTACCTATGGCATGCACTGTACGTGGCTACGGCTTAGGTAAGGTTAATTGCCACTTGAATGGCAGGTACAGCCGTTGCCCGTTGGACAGGATCCATGTGGTTCACGGCCACGCTATGCCTTCCCTCTCTTAGCACCTGGGCAGGAGATGGATATCTTCCCTACATAGTACGGTAGTACTACTATAGGCATCTACTCTGACCTCTTGGAATCCAATGATCAAGTCAAACCTGCACAAACCGACAGCTACAGCTATCTGCAAGCCTTACGCTCCCACGTGCACGACTGACATCGTGGGAGTGCATGAGAGAATAATAGTCGAGTATGAGGGGAGCGAACCAAGCCGGCTACGCCGTTGGCCTGCTTGCATGCTCATGCAGCCTTGACCATCTCCCACCACCACCACCACCCCCAGCCCCCGATCGAAGCCAAATCGAGACCGTGTTTGACGCTATCAACAGCCATGATCCCATTCGGGCTGTAATGGAAGTGTTATTGCTTGGGGGCTGCTGCTCTCTCCGTCTAGTTCTGCACCGCTCATCACCTCGGCTTCTGTCTGAGGTAATACTACGAGTCTGACGCAGCACGAACGGGCAGTCGGCAGGCTCATCCGGTGCTACAATGTCATATTGGTTCACACTTTGCACACCATCAACGAAAGACTTGATTGACCGCCTAGCAATAGCCCACCTAGAACCTGACGAAAGAGGTAGTCCTCAATATATGCGTTGCTACCCAAACAGCCTAGGTATCCCGATTCCCACGTCACGTTTGCTAAGCAGGAGCCAATAATTTACTTCTGCGCTTATTGTTATCTCTTATCTCGCCTTCGGTACGCCCGCAGAGCCGCATACTATCCAACATCCTCGCCGCGACATTGGAGCAAACGGCCAGTTCCCTGGGGAAAGGTACTTCTTGATCCTCTTCTTTACTAGACATTGCTGTGTGAACGCACGACATATACACAGATGATACGAAACTGCTGAGACAAAAATTCCTCTTCGGCCGCCACCGTACGCACTTTACCCCTGTCCGCGTGCGCCATGCCTGCATGACATCAGTCTAGGTCGGCTGAACGATTAAGCGTCTACCAAATAGGCCATCATCGAGCTGACCCAGGCTAGGTGGAGTAAATATAGACGTCTATTCCTTCCACTCAATGCTGGCTGCTGGCGGTTTCTGATGAGCATGTGACAACTGCGCCATACCGCCGCAACGAGAGACAGCCGTAAAGACGTGCGACTCATACTTTACTCTACGAAGTAATTCAGTGTCTTATTTGCATCGCAGGACCATGCAGATCCCCGATACTGATACCCGTGCTAACTAGATTTGCGGTTCAGGCAATAGCTGAAGCCTCATGTTGGCCCTGTTGTATGCATATGCAAATTATCACGAGGTGTTACCCTACTGTCAAGCTTGCATAACGTGCGCCATATTGGCTACTTACGCACACACACAGAGAGAAAGAGAGATACATGCCATCCACTATAGGGTACACTCGATTACTTGCGTTGCGTTGTACTAATCCACACTAGCCGCGGACCACCTAGACCATCGGGTCGCATCGACAGCGGCCAAGCGCGCGGTAGCCTTGTTTGCCTTTCGCATATCAACTACATCAAGTATACTTTGCAGTACCTACCAGAGCGGTGAAGCCAGTGTGCGTCAGGAAGAAATCCACCACACGAGGTGCTGGATTGGAACCTTCCACTCATCTTCTCCTTTCCTATCTAGTACCTGACAGCTTGGGTATGAGACAGGCAACGAGGCAGAAGGAAGTGCATTGTCAAGGGCAGTATGACAATACGCTAGTACCACTCTTCATGCTAAGGGCGAGTTCTAGTTTCTCGCTCTCATTGGCTCTATAATTAAGGCAACAATGGGAACGGCGAAAACAGAATTATCCTGCTTCTCAAAATTCTCATTGGATATGGCGACTTGTTTATATTTACTAAAAATCCAACGAGCGATGCCATCCGCTTGTTTAATCAAATCAGGTCCTCGTAAACTTTTCTTCATCCGACTCATTCCACAGCAGCACGGCGGCTCAGCCCCTCACCCTGTTCGCCTTATTCTGGCCTCTCCCTACGCGTCACCTACTCAAACTGCGGCCTGTTATATCTACCCATGCCCCCTGACAGAGGAAATGTCGTAACTCTAGCCAGATGTGACGGCTACGCTAGTCTCTATTCATCTACAACCTCATGCTCAGCACAAATTGGCAGTGCTGTTAGGTAGATATGTGGGGACAGGCAGACGTAATTACCTCAGAGAGAACATCAATGTTAGTGAGGAGGTGCCTTTCCACTACTAAGATGCTTGTGGTATCCATTCTGCCTCCACGGGCTTTCCCTCTCCATGATCACGCGGATTGCAAAATGCCACCATAAGTGTGCTATCACCAGTCAGCCGTATGAATCACTCACGCTCAGCCATCTTAGTCCTCGTTGTGTTGGATTGTGTGTGATGATGCCTGGGGCACTAAAGTGGAAAATGCCGACCCACTGGCATAAAGACTCTCTCAAAAGTCTGAAGCGTAAACAGGTGAAGAAAATTGCGCAATGTTGGTCCAAGTCCTCTAAGTATCCAGTTGGTAGTGCGGCGTTTCTATAGCCGGGACAGGTTGACAGCGAGAAGACGGCAACTAGTGGTCATCGAACCGGTTTCTAGGCTACACGGCGGCTTAGCTCCACGTCATGCAAGGTTCTTTAGGTCTTCCCTTGGGCTTCAGGCAGTCTGAGGTTGAAACGTTAGGACATGAACAGAGATCAGCACTCAGAATCCCTCGTCTAAGGGGGAGGGGACATCGAAGATAGCACTGGTCTCACCGTGATCTAATTTTGTATAGCCCCGGACCATTCTATTTGAAGTAATGAAACTTGACATCTAAGAAAACGAAACAAAGAAATAATAAAAGTACCCTGAAGCGCCGTTCATCCAGGCCTGAGCCACTCTAATGTATTCCTCCCATCCCACGTTTCTACCCCATTAAAAGGAAAACCGGTATCTGCATGTCACACCTAACAATAGCCCACAGCTCCTCCTCGACTATCTCTCCCCGTTTACCACACAATCCTCCCGTAGGCAGAACTTCATGGGGACCTGTCAGCACCGGCTTTGTCTGGCCCACCATCTTGTGCAGGAGGAATGTATATCGGGTAATCAGGCCATTCACCCCTTTACTTCTATTGAGCTTTATTTCAAGGCCCAAATGTGGCAGGTGTTGTCTCGGCGATGGCTGCAATTCGTGCAGGCAATGTCGTAATTGTACGACAAGTTTGCGAAGCTGCAATTGCACTATAGGCAAATTTAGTCAAGATAAGAAAATCAGGAGAAATGTGCAAACTAACGCAATTCCACCGCCATTTGTTTGGGTCTTGTTGGCGACCGGACATGGTACATCCCTCGCTTGCCGATTGAGATGAGGACGAATACGTATTGGATCCTCCGGAATCTCGGTATCCGTTTGAATTCCCATTCCCGGTATAATATCCGCTGGAGCTGTCGAAGTACTTCTCATGAGCCATTTTGACGATGATGAAGCAAGTCGAGCTTGCGTTTGTGTGTGCGAAGAGAGATAGAAATTGGAGTTAGAAGAACGTATTGCCTCAGATAATGGCACTAATGGAATATGGTGAAGTCAAGCTACAACTCAGGAGAGGCGTGAGTTTCTCGATATTTACCATGGGTCCAGGACAGCGCCGAGAGCGCCTTTTATACCTCCCCTCGAGCCCTTTAACTATATCCGTCCCTATTCAGCCTGGGGCGAGGCTTCTGTTTCGGTAGAGGTATCATCTTCGTTGGTGGTCACGCTGTAGGATCCTGAAAGCCGGGATTGGTGAACGCTTCAGAACTGATTCCCCACTACCATGCCTAGAGACTCGGAATGAATACCAATAAGCCCCATTAATCTGCCTTTGCCAGTGTTAGCAAGGTAGTAGTGGAAAACGCAGTGGCGGCGAGAACTGTGTAACAAGTAAAGGGCTCAGTTTCTGCTTACTCGGCCAACAAGGGAGTGAGCTTAGGACTCGTGGTTGCGATGTTTCGACATTGTAGCCTATAGAGAAGCGGTTGTGACTAAGATTCGGTGAGCTCAATGGTGGGACTTGATGATCAGAAAAGATTGCACTGCCAGTAGAGATCCACTCACAGTGAATCTCAAGCCTCGCGCAAGTACATTTAGGGGTTTTCTCAAAAAGAAAAAGAAAAAGTTAAAAAAAGTTCCAGCAGACCAAACTGTTGGGAAAACCGCTGCGTCAGATGGGTGACCCGTGGATATCCGGCGTTGTATGCGTCTTGCATGCAGCAGCATTCATCCTCGCCGGTAGCCAGGCTACCGGGAAAGGAGGGAATATACTGATATACGACAGAAATGATGCCTGATAGCTCGAAGTACGATACGTTTCGATATCTGTTATTGCTATTTCTCCAGGTGATGAGGAGCCCGCCAAGATAATGTTGGAGTTGCTGCCTGATCTGATAGTTTCCCTTCCAACTGTGTGACAGGCGGCGCAGCCCATCATCTAATATTTCGTCCCACCAAACTGTGTCCTGGTGACTCTTAGACTTGGTTGCCCTTCCATTGTGGCATTGCTTCAGTTGCCTCTATGGCGCTGACTTCCTGGATGCCTTGGCTGCCATCAGCGTCCCGGTCCAACAGGGGTCGCTGCCAAAGGCCTGGCCCCCTTTCGGGCAACCATGAAGGGAACGCAGAGGAACCCCGTCCCATACTCGACCCTATCCTCTTCTTTTGCCCATCTTCATCTCTGATGAACGTCGAGGGCAGGCAGGGGTTATAGCAGTGCTTGAACTTCGACCACCTCGGAGGGAGAGCATTTTTGGAGACGATAAGTCGCCAGCCGAGTTGAGTTTTCATTCTATGTCTGCAGTACCGTTAATACCAAAACAGGTATCTCACTCTGAAGTACACACATACCGACGATGCCAAAAACAACCCAGTGCGCTTGCGGAACCTAAGGTTATGAGTCAGGCCCATCAACATAGCATATCGAGGTCATCTTATGGGTGATAAGCTCAGCCCAAGCACTTGGCGAATAGGTTCAGTCAGTCAAAGAAGAAGGAGACGACTGTTCTTATGTATAAAGGTAGAGCCTAAGTCGTCGAGTTGTAGGAGCCATAACCTTGGCCATCTGACTATATAAAGGTGTCATGGTTCTCGGCAGGGCGGGGTTATACGAGCGGAAAATTGCAAGAATCCACATGAAGTCCTTGGTGTACGGAGGCGGCTGACTAGGTCTCTGACGGAGACTAATTGTCATCATCGTCATTACCACCACTACATGGTGCGGCTGAGAGTCGAATACCAAACTGGTGTAGGCTTCAGCATTGCGGGGGAGGACTTTGTAGGCGGCAGTTTCAGGTTCTCAGGTTCTCAGTTCCTAGGTCGAGATAGGTTCGCTTGCGGCTAATTTAGTTTTAGCATCACAGCCAAAAAGAGGATTTGACTGCACCACAAGCCTTCAACAAGGATTTCTTGACTTGATTCTTTCAGTGTTATCTGAGTTGGAATGATAACTCGAACATGGAAACGATGATACCTTAACATGAGGTGAAAGGTGTTCATAATGAAGCCATGTATAAAGGATTTGACTCTTAGAGAACGAGGAAAGGCAATGAGACTGATGCCTGCCCTTTATCACATTTCAGATATTTGCACTTTGAGAACATCACGCGAAGACCCCTCACATCCACACTCTTCGTCAAAAAGGACCGTCCACATGTAGCTCTCCACAGTTGGGCGTTGCTATATGCACACAGATATGGTAGGTAGTATCATGGCCAGAAAATGTAGAAAGATGGCACATGAATACAGATTCGAGTTAGAGAAACTGCTATTTAAGGTAGATACGAGGCTGCGGATATTCGAGCCTCATGAGGAGATAGTTTGCCTTGTGTTGACGTCCGGTCTGTGTGGTTGATTTACCTGAGTCGATTAAGCCTGGTACAGTGCAGCACAGTAGGTATATACTATAATACTGCAAATTGGCAGCTGGCGACGCGCACTGCAGGTGGTGCCAAGTACCTACTATACCTACCTAGGTAAGTACTTGAAGTGCTCTTAGCGAACCCCTAGCAAGTCCCCCGCAGATCCTAGCGCAACATGCCACTCCCCACCTAGATTTTATATGTACATAGTAGGTACTGCTATCTCAGCTGTGCATATCATGATGATGAAGAGGGCTGGGAGATAGAAACTGTGTTTATTTAATTTTATGCTATTCTGCTATTAAATAATAGTATGTGTATGCTGCCTCATAAGCGAGAGTCCAGAGTCTTTACTAGGTAGACTGGGTGCACATACCTAAGTAAATGCTAGGTATCCAATTGCCTCTGTCTGCCTCTGTAATAAAAGTTTGGTAGGCACCTAGGTACCTGCCTGGTTTTAGCTTGCACTACGTCATCGCACGCGCTTTCCTATACACATCATAGATATATGGGTACACATCCATGGTAATTTCATAAACCATAATCTTCTATCACGGATTCAAGGCTTCTTACCCTCATTCCATAGGAGGCCATTGTCTCCAAGGTTTTACATCGCCTTGGAGAAACCCTGATTCTGCCCTGATTTTGCTAGCCTTGAATTTTGTCTTTCCTTTTAAAGACCTCAAGACCTCCCCCCCCATTCCTTTTCTCCCCTTGGCATCAACAAACGTACTGTTCTCCAACGCGAACGCCCACTCCAACAGGACACGAACAGGCCCCGTCGCACACCCCTGCTCCTCATAATCCAACGTAATCGAGAACCCTTGTTCAGCTGCCCCGCGATCGCGTCACAGTACCTACCGAGTACGTCGTCCAAGATGGGTTTCACAATGACTTCGAGCTATGTGGCGTTCGCCGTATTACATTTCATCCTATTCGTCCTCGCCCTTGCCGTCATAGGGCTCTACGGCACCGACGTCGACCGCGCCCGCAAGCACGGCGTTGATGCTGACGGTAAATGGGTATGTTCAAATCATTATCCATCCTATTGTTTCTCATCATGCGACCCGTCCCGTCTAGTCTTACCAACTGCTTACCTTCTACACAGGTCTTCGCGCTCGTCGTTGCTAGTCTCTCGGCACTGACCACCGCCATTTATCTCATTCCCTCCATTTTTCGATCCGTCGTCGTGCCGATATGGAGCTTCATCATCTTTGTTCTCTGGATCGCCGTCTTCGGCTTATTCGGTAGCATGTACATCCATGAAGACCCTGAGGGCAACATTGATATCCAGCGTATGAAAAACGCCGTTTGGGTCGATCTTGCAAACGCACTACTCTGGCTCATTGCCACTGGTGCCGCTTTGGGATACTGGATCTATCATCGCAACCGCAACACACGTTTCACCGGCCGAGCGCAGCTATAATACCACATCCATTATTTTGATTCTCGAGGAGGCTCTATGGAAGGCGGGATATGATCAGCAAGATGCGGCGCACGTTGGAAAGGCGTTATACGGTGGCCTGGGTGCAATATTAGGCCTTTGGGTAGTTTCCTAGGCGCCCAAAGCAACACCGAAAAATATTAGGTTAATGTCATGCTATTGCATGGTACAGGGAGAAACAAAGTTCAAGAGCTTACTTTGGAATTATCTAGTACAGTAATCATAATTAATTTTCCTCGCCCAGAATCAAATTATGTGTTCAATGATGTAACCAGCTAGGTATCCCAGACGTTTTGAAGAACTACCCAGGCGAGCCAGTTAATAGGGAAAAACTTCGGTAGTGTAGTCATATTATGTACTTAGGTATGCTAGTATGTGCTACACTACCTACTTCGTAGACAATTATAGTGACGACGGGGTCAGTTTCGAACCCTGAACCCTGAAGCTGAGGAAGCACGAGAGAAACCGTGTACGGGGCCATCGTCATTATCACTGTTACTATCACTATCACCATCACTACCCTCCTCTGGTTCCTTCTTCCCTTCCTGCTCCTCCAACCCCTAAACAGTAGTCCAAACTCACCGTTGGCTATATAGTACATATAACATAACAGGATGCTATGATCTCGGAGTGTGGATATGTGGTGGTGTCGTGTTTTAATCAACACCGCACTGGAATTCGGCTCAAGTTTTTGCGGCACAAGCGGATAAGGCAAGTAGGATTCAACCCCTACCCTAGCCCATTAGCCCTCCAGCTCGCACCAATCAGTTTACACCGTGCTACTCCAATGATTGTCTGGGGCATCCGCACCTACGTCATCATTGCTGTACAACATGGTTTTCCGTCTTCTGGGTTTATTGTGAACCTACTTTTTCATCTAGTTGGTTAGGCAGAGATAAAATTTTCGAAAAAAAAATTCCCGTGCCGCGTATCTTCGTTGAAGGGTCCAAGAAGGGGTCTTCACACTAGCGAATGAAGGGTGCACAATCCTTGCTCATGGTGTGCTGAACCCTTGCCGTCATTCCTCAAGCAGACTCAAGCTATCGACATGTAACCAGACTATATTATCCTCTCGCCATTATACATTTATATTGCTAACAAAGATCGACTGACTTTTACTAAGTCGCTACATTCTCTTGCGCCAAGTATTGTAGATAAGCAAGTCCGTCTTAACCGAGGGTTCACAAAGTTATCGTTAGGAGTATGATTTGCGGTTGATCTTCGCCACTTTGTCTTGCCCTGCTCTGCCCTGCTTCTGAGGAAAAGCACATGTGGCTTGAAACCTTTCTGTAACTGGCTACTTGGCGCGCCTGTGTAACTGTCGTTCCATGTTGAAACAGCAAGTGATTATGTGAAGCTCTGATTACGGTACTTGTAGTACTACCTGATGGCTACGGCAGACTACAGATTACCGGGTGGTAGTCCGCACCCGTGCGCTTCCCACTGTGCAGGGTTGCTGTACTTGCCTAGGTAGTTCGTATACCTATCTAGGTAGCATGAATATGCGCCCAGCTCTCGGTATACCGTGTTATAGTTAGGTAGCAATCTGGATGTCGACCTTTACCACACGCACACGGTACGGGATTAACCAAGCAATGTGGCTTGCTGCAGCTGTGGAGATAATCCCGGGCTCGTGTACCCAGTAGCAATCGGAGGATGGCGCCGCGTATGCAACCCTTGAGGCTATCCAGCCTTGGTGCATCCAAGCGGGCTTAGTGGTCGAGGTGGTCGACACCACAACACACCTCCCACCACCTGCTTATAATGTAACAGAATGTACACTACACTAGAGTATATTCCAAACATCATCCCGTTAATATCTAGGGAATGAATGGATTGTATTGCGCTTTTGGTCTGTGGACAGACCGCTCGCACATCGGCAGTGCTCCCCACTTCCTGGCCGACCGAGGGGACACGGGCTTATATCATCATCACGGCAGCTCGCCACCTAGGCATGCTTCTTTGACTGAATGGTGACTCGAGAGCCGCCGACATCGTACAATCAGCGAGCAAGTTGTGCCATCAAGTCGGGCTGTTCCTGAACGGCTCGGTTCTGCTCGGTAAACCGACAGCCGTCGAGTCAACCCCTCCCTCCTACTACCGGACGGGTCGGCCTTTTGTCTATCCCGGAGTTCTGTCGGGGGTTGCAGCGGCACTTCCCATGTTGGTGTGTGACTTGGGTGAAGATACAGCGCTGATCAGGATCGTTGATCAGCACTTGGCTTGTGTAGCCAGCTATTCCCGACCCCTTCAACCATGTATCTGCGGGCATGCCTCTCTACCTACCTTTCCCCCCCCCTTATGATGCGATGCAACACTCGACACGTCCCGGATGCTCGCGTGGCGAGGGCCGCAAGGAATGACATAGTTCTGATGCGATGATTTACCAGCGTGCGTCGTGTTCTGCTCTATCGCACCCCACTGGTGAGTCGGGAGGATCACTCATTGTAGTGCTTAATACCGGATAATAAATCTGAAGTAGCATGGGAGACATGGGTTAGTAGTAGAGTCAGGGTCGATCTACACATCTACAGTAGGGTAGTGTACTAGCGATGTGCAGTGGCCTTTCCTATTTTTATTATTCGCTAAGATTCATTCCTACCAGCGGGAAGCTGTCCTTGGCACGATTGACCAAAAAAAAAAAAGATAAGACATTGTCAACCTCGTATTCTAGATGGCTGCAAACGCCACATCCAAGCTGAAGGGAAATTTTCAATGTAAATATTCTCGTCTTGTTACTTCAGAATGAAAGTAACAGCCTGGGGGAGGCATGGTAAAGCGATTAATAGTTCTAACTGCAATCGCGAAGCCGATCGAACGGATAGAAACATCCGCTTGATATTGGACTATCCCTTACCCGTAAGTGACAGATCGCGTCGGCAATCTCTCTACCCACTAATCTAAAACGCGCTAGCTCCAATTAATAAGGTCAATTAAATGTAATACCTTTAGCCTTCGGGTACGGAATTATACGGGCGTTAAAACTATAATTTTAAATATTAAATCCTTAAATAAAGCAAATAAAAGTAGTTAACTAAATAATTATACTTTTTATTTAATTGGATAATATATTATATAATTTAAATCGATAAAGTATTAATAAATTTTAAGGTTTATTATAATATTTAAGGATATTTAATAGTTTTACCTATTAAAAGGTTATTTAATTACCTATTTAACTTAAAGATTAATTAAAGGTTAACCTTTTTTATCTAATATAAAAATTAAGGAAAATTGTTTAAATTAAAAACTATAAAACTATAGTAAAGAAAGGAATATATACTTTATATTATCTTTTAACGTTAATTATAATTAAAAAATACTATAAAGTACTTTTAAATAATAAATATTAACCTTTAATTTATATATACCTTTTAATAGGAAAAAGGATATATAAAGTATAATTTTAAAAATTACTTCTAATTTAAATATAACCCCTATTAAGGAAAAAAGTATATAAAGTTTAAATACCCCTTTTAATTTATATATACTTTATATTAAAGGAAAAAGTATATAGGAAAAAAATAACTCCTTTAAAATAAAGGAAAGGAATAATAAAAAAATAAAGGTATATATATTAATTAATTTTAATAAAAAAATTATAGAACTTTTTAACCCTTTAAAAGGTTTATAAAATAATTATATTAAATAAAAAGTAAAATAAATAAATAAAGCTTTTAAATAAAAAAATTATAAAAAGTTAAAGTTTAAAATTAAAAATAAAAATTCTTTAAGTTTAAATAGCTAAACTATAAGTTTTAAAAGGGTATTTATAGATATTTTATTTAAAGATAATAAAGTATAAATAATATAAATATACTTTAAAGTATTAAGGATTAAAATAGTATTATAGGAAGTAAATATAAATATAACTTTAATTACTTTAAACTTTTAAGTTACTTTAAAATTATAATAAAACCTTAAAAAATTGTAATAAATATAAAACCCTACCCTTATAATCCTAACCCTTATAATACTATTTATATTAATTACCCTAATAGCTTAAGCTAAAGGAAAAAATAATATAAGGGGGGTAAAATTAAGAACGGAAGGAAATAATAAAGGGAATATCCTATTCTATTTAAAAGCTAAATAATAAATAAAGAACTTTAAAAAAATCTATAAAAGCATTAATATTAAAATAATCCTTTAAACTATATATATAAATAAAATATTACTATTTTTAATATAAAAGTTCTAAATACTTTTATTAGCTCCTTAAGGTATAATAAAATAAATATAATAATATAAATGCTTAATACGGAACCTATTTAAAGTAATAATTAAATTAATAATAATAAAAGGTAACGCATCTCCCACTTGACCTGGCCACCCAATTGACCTGGCCACCCCCCTAGCCCATACAAATAACGTTGGTGCATTAATCACGTGATAATTTAATAACTCTACGAATATTAGTCGTATAAAATAATAAAATATACCATTAGATTCGTAATAAAAAGAGCTATTTAACGGTACCCTTCATTAATTTATACGACTCATATTCGCGGAGTTATTAAGCAATACGCTAAAGTAAGCGCTAAAATAATCCTTGCCTAGTGCCCTTTTAGCGTATTGCTTAATATCTCGCTCAATAAATTTTATAAAAAGTAGTAAAAAATACTGCTGGATTCCCCTTTAAATAACGGATTTAAAGGTACTAATTATTAAATCGTGGGACTAATATTGGTCAAGTTATTCCAGATTGAAACATTGGATTTTTATATAGGTTAAGGGGGTGGCCAGCTCAATTGGGTGGCCAGGTTAAGTGGGAGATGCGTTAATATAAAAGATAAAAATAACATTTATAATAAAATATATATAGGGAACTTATTAATAGTATTAAGGACTATTCTAATTTAATAAAATAGTAATATAAGGTAAAAAAGGGGGAGGGTAGTTATAAACTTTAACTTAAACCTAAATAAAAAAAGATTAAAGTATAGTACTTTAAAGAATAATATAAATTTAAAAGGAAAAGGAATAATTAATATAATTAAAAAGCTTTTAAACGGTACCTAACTATATATTAAGGTTAATAATAAGAATACTCCCTTAATATAACTATTATAAAAATAAAGAATAAAAGTAACTAAATTATTAAAAATTAAAGCTATAAAATGAAAAAATATAAAAAATAAAGTAATAATAAATAAAAAAATTACTAACACCCTCCTTTTATAATATAACCTAATATTAGGTAACGTTACTATTTATAATTAAAATTGGTATAATATCTTTATTATTTAAATTCCCTTAAAAAATACTAGGAAACGTTACTTAAAGAAAAAAGAAATTAATATTTTAAAAGCTTTAAAATTCCTATATATCTTCCTTTTTAATAAAATAAGTAAAAAGATATATATTTTAAAAAACATTATAACTTTAATATAAGTAAAACATAAAAAAAGAAGTTATAAATATAGCTTATATAAATTGGTAAAAAGTATAATAAAAGCTATAAAGCTTAAAAATAAATTAATATAATTTAAAATAATAAAAAAGAAAAGCTATTAAGAAAGAAAGCTAATAATTATTTTTAAAAACCCTTTTAACCTATTTAAGCTTTACTTTTTTTATAAAGATAAATAAGTAATAACCTAATAAAAAGGAAATAAAGTTATAATAAAGCTATAAATTAAAGCTATTAATTTAGCTTAAATAT